TAAAACATCCAAAAAATTTGTTTGACCAAAGTACACCATAGAAAATCAATTTTCAATTTTGGACTAGGGGCGACCCTAGTCAAAATCAATTTTTTCACTTTTTTCTTCGAGGGTTTATCCAAATGAATTGAAACAGGTAACACATTTCTAAATTCATAAAAATAATTTTACTCGTACAAATGACAAAATTTGAAGTTCCGTTGTTTTTGAATGTACAACCAAATTTATAAAATTTGGGTCTGACGACATATAGAATAGATTTCTTGTTTTAGATATTTAAAACTGTTTTGCATAAATATTAGTATACTCATACAAAGTTTCACTGTATTTGGATTTATCCTCGAAGAAAAAAAGTGAAAAACTAGATTTTGACTAGGTCTGTCCCTAGTTCATAATTAAAAATGTATTTTCTACTTGGTTCTTTGGTCAAAAAAATTTAGGATGTTTTACTTGTATTTGTTTTAAGCACTAGACTATTTATGCAAAGTTTCAATTCATTTGGATAAACCCTCGAAGAAAAAAGTGAAAAAATTGATTTTGACTAGGGTCGCCCCTAGTCCAAAATTGAAAATTGATTTTCTATGGTGTAGTTTGGTCAAAAAAATTTTTTGGATGTTCTATTTGAATTGACATAATTCTGACATAAATTAAATACCAATATTATTTTTGGCAATACGTAGCTTAAAAAAAATCGAAAGCTAAAATTTCGACTACCCCACCTGAATTTTGTTCATACTCTTCACTGTGGAAACGAAAAAAAATTTCTTTATCTTAAAACACTTGACAAAATAGCGACATAATTCAGGATTAATTACTTTTTAATAATATTTTAACATTTACGAGAAAATGTGGTTCAAACAAGTGTGAAGCATGGCCGAGATTTGGACCAAAATCAGCTATACTGGTTCATAGTGTTCCCGAGGGTAACAAAATTCAAACTAAGTGTTTTTGTAACTGGCATAATTATGACATAAATTAGGTATAACTTTTGAACTGTGTCGATATGGGTCTCGGCCGTACTTCACGCCCACAAATTCCACAATGATTAAAGAACTCTGAAAAACATCTAACACTGTGTTAGTAAATTTACCTTTTACTAAAATAAAAATATCATCAGCATAACCTTGGGCAAAGATGCCCCCTGAGCGATTTAGATCTACCAATGACCACAACAGGCAAGACAAGTTGCCGCCATGTGTTGTACCACGTTTCACTATGATGAACACAACTTCACCGTTCAATGACGCGAGAACGATTCTCGATCTAAGCATGTTGCTGATCCATTGTATCATTCTTTGTGGAACTCCTCTTCGATATAAGGCATTTGTGATAACATCGAAACCAGTGTTGTCGAAGGCACCTTCAATATCCCACCATAAAATCCTTGTCGAAGAAACCCTTTTCGATTCTAGAAACAATACTATGTAAGGCAGCATCTGTCGATTTACCAGGTTGATAATAATAATTTCATCCCTTATATATCGATCAACTAATTTTTCCAAAACCTTTAATAGGAAGGACATCAGACTGATAGGTCTAAATGACTTAGCTTCAACGTAAGTGTCTTTACCTGGTTTTGGAATAAAAACAACTTTAACACTTCTCCATGATTTTGGAATGTACCCTGTATCCAGACTGTACCTAAATAAACTGAGTAGATAAGGCATCAACTGACCTAATCCTCTCCTGCCGACTTAAAAGGTTTCAGAGAATTGACTGCTCAAGTAACTTTCACCTCAGTAACGACATTGTCTGCCAATAATCCATCACCAGGCAAAAAAGTACCCTGCTCACTATAATCCATTGAGTCATCAACTATTGTTGATCCAGGAAAATGAGCACTCAAAAGTAGCTGAAGACTTTCATTACTGCTATGAGTAAAAGTCCCGTCCTGCTTCTTGAGTGCACCGATTGTTGTATCTGCATTTCTCTTTGCCATTAATTTGTGAATCCTTGCGGATGGGGGGTAAAATCCCCGAAAGATATTAATTCCACGATCCTGCGGGATAATAACCCCGAAAATCGCAAATTTTTAAATGTTCCCTGCGGGATAATATTCCCACTTAGAAATACACGTGGAATTATTATCCTTCCCGAAAGATAATAATCCCACCTATAATTACAAGTGGGATTATTATCTCCCAGGTAGATAATAATTTCACTTACATTTCTAAGTGGGATTATTATCTTTATGGAACACGATTAAAATTATGGATTAAATCAAATCCAAAAACTTATTTCTCATAGTGGATAATAATTCCACTTGTATTAATAAGTGGATTTATTATCTAATAGGATTTTCATCCAAAAAAAATCCCACTTATTAATTTGTCAATTTCATTATTCCAAAAACTTAAATATGAAGAAAACATAAATATTGGTTCAATGTTTGCTTTTTAAAAATATATTATTCCAAATTGTTTAAAAAATAAAATCAAGGTGGGTTCAAGTGGGTTCAACTGATCTAACGATGTTAGCTATTCCATATAAAATTATGTTCGAGATTCGCTCGAATGTTTAAAGAAAATGTAGCTGTAATTCCATTTTGTTTCGCTTCATTCGTTCAACTGTTTAAAAATCACAGTTTTGTTCAAATGTTTAGGAGTAGATATGTTAACCTCTAATGGGCAAAATAATAAATTTTCGATTCTTTCCTGAAATTTTCCAAAAGTCATTCAAAGAATTGTAAATTGCCCTTAACAAAATAAGATTTATAAATCTAATCAAAATGTCTGATTACACATTTTGCTAAGAAAAATGAAAAGATTTAAGCATAAAAAGAACGCAAAATTAAAATTCTGTTGCTCAAATTCTTATTAAATTAAATAGAATTTTAAAATGATGGCAGTTCTGATGCTGTTTAACCGTGTCTACAAGCCCTAAGAAGGTTTCCAATGATTTTAGACCATTTAAGAGATTTGATTGTTTATAATCTCAAAATTTCGAAATTATTCTGATTATTCAGGTATACAGGGTTACTTAAACAAACTGATGGCCACAAATTTATAGAAAATGTTCAGCAAATAATTAAAATGATTCGTACAAAATTCAAACGAAATATTTTGTAAGTTCTTTCAAACTTGAGCTCTTTTAAAGAAAAGCTCAAAATAAAACCTGTCAGAACTAGTGTATCGGGCAGAAACCCAATGCGGATTATATTCACACCGTACCATCAAAAGTCTAATGGATAGACCAAGATTTTCCCAGCATAAGTATGAAGGTATGAAGCTTGATAAGTCAACTGAGCTTCGCTCAGCATAAGTTTGAAGATATAAAGCTAGCGAGTGAGCTGAGCTTCGCTCAGCATAAGTTTGAAGGTCTAAAGCTTAACGAACATTCTTTAAAAGTTTTTAAAAAAAATTTTTCATCCAAAGTTGAATTTTATAAAAATCACAGTCAACTTTTGTTTTGAAAAATTCGTAAGTAAGGAAAGTTTTTTGCTTTTTCTGAAGCAACGGCTGTTCCTACTTTGCCCAAAAACAATACAGCTCTTCTATAGAGTAGCACGGATCAAATGTAAAAAACTAGAAGTCTCTACGATGTCTCGTTATTGAGATTTCTTGCTGATTAACTTGCTTGCTTGCTTGTTTGCTTGTTTGCTTACAGAAAGCGTATTTTGCGATTTTCTCAGCAATGTTACAACCAATTTGAAATCTGTTTTTTGAAAATGATGTAAAATTTCAGGCACAAACTTTTCTTCTTGACCTTTTATAACCAATTTTGCTTCGTTTTCTCAAAAAATGCGAAAAACTTCTATATCCTAAAATAGATTTTATATTCACACCGTATTCACTTTATTTTTGTTCAGCTTGAAAAACAGTTTTTCGCATTTTGAGAAAAAAAGAAAATGGGCAAAAACAGAATTTAAATTGGCTGTAGCATTGATGGGAAAATCGCATGATACGTAAGCAAACAAGCATCAAGGCAAGTAAATCAGCAAAAATCTGAAAAACGAGGCATCTTAGAGACTTCTAATTCTTGCATTTGATTCTTTCTGCGTTAAAAAGGATAAGGCTTTATTTTTTTATTGGGTAAGGTAGAAACAGGCATTGTTTCCAAAAAAGCAAAAAACCCTCCATCCTCTATCCTGCATCACATGAATTCGAATTTTGTCAATGACTTTTGTCAATGAAATTTTGAAAGACTTCATTTCAAAACTATTTGCAAAAACAAAAAGTTTAAAATTTTGTGTGAATATGATTTCTTGAGTGAATAGATCTTTGATACATTAAACATCTAGGCTCTAGGCTTTTAAAAAATTTACATACATAAAGGCATAAAAACCAAGTTTTCAACTTAAACATTCAACCAATATTTATGTTTTCTTCTTATTTAAGTTTTTGGAATAATGAAATTGACAAATTAATAAGTGGGATTTTTTTGGATGAAAATCCTATTATATAATAAATCAACTTATTAATACAAGTGGAATTATTATCCACTATGACAAATAAGTTTTTGGATTTGATTTAATCTATAATATTAATCGTGTTCCATAAAGATAATAATCCCACTTAGAAATGTAAGTGAAATTATTATCTACCTGGGAGATAATAATCCCACTTGTAATTATAGGTGGGATTATTATCTTTCCGGAAGGATAATAATTCCACGTGTATTTCTAAGTGGGAATATTATCTCGCAGGGAACATTTAAAAATTTGCGATTTTCGGGATTATTATCTCGCAGGATCGTGGAATTAATATCTTTCGGGGATTTTACCCCCCATCATCCTTGCGCAGTCCTCAAACCGTTCAATTTCTTCAGATTATTTTTCCACGAAGCAAGTGCTGCTTCCTTAACAGAACTACTGTACCTGGTTAGTGATTCCTTACAGCCAGATCGCAATGAAGCTTCAGCTATGCTAAAACCTTGTCTTACTAGCTTTTTACTTTGATTCCACTTTCTTCTTACAGCCTTTCTCATCTTATCCAACTCTGAATTATACCACTTACATCTACCATGTTTTCGATCATATGATGTGATGAAAAAAATTTATGGTTTGTAGCTTATTTCCAATTTATTAAATTTAAAAAATATAATATTACAATCATTTAATGCATTAGAATTTCTGTTTGGATTAAACGAGAGTTGGTATCACTCGGCATTCTAAAATAAATTGATGCAGCCATGACTGTTATTCCCTTGGCTTGCTCGCGAAGAAATTTTAATTTATCATCAGAATTTCCTTCGTTAAATCTTGAAATTTCTTTATTTTTAATTGTTGTATATTTTTTATAAATTATATCCATAGTTGAAAGTAAAATATCCGGAAGAATTTTACATACTTCTCCGCCAGTTCTGTAAATAAAATTTAATTAAAATACTAAAATAGTAATAAAGCAGACATAAATCATTACTTTTTGAAATTCTGAACACAAACGTCAACATCTTTCATATGCAAGGGTACAAGTTTAGTTTGAGCCAATATTTCCAAAGCTTCCTCGTGCTTATTATCGTGATAATGTTGGAAAAATTGCATCAATATCTTGAGAGTGTTGAATGTTTTCATTATTTGTGGATCGCACGTAATTTCTTTTGATCTATATCTTTCACTAATCTCTAAAGAAATCGTTTGTAATCTCTCTTTCATAGATCCTGGTTTAGTTTGTTGATGTACGACTTGTGACAATAATGTTATGATATAACGTAGAGTTTGCTCTGGATTCTAATATACAAAATGTTAAATTAGATTCAATGCAAAAAGGTTTTTAAAATTAAATTATTGTTAAAAGGAGGAGTGCAATTCGAGACAAAAAAAAAAATGTATTACCTCTGCTAAATCATACATCTTAATAGCATCTTCAAATAGTCCTTTCTTGACAAATTCATCCGCTATTCCATTACATGCCGACTGTATATTTATAACATTATCAAATTGATCTATAAATGCTCGAGATCGTATACCACTTGGCTGCATTTTTCCAAATATCAACTCATAATTGAGATTTTCAACAACTAAATCAGTGACGCATGATAAGAAAAGATTCTTTCCATTTGAATCCGTCAAGTGCCTTAGAAAATAGTAGTATTGAAGAGCTTCTCCTGGGTCACTAATCTCAAACTTTTCAACATAGAGCATTATAAGTCGAGCAATATTTAAACGTCGTAAAGGTTTTGGATCTTCTATGTCAACGATTATTAGCGGTTCTTGAATGTTTCTAGGTGTTGTTATTAAATGTAACTCGTTAAGGGCGAGAGCGAAATGTACTGCATGCGTACGATAACGTTCAAAGCGCGACAAAAATTCAATTCCAGCTTCAAATTGTCCTGTAAGAGCCAAAACTTCGAAATATCTTTGTGGTTGTTCATCTGCTTTGAAATATTTCTCTCCGTATTGCTCTAAAATTGTTCTTTGCAATGCCGGAAGTGTCAATTTGTCATTAGAATCAGTTGACACATTAGAAATAAGGTAAAGTTGCATCCACAAATAGTCTTCAAATGATGAATTAAGCTCAGATTGCTCACTACATGATCCCAAAATTGCATAGACTGCTCGCTTGTAAGGATCACTCATACGAATCTTATGTTGTTTATATTGCATTTTAATTTGAGATTTTATCTTTACACTTATTTTTCCATCAGCACTTTTTAAAAGCTCTTCAATAGCTGTTATAATGTCTTTTTGGTCTTGCAGGTTGTTTTCAAGACATTTCAAGGCAGACTTATTATCTCCACATCTCATCGAGTAAAATACATTTGGCCAGGGAAAGAAATTATCTCGTCTATCCTGCAATCCAATCAATTCATTTGGATTTCTTAGTTTTAGGTTTACAAATGCTTCAATCAGCTTGTAATTACTTGGATCGCCACCGCGTTGAGTCTCTTTTAAATGCTCAGAGATTACAGTCTGCATAAAAACACGAAAATGTTTCTCAAGATATTTCTTGGCTTGATCAACAAACTCAGAGTTAAAACGATGCTTTGCAGGATCTTGATTTTTGGGAATTGGACGTACATTCGACATGAATTTGATAATTTCCCACATTTCTAGAGTCTTTTTATCATTAAACGATTGAGCAACATTCGTAAACTTTTCAACTAGTGAAGATCTCATCGCCCGATCAAAACGATTATATTCTGTCACTTCTTTGGCATAAGCCATTTGAATTGAGTTCAAAGATGATTTAATGCCTGATGTTTCATTAAGAATGGTTTGTTCGGGAAGTTTTCGAAAATCTATCCAATTTTGAGAAGGTCCTACGAGTGCATTCATAAGCTTAACTTTTTCCATGTTCCACTCATTCATTATATGATCCCATTTTTGTGCTTGAGAGTTCTCAATGGACTATGAATATTATTTGAAAGTAATTGTCATTAATACAAATATTTTCATTTCAGAGATGAAAATAAAAAAAACTTTTTAAAAAACCACGTTTTTACCCGTTGACTAAAATGTAGAAAATAATTTTTTTATTGGGTTCAAAGGATATTGGTTTGAAAATTTGAGATTGATTTGAAAGTTTCATACTAAACTCATGACCATACATGAATTGCAAATTTGTTCACTTCGACTATATCGTATAGTTCTACATTTTAAAACGTGGAGTTTCCAAAATGCTTGAATATTGTATTGTCATGGGAAAGATAAGTGCATGCAAAATTTCAGCTCGTTTAGAGCTGTAGAAGTGGTCGAAAAATTGATCGCAAGATTTGACCAAGACAGACAGACAAGAAAGCAAGTTAAGAAAAACGTGGTAATAATAATAAAAAGAGACTTACACTTTTGTTGACATCTTGAATTATTGACAATATAGCATTTTCCTTTTCATTTTTTAAAAAGCTATGAATATCAGTGTCGTAAACTGGATCTAATGTTTCAAACGTCTTTCGAGCACTCAGTGTCTCTAAATTTTTTGAAATTTTCGGTAGATCAATTCCTTTAGATCCCAACAGAACATATCTATGACAAAAATGTTTTATTTTTATAATGGCAATATAATTAATTTACTTACGCTTGGATATCTTGTGCACTGCTCGATGAAGTAACACGACTATGAAGCTATATTAAAATGAAAAATTAATGAAATTTAAGACGCGGTAAAAAAGTTTTATCATACCTCATTTGTTGCCTTTAAAATTTGCGGCATCGATCGTTCCACCCGTGGCAAATCATCAGTATTTTGTGTATCATTGACAAGCTTTTGCGCTTGCTGCATTAATGTCGTGAAATCCATAATTAACTTCTAATTTATTTTAATGCAATGTTTTCGGCTTGTTGATTGATTCGAAGTAAATGAAGGAAATTTTGTGGCAAGTTACACAAAAAAACTGAATCGGTAAAGTACCATCGCTCAAAAATAAAAATGTCGTTAAAAACGAAATGAACTTTTCTGAAATTAACTCTTCATGTTTATAATCAGCTCTCATTAGCTGCGAAACGCCTTAGCGCACCTCTGGATCACAATTGATCTATATAGGTAAAGCACAATGATTCAGAATCGGAAAAAATGTTCAAAAATTCAAAAATAACATATTAATTAAACTTCATCTTTTAAATGCCAGATTTAAGATCTTAACTTGAGGCATATCCTATGAAAATATCTCGTCCCAATTTGATGTCTAACTCCAGAAATCATTAATTTAATCTCACCCAAAATTTGTTTATAATTTGTGTATGAAAAAAAAATATGATTTTTTCTACTTTAAGTTGTTATTTGGATGTCTTGGAAGCAATTGCTAGCTAATTTAAGCTTAGCTTTACATATTAATACAACAAACTCAATAGAAATCTGCTTATTAAGCCTTAAAAATGAATTGAAATCTGAATATTTTTGCACAACTTAAACTATTCATAAGTTTAAAAGTCTTCCAAAGACCTCTCTGAAACCTATACAAATCAATTAATTAAGCTTAAATCTATCTTCCATACAACTGGGGACATGCCGTTTGATGCCGTTTTCGAGATATTTGCGATCAAAGTTTACATCAATTTTCATACAAAATTTGATCATGCACAATATTTTTTGATAAACTTTTACAAAGTTTTGGTAAAAAATCATGTTTATCCTTTATATTAAGGACTGATTTTTTGAGCAATGAACGAAAACATTATCTAGAAGATGCTAAAAGATTCAAATCAAGAGAAATTAACAAAAACTTTCAATTTTCTAATGTGTCGGAAAAATATTGTGCACAAGGAATTTTTGAACATTTTTTCCGAATCTGAATCATTGTGTAAAGGTTTTTTTTTTGTTTATAATCATAGACAATAAAAAAAATAATTGGAAGTTGTTTTAATTTATTTGTGAGTTTTCATTTATTATTTTTAAAGATAACATTTAAAAAAAAAGTACTTACATTAGATTACCTCCAAAATCTTGTGGACTGGTCTAATTTAATTAAACACATTAATTTCTTTTATTAGGGATTTTGAACAATTAATTTAATATTGCATTCTTCTCGTGCTAGTTAATCTTATTGAATTATACACGAAATAGACTTTAGACGAGCCTTGCTTTATTGCTGAAATAATATTTATAAGAAGAAAAAGATAATATGAAAAAATTCTTCAGATTATTGATCAACAGTCATCAGCATGAAATCAATATTACTATTTTCTTAAAAAATCATTTAGATTTTAATTTCATACTGATGAATTATCCAACTTCTTGAAACGATACGACCTACTATCTATACTTAAGCCTGATTTTAAAATTCTTCTCTCTCTTTCTCTCTCGATTCAGCTCATCAGAATGCTGTAATAATTATAATCAAAATTCATTAATACTATTGTAAAATGCATCAATCAAGAATTCATAGCTTCAGACAATCATTATCTTTGTTTTCTTTAGAGAAAAGGAACCTACATTTTCATTTATCTTGGTAAGAAATCATCCTCGCAAGGAGAAAGATGACTTTCTGAAACATTGATTTCTCAATCTCATTTGCATCTATCCCACCTCTCAGATATTTTTCATTTTCATTCTTCGGTCCACATATACATCCTAAAAATATTCATTGAATTAACTAGCAGATCGGAATGCAATAATCAAGATCCATTTTTGGAGGTATCTTCTAGCAGAATATATGCTAAGCTTATTGTATGAAATTAAGTTAATATAACAATAAGAAATAATAATAAAGAGATAATTCAGAAAATCGTGTACCATCATTTAATTTGTGTTTTCCCAGGAACTATGATGCATTATTGTGACAAACAGAGCAATATTCCAATGATATTCTTCCAGTATTGATGTGCAAACAAACTCCAGGAATATTAGGTTCGTCAAATTGATTTAACTGGTAATGAGAATAATTGTGTTCGATTGATATTTCTGGAAATAGTGAAGATCCAGATGTATGATCTAAACCAGGTACATCTGAAAAATCATTTACTGCATTGAGTGGACTCTTCAGGATTTCATCCCATTCCGTAGCTATATTCTCAGCTTCTAAATCTATCAAAAAAGAATCATCAATATATGAAGCTAAGAAAGGATCGTTTGTTTGTTTACTACCGTCATCGGATGTGCTGCATGAAAGTGTGTCAGATGATGATTTAGGTGAGTCGATTAACACACGATGATTTTTTTCCATTCCATTCTTTGCGTTTAGCGATTTTAAAATTGACACAATTTCTGTTTGATTTTTCAGCACCGACTTTAAGTAATAAATTTCCTTGTTTAATTTCTTCATTTGGCAATCTTGTGTTTTAATTACTTTGTGAAGTCGACAATTTTCATCGCGTATAAAATTCACATCTTTTTCCAAATTCGCAATCATTTCCTTCTTACGTTTTCGATTTTCACGAGCCAGCAATGCATTTCGATTCTGAATTTTTAGATTTGGTACTCTTGTTGGTTTACGCTCAATTTTATGTCCACTTTCTCTCATTAACTTGGAAGGTTTTGCATCCAATTCACTGTCGTCATCAGAATATGATATATTGGATCCAGTATAGTACGTTTCGTCTTCTTGCAATTTAAAACTTGATGATCGGAGTTTCTTGCCAGCACTCATTTTTTGTCGATTGTTGATTCGCAGAAAATTCAAGTCAAAAATTGGTCAATTACAATTGATCAAAACTCGTATTCGTCGATTTACTTACACAGTTTATGTTGAGACGAAGCAATTTATGCTATTTTTGAGCCTCAATGTACAGGAAACGGTTATTTAAAGTTATTTTCACAATTGATTGAAACTTTTCTCCTTCTAAAGATGGCGGAATCGGTTATATACCTTTTCTCAATCGGTTTATAAACTAGAGAAAGCTTTATACATTTTTGGGAAATAAACATTATTTTAGTATTTTTTTAATATATAAATATTATTGATTTTTAAAACTAATTATGGCTTCAAATCGTCAACGGCGTGTTAACGCAGGTAACCGATATGCTAGGATATTAAATGAAGAAGAGGAAGACGATGAGTTTTACAAGACACAGTACGGAGGATTTAGTGAAGAAAAAGCCGACGATGATTATTTGTAAGCATTATAATTTAATTAATCCTGTAATAACTGAGTTGTTAAAGCAATTTAAAATTTTAGAGCAAATGAAGATGACCAGGATATTGTAGATTCTGATTTTTCAATTGACGAGAATGACGAGCCCGTGAGTGATAAAGAAACGGAGGAACCAAGAAAGAAAAGGAAGAAGGTAGTCGTTACAAGAAGCTACAAGGAACCGTCTAAACAGATCAAGAAACCACAACAAACAAAACACAAACTCATTTCACAGACATCGAAAAAAAAGTCAATTTTGTCTGCAGAGTTCAAAAAATCACTTAGAAAGTCAACAAATGCAAAGTCTGCGGCAACTCAACACAGAATTTTAGTAAGAAATGAAGCGGAAAAGTTGAAGCCAAAATCTATTAAGATTGATGAGAAGATACCAACGCAAGAGGAACTTTTGAAGGAAGCAGCACTCACGGAAACAGAAAATATAAAGTCACTAGAGAAATTTCGCAGAATGGAATTGGAAAAGAAGAAAGTTCGACCGACAAAAGCAAGCTCTTTTACAGGAGCTATTATAAGATATCATTCAGTTTCAATGCCTGTCGTTGTCAATGATTTGTCACAATTATGGGAACAGCAGCAGCATGATGAGACAGAGGAAATAAAGAGAACAACAAGAAGAAGTCGGCTAGCTGCTAACGATTCGACTAAAACAATTAACAAAAATCGTTGCGAACGGACTTTCATCACGTTTGAAAATGATATTAATAATAAAATTTTTGAAGAAATATTTCCACCGTCAGAACAGAAAAAGCATAGAAAAGGCACTCAGATTTGTCCAATCACTAATCTCCCAGCAAAATATTTTGATCCAATCACTCAACTTCCCTTCAATAATATCATGGCATTTAAAATACTTCGAGAATCCTATTATCAAATGCTCGAAGCTAAAGCAGACCAAACAGATTCTGACGTTTTGGCATGGCTTCAGTGGCGAAAAAAATCTAAAATGCAAATTAAATCCATTAAATCGGAAAAATAAATGTAACCTCCTTTCAGTATTTATTTGTTTTCATCTATTCATTTAATTAAGGTTTTCATTTTTTGAGGAGCTTAAGGAATCCTTTTTTTTGATTTAGAAAGTCGCTTTCAGCTTTGCTATTTGGCGGCAAAACATAAAACATTAAATAGCCGTTATAGATATAAAAGTTTATATCACTCACGACATCTTTGATGGGGATGATAGGATTGGCTTTATAAACTTGACATTTAAGGCGATTTTCAAAATAAATGTGAAGGCTTTTGGGATTTTTGTAATTATGTGCCGACGTTTCATCCGATGAAAACATATCGTCGAGGCATTCATTTAACGTTTGCATTTCATGAGTCCTTTGTAGAATATCTGTAATGGTAAACTCAGGGTAGCAGAAAACAATTGGCCAATAGAGTGAGCCTTGTTGGTCTAGCGATACTGGAAAATTTTCAAGTGGTTCAATTTTGGGTCTTATGGTTTCTATTGACAAAAGAGAGATTAAATCTCCCCTTTGTATTTCCTCAAACTTTACATTTCTTTGAATTAAAACCTGTACAAGCGTTTGGAATTCTTGACGTTTCTTTTTCTCTTCCATCTGAGCTTTTCGTTCATTTCTAAGCTTCTCTGCTTTCTTGGCTAATGCAGTTTTTTGAACGTCAATTAAATCTTTGTTAGATGGATCTTCCAATATAAATTTCTCGACATCCTTACATGCTTCGTCGTATTTTTTTAGCTCCATATTGCATTTAATTATGCGAAGCTTAACTTTATCATACTTGCTTTTGTATTTTAAAGCATTTTGTGCATCAACATATGCTGAACGATAGTTTTGCAACAAAAACTGAGCCAATGATCTATTGTTGTAGAGATTTGCAATAAGTTCTTTGTTTTCATGACCTGAACTATGATTTAAGCCCTCTGTATAATTCATTATCGCAATCCTATATTTCTTATGCTTCATCCAGTAATTTCCGTCTTCTTTATATTTCTCTGCTAATTCCTCAGGTGAATTTTCTTCTGGATCAAATTTCAGTTGCTGTAATCCTTCCAACATCGGATGAATTTCTTCTCCAGGTTCTGGTGCTTTTTTCATAAAAAAAGGATGTCTATCAAATTCCTAATAAAAAAGATTCACTACACGTGAATATAATAACTTTTTAAGAGTAAGATTAATTAATTCTTTACCTCTTGCCAATTTTCCTCAGACCATCCATCTTTGTATCGTTTCTGTTCCAAAGAGCCTATAAATTCATCTAGATCTCTATCTAATTTTTCAGCTAGCTTAATTCTTTCTTCCTCAGAAATTTTTGTTTTCGAGCTGCTCATTTTTATGTATGAACCGATTCAATTTAATTGAAATAACCGATTGAGTAGTTTTAATAATAATTTCTTATCCCAAAAAAAACCTAATAATGATTTCATTTCTTTAAAGTTTTATCGGAAACATTCTCAGTGACTTTATATTACTCATTTAACAGCTCATAATAATAACATATAATGGTATGAAATGGAGCTATTAATAATTGCTTTAAAAATAACTATGTATGCACAAAATTCTTTAGAATCGAGATGTTGAAGCATCGAAGCTGTTTTTGGAGTCTGAGAGAGAAAGTACTAGACAAGCAACGACGAGGTCGTCAGGAGAAGCTGGAAGATCAACAAGCCCCGTACAGGATTTAATAAAATGTTTTTGTGGGACTTGTGATACATGGTTTAAACGTCAAATTATTGAGTTTGCATTAAAATCAAATGGTGAAGCGATCCTCAGAGATGGTGATTCAAGGCTTTTACTTAAGAAATTTATGATTTATCGGAAAAATAACTCTAATTTCAAAACGCAATTGGAAGAAATAGTCGAATGCTTTGAATTAGCACAAGATGTATTGAACGGTGAAAAGGATTTAGAAGAAAATCGTGCTGACTTAGATGATGCTTGTTACACAGAATATTGGGTGGGTATATAATAGTTTCTCCAGGACCCAATACGTGTTCGAAAATTTGTTTTGTTAACATTAGCTCGAGTTTTAACTTTTATAACTTGTTATCATTTAATAATGGAATAAAACTCCATTTGTGATCAATTAAAAACCCCATTTGATGTCTATTAAGGCTATTTTGACGATCTCGAACATTTGTAGCGGATAAAATTTGATCCACTAATTTCGAATAATAAGATCCATGTTTGTACACATTGGTTCAGGACATGATATATTATATTATAAAATTAATATTTTAGGAAGACTATCTCACTCGAGCAATTGATGATGGTACAACAGACGACTTTTTTCACGACCTAATTCGCGAATCATCGATTAGGCTTGAAAATAGCGCAGAATATTCGATATTTAAGGATGAACTAAAGAAGAAGCTTAGCCTAAAGCAGTAATAAAATAAATCACAGAGCATCACAAAATGTCCTTAATTTATATAAAAAATTATTTATTTAAGGTATAAATCTGTAATAAAAATGCCTTGTACACAAAAAATAAAGAAAGCTTAACTCTTCTCAGGCAGCATAAATTTATGAATGAAAAATGCATTTATTATTTTTTAATTGATGAAAAAGGTAATATTTTAATTAAGATAATAATTTGGATTAAATAGTAAGCATAAATTGAAGGAAAAAAATGGAAAGTTTGCTCATCAATACACTCTTTATGACTGACATTTATGTTTTTAAATTATGAAAGAAAAATAATAAGATGAATTGTTTTGTTTTTTTTTTCAAATGTAGATAATTATATGATTAGAATGTAGAAAAAAAGGAAAAGCTATTAATGTGAAGCAAATAATGAAATTTAGATACGATCTGTTGCGCGTAATTTTTCTTCGACAGATTCTTTCGAAGCTTCGGATAAATCGGATGCTTGAATGTATTTCTGAACACCAACAAGTGACTTCTTGAGTGCATCAAAAGAACTTGCGTACAGCATCTTCATTTTGATTTTAGCGGTGTCAGGACTGTAAAATAAACAATAAGCTTGTTTTTTGTGGATCAATTGAATTATTAAGATATTAGCTTACCACCACAAAAGAAGGAATAGTTTTTGTTTCTTTGAGGACTCCGTTGTGCCTTGATGCTGATGCATATATTCAAAATCAAACAAGCCATAACGACATTCGCCAGTTCCTCCTTTTTGCAAATCATCCAAAAACTGATCATATTCAGCTTCACGATCTCCAATTACTTCAACATCAATTTGCTTCTCATCGACAATATTAAAAATCACATAGCGATGTTTCTTGTCTTTCTTAATCTCCTCAAAGATTATCTTGCATTTATCAGCAACTAAATAATTTTATTTTATATTTTTTTTTTTTGTAGATGTATGTATGTGTCATTTTTTTGGGCGGATGAAAAAAAGGAAAAAATTTGCAAACAAAAATGTGTTTTGTAAAATTTTCCATTTAATTTCCATTATTCGATATAATTAAATACTTGCAGCGTAAAAATATGCTTACCTTCAACACCGCTAGCCATTTTTTATAATTTAATATTGAGTTTTTACAGCGAAAATTGAAAAACAATTTTAATGGTGATTTCAGTCAAAAAAAATTACAGACCGGCTGTTTTTTGAACCGGTTTTAAATTTTGGAAACCGTTAAGTGATATTTTTGAAAAACAATTGTCTGTTATGAAATATAATTTTATTTGAACTTATAAGGATTATGGTCTAGTAAAACTGTATTCTTTTTCAGTAAGAAAATTATAAAATTTCGTTCTAGTCAATTGACATAATGTCGCGAAACATTGGAGTAAAATGATTAGAACTGCAACAAAAATACAAACGATAGTTGTCTGTCCAGGATAATTCCAATTAAGAATCGAATAAATATAATCTCTGCCGATTGCATCAGTTCCACCACTATAAAAGTATACGAGAGAAAAAACTAAATAGCATAATCCCCCGGCAATTGGATAAATAAAGTGTAGAAGATGGATAGGATGTGAAACCACGCATATTTCAATGAACATAAAGATTGAATTTGACGAATGAATTAGGAAATCGTGTAGAGTCAAGGTCCCTAAATAAGAAATTTTTTAATGATTTCAAATCAGTTATTATTTAAATTGTAATTTACGTTAATTATTTTATACCTGAATTCCAATCATACAATGCTGACCAATAAACGATAGTAATCATAAATGCAAGTACTATTGACATGTTCGATACAACCCAGAAAAGTTTGTAGCTTAATGAAGCAGCTTCAATTTTTATTATATCAAAATGATACAATGTGCTAATAATGGCAGCGTATAGTGTAAAAAGTGTGACTAATAAAATTCCAATATTAGTTAAATATATAAAAAAATAAGCAATTGTCGTTGGATCTTGCAATAATGAATATGCGAGGACGAACATAAAAAATGCACAAATGGTCCATCGATATGTCAGGAATATCCAACTCTTGGCACTTTTTTGCCATTGAGACTTTAAAAACACTTCAGGATCATCATGATGCAATTTTATTGAGCGAATTGATGGAAATCCAATTTTCAATAGCATGTTGGAAAAGCTTAATATAGACTAAAATTAATTTGTAAAAAAAATAGCAAAACGTTAACAGATTTGTGTTTAGATGTATTGCCATTATAAAGTACTGATAAGTTTGCGATAAAGTTATGATTGCGTGAAAATTGATAAAGAACCTAATTCATATGAAAGGAAGAATTTAAAATGTAACATGTTCCATCAAGATGCAAGTTGGACAACGGTTAGGTACAAAAAAAATATTCTTTAAAGTCTTCGGAAATTTTGAAATATCAAGTTCCAAAACAAATTTAAAGATCCAACGAGATATTAATTCCACGATCCTGCGGGATAATAACCCCGAAAATTGCAAATTATTATTCTTCCGGGAAGATAATAATCCCACCTATAATTACAAGTGGGATTATTATCTCCCAGGTAGATAATAATTTCACTTACATTTCTAAGTGGGATTATTATCTTTATGGAACACGATTAAAATTATGGATTAAATTAAATCCAAAAACTTATTTGTCATAGTAGATAATAATTCCACTTGTATTAATAAATGGATTTATTATCTAATAGGATTTTCATCCAAAAAAAAATCCCACTTATTAATTTGTCAATTTCATTATTCCAAAAACTTAAATAAGAAGAAAATATAAATATTGGTTGATTGTTTAAGTTGAAAACTTGGTTTTTTATGCCTTTTGTAAAGTTTCTAAAAGCCTAGAGCCTAGATGTTTAATGTATCAAAGATCTATTCACTCAAGAAATGATATTCACACAAAATTTTAAATTTTTTGTTTTTGCAAATAGTTTTGAAATGAAGTCTTTGAAAATTTAAAACGTGCGGAACTAATAAATCACGTTTTTATCATTTTTGTCATTGGTAAAATTTGAGTTCACGTGATGCAGGATAGAGGATGCAGGGTTTTTTTGCTTTTTTGGAAGCAATGGCTGTTTCTACATTACCCAATAAAAAAGTAAAGCCTTATCCTTTTCAACGCAGCAAGAATCAAATCTAAGATGCCTCGTTATTGAGATTTTTGCTGATTTACTTGCCTTGATGCTTGTTTGCTTACGTATTATGCGATTTTTCCATCAATGCTACAGCCAATTTAAATTCTGTTTTTGCCCATTTTCTTTTTTCCTCAAAATGCGAAAAACTGTTTTTCAAGCTGAACAAAAATAAAGTGAATACGGTGTGAATATAAAATCAATTTAAGATATAAAATTTTTTTCTGACAGGTTTTATTTTAAGCTTTTCTTTGAAAGAACTCAAGTTTGAATATTTCTATAAATTTGTAGCCATCAGTTTGTTTAAGTAACCCTGTATACCTGAATAATCAGAATAATTTCGAAATTTTGAGATTATAAACAATCAAATCTCTTAAATGGTCTAAAACCATTGGAAACCTTCTTAGGGCTTGTAGACACGGTTAAACAGCATCAGAACTGCCATCATTTTAAAATTCTAGTTAATTTAATAAGAATTTGAGCAACAGAATTTTAATTTTGCGTTCTTTTTATGTTTAAATCTTTACATTTTTCTTAGAAAAATGTGTAAACAAATATTATGATTAGATTTACTAATCTAATTTTGTTAAGGGCAATTTACAATTCATTGAATGACTTTTAGAAAATTTCAGGAAATAATCGAAAATTTATTATTTTGCCCATTAGAGGTCCTGATTTAATAATTCTAATCGATATAAATAACTCGATGACAGAAATCCATTCCATTTTCATCATTCGAAGAATTGAAAATTAAAGAAAACTGTTGAAATTAGTATTAAATAACTGCTGAGTTGTAAAACAGACAAAAATCTGCAATTAAGTAGTTTTTCTGTATGCTTTAAGTCATTAAATAATGAAATATTTCAATTCTTTTAAAAAATATCATGTGTCATCGAGTTATTAAAAAGCTTTTGTTGAATTTTCAACATTTTAATAGATCGTTTCTAAAGAATTAATTGTCGTTATTATCTCCGAAATTTCTAGCTTATTTATCCTTCACAGTAATATGAAATTAATGAAAACGGATGAAAACATTTTTTTTAAAAAAACTCATTGAATTTGGATTATGAAAGCTTTGGATTATGGAACCATGAGACTGGATTATGGAACCATGATAAATAAACTATTTTTCTTAGACTGAGAAATTTAAAAATGTTTATCGAGATTTTTTAACAAAAAAAAATTGTCTGTTTATATGAACAGGCTAACACCAATTTCATGTCCATTTCGACTGAAATAACAGTCGAATGAATGAAGCGAAACAAAATGGAATTAAAGCTACATTTTCTTTAAACATTCTAGCGAATCTCGAACATAATTTTATATGGAATAGCTAACGTCGTTAGATCAGTTGAACCCACTTGAACCCACCTTGATTTTATTTTTTAAACAATTTGGAATAATTTATTTTTAAAAAGCAAATATTCAGCCAATATTTATGTTTTCTTCTTATTTAAATTTTGGAATAATGAAATTGACAAATTAATATGACAAATAAGTTTTTGGATTTAATTTAATCCATAATTTTAATCGTGTTCCATAAAGATAATAATCCCACTTAGAAATGTAAGTGAAATTATTATCTACCTGGGAGATAATAATCCCACTTGTAATTATAGGTGGGATTATTATCTTCCCGGAAGAATAATAATTCCACGTGTATTTCTAAGTGGGAATATTATCCCGCACTTTTGAAAACTTAGCCAATTTTTTTAAATTTCTGTCCAAAAATCTTATTTTGTAAGTAATCATACCTACTCAATATATCGAACATTCTTGCACTTATCAATACTTTAAATTATGAAATATGTATTTTCTAAATCCAACTTAGTGAATCTGGCAAAGTCCTACGAATTTTATTAAAATGTTCTTTGATTTACAGTGACTTTTAAACTTGATTCCGTTAAACCGATTGAGTTAATAACCGATTTGCTTAAAAATTCGTCAAGTCACTCAAAAATTTATTTTTATACATAAATTTCAATCAAATCTGGTTAAAAATAGTGCGAAAAATGTCACAAGCTATTGTAGCAACATATTTGAGTGAGCAAAAGCGTACAAGCGATAAGGAACTGGCTGAAGAATGGGGAAAATTAGAAGAATTGTACAATGAAAAGTAAGCGCAAAAAAATATACAATACATTTAATGCTTAATTTTATTTTGATTGAATATTCCAGACTTTATAATGAATTAACATTGAAGCTGGATTCTTTTGTTACGAATCCAAAAATGCAAAATGAGCCAGCATTGATCCAGTTATACACAAACTTTATTCAATCGTTTGAGACTAAAATCAATCCTTTCTATCTTGTTGAGATTTTAGCTGTTGTTATTGGACATATGAGTGATAAAAAGGAAGCAGTTGCGTTCATTGAAAAGATAAAGGAAAAAGTCAAAATGTGTGACGAGGCACATAATTTCTGTCAAGTGCTTCAAGGGCAAATTTACTTAGAATTTCTTAATGATCTTGATGCAACAAAGAAAATTATTGAGGATTTGAGAGATACATTAGATGAGGCTGTAAATGTTACACCTGTTCATGGAAAATACTACCTTCTAGCATCACAATATTATCGTCTGATTGGACAACATGCTGATTATTATAGATCTTCGTTGCAATTTTTAGGATGTTCCATCGATAGCTTTCCAAAAGATCAATGGGCTCAGCAGGCTTTCTTTTTGGGATTAGCAGCATTGCTCGGTGAAGGTATCTACAATATTGGTGAGTTACTGTCACATCAAATTATTGATTCACTCACTGGAACTGAATACGAATGGCTAATTGAACTGTTGAAAGCTTTCAACAGTGGTGATATTGCGAAATTTGAACAAATGAAACCACAATGGTCTCAAATGGCTGATTTAGCAGCCCAAGAAACTAAACTGAGACAAAAAATTTCACTTTTGTGTCTAATGGAAATGACATTCAAACGTCCAGCTAATAATCGTACCATAACATTCATGGAAATCGCTAATGAAACTCGATTGCCTGTTAAGGAAGTTGAACATCTTATCATGAAAGCATTAGCTCAAGGACTTGTCCGAGGTGCAATCGATCAAGTTTCAGGAGCTGTTAATATGACCTGGGTTGCTCCTCGTGTTCTCGATAGAAAACAAATATCTGGAATGGCAAACACCCTCGAAGTTTGGATTCAATCAATAACGACAATGGAAAAACTGATCGAATCCAAAGCATCAGAAATACTTACCAATTAAAAATTTGATACTTGATCACGTTTAAAATTAAAAAGAATAAAGCAAAATCTTCATTATTCATAGAATTGTTGTCATTAACATTTTTTTTATTTCTATGTTCACATGAACGCAATTAGGCATATTTTTTATGTACACAATATCATAATATTAACATTAATTTAACAAAAGGAATCAAATATTTAGACAACGAAGCTTTTTCTCAGGAACTCTTGATGAATGGGCAAATGTGACATTCCGATAAAATGTTTCATGATGATCTCTTTGAATCCTGTCTGGCTGCTGTCCCATCACTGAATATATACATATTCTTCGCTTAATAACTTCTTCTTTTACTAGTTTCTCTAAAGTAAAAAGATGCTCGTCATCGGCATGAGATATTTCTTCGCGCATAAATATTGCTAGCCTCATTAGATATTCAATATTATGTCCACTATTTCCAGAAGCATCAACTATCTGCTTTGCAATCACATCTGGTTTATCATCTCCTAGCCAGTAACTGTTTAACGGCGTTGCAATATACAAAACGACAGGAAAAGCCTCTCCACTTATACCTGAAAACTCACTAGCTACACGAGGATAAAATTTGGTGTATTTTATTTCATATCCTCCTAACGTGCATTCTCTTTGCTCTAAATACTCTAATGCATAATCTCCCGTTACTTTATACGCACATCCCCACGTCAAACTTTTTTTATCTTCTACTAGTGTAACGACTCTGCCAGGCTGAAAAAAAATAACAATAATCCCATTAAATAATTTGAGCAGATAAAGTGTAAAAAATATATATATAAATATAAAGTTTGGTACGTGTGATAAAAATTTTTTTTGTGTCATGATCAAAGCTCTTAGATTTTAAGTACTCATTTTATACAATCAACAAACTTGTGTTTTATCAAGAATCTACAAATATATTTTTGCTGTCTGACTTCTGTCTACATTTTGACTTCAAAACAAATATAATTAGCTTATTTTTAAGTACTTTCGACTATGTTGTTCACTTTGGTTCCATTAAATAATGAGCGATTAGCGACACAAAAGCAAATGTGCGCTATATATCTCTTTTGCTGAGCAATGCGTCATTGACTGACTTAAAAACGGTTATTTCCCTCGTGAGGTTATCAAAATAATTTATTTTGCTTTCATTCGGTCCAAGGTTTTTCTTTGTGACAAATTTTTTTATGGAGGAAAGAGTAGTAACTTTTAAAATAGAAAATATTTGCAATTTAATATTTTATTGCTTTAAAGATAAATATCTTTAGAATCATTGAAATAGCACATTTTTACTTTTAAAACATAGAAATTCATACTGTGAAATACTTTGGTCAGTTTTCATCAGAAAATTTTCTTTGGCTTATATGGTCTGTTCCCATAGTTCTTTTTATTTTATTTTTTTTTTTTTTAAATTAAACTAAAGCTAAGCTACAGCATATTGAATGACGCACTTTTAAGCTGAAAGTCCTAAGTTCGTTTTAGAACAATTGCTAATTTAATGAGTACTTATTTTGCGACCTAATAAATTTGAATAGCACGTGTAAGGAAATTAAATTAAAAACTGTTTGTTGTATCATAAGCATTTTATGAAAACTGAAAACATCAATCAATAATATTTGATAAAGCTTACGTTTTCGACAGTTCCGCGATGAGTTACATTTCCCTGCCAAAATTTACGAGAATACCCGCGAACATCTACAATGATTCGACACAAAGGGAAACAATATAGTGATTTTTATTACTTTTAATTAAATGTTGCATACATCCAGTTAAACATTCAGCATACTCAAATCCTGGGTTCCAAATTAACGAGCCATAACCAAAAATGTATACAGAATTAGAACTCTTAGAATTTTCTGAAGAGTCCGAGTTGTCGCGAAATATGTTGTGCACAGTATCCATATTTTAAAATTAATACTAAATTAGCTGCTGCACTTTTAATGTTGCGTTTATTTTTATAGAAAAAAAAAATTGAGGAAGTTGCAATTGATTTTAATTTCTCTTGCTTTCAATGTTTTCGTTTCACCATTGTATTAGATATATGGATATAAAAAAAATAATATTTTGATTAAGCAATTTTTTTGCTGTTTGACTATTTTTTGTCAAGAATAATATTATAAACTTTTTGTTGCCACTAAAAAATCACTGTTTATACGTTTTAAAATTTTTCCTCGAATTTTCTATACTATTGACTGAATACTTGGCCAGATGATGAACGAATGAAATCGTAGATTTTCGTTTCATTTTTTTTTTCTCACTCCGTCTCTTATATTTTTACTTAACGTTATTTCTCTCGTCATTTCTTCTTGATAATAATAATTATTTACTACAAGTTTCATTTTTTTGGCAAAATTGCTGTATTAGTATCTATACTATCTATTGAAAAGAAAAACAATAATTAATTCATAATTTTGAATTTAAAAATAAAACCTAATTCATTCGATTTGATTCGAAAGTAAGTTGGTAATAATTTATCACCAACTTCAATAGAATAATTTCATTCAGTTAGATGATCCAGCTTTTAATTTACTTTTAAATTTGACAGTGATGCAAGGAAATATGAAATTGCGTCATGAGAAATTCCAAAAAATAAGAAGAAGTATGTTGCTTTATTTTCTATTAAACTTTCACATTTTTTTCTGAGTTACTATATATGTTAAATTTTATACTTACTTAATGATACTTTATTCTTAAAAAATTATCAATTTTTTAAGATTTGTCTGTTCTTTCAAAGATATTGAAGAAAACATCGGAAAAGAATGAAGAAGCGAGAGAAAATTTGAACGATTTTTCTTAATAAGTTGAAACTTGGTACTCTGGGTTTTTGATGATATTTTTTGATTTATTCTAATTCTAATTTGAAATTTTCCTCGCAATATAAGCGCCAAATCAAAATGTTCACGAGGGAATTTTTGTAATGTTCAATGTTGTTTAAAGTATTACAAAATCTCAGACCTGTCCTAAACGCAGACGTATTTTACGTGATAAACCTGAAATAAGTTTAAAACTTTTTAAAGAAGTTGAACAATACGTAGACATCAATTAGATTTTTTCAATATTTTTTTACTCTTAATTTTTTTATCATTTATCACATTTTAAAAAATTAAAACTGTTCAAATTACAAATTACGGCGTATTATCAGATTTAAAAAAAAACTTTTGAAATTAGTTTTTTCTTTCTCTATATTATTATTACTTTTATCTTAATTACAAACTTTAAATGATAATATTTCATTCCTATTACGAAATTATAAAAACATCTATTTCCTAGTCATGAAAAGTTTTTTAAAAAAAATTTGAAGAATTTTTAAAAAAAAATCCGATTCTTTTATTATTTCAAACATTAAGATAGGTAGACAAGTTTTAATTAATTTCTTTTTTTTCTTTATGTATCTCATCACACTATCAATTTAATTTAAAAAAAAGAAATTAAGATGCATAAAAAGATCACTTTTTAAAAGTATAAATTGCAAATCAGAAAAGATTCGTCAAAATATTTTGTACTGTACCTTAATTGATTTTTCTTATTTATTTTATACTTCCATTAATGATAGCTTTTTTTATTAAGCCCATCAGTTAAAATTTTGAAATAAATGAAAAGAACTTAAACAATAGCTTTCTCAACAAGAAGATGAAAAGAAAGCTCAATACTGCACTGGCAAATTCGATGATATTGTACATCATCACGCTTTCAACAACAATTCGCCTTTAGTAACCTAATAAGAATTTACTGTACAATTATTTGTTAATTAAAATTCCTTAAGTAATATTTACAATCCTTATAGTAACTTATCAAATTTTATGCATTAAAAAGACATTACTTACAAAAGAATATTCGTACAAAACTAGAAATTCTTATTTATAGTATTACAAAAGGTAATTTTGATACCTTGAATTTTGATACAAAATGTGTTTTTATATTATAATTTCTTTTCAATAAAAAACAAAGTTCGAAGAGTTTAGAAACTTATAATCTTCAAAACTACCTTTAAGCATCTTCAAAAAATCGTTTCTATCTTATTTTATTACTTTTTCAAATCAATTATTCTAAACTATTGTTCCATTTTTGCGCAATTTTTTAATAAAATTTTCAAAAAAATCAAATTATTTTGTTTAAAATTTATCACAAAACTATTAATTGTTATATTTTTGTTTGTCAACTATAGTCAGTTTTGAAAAGGTGTGTGTGTGTGTGTGTTGACTATTATAATAAGAATAATAGAAATATGAATCAAAGCAATCTCAAGATATCTCTTACAGTCCCAAAGGCACAATCATAGATAAAATTAAAGTTGTTTCATCAATTATTCTGTGTTTTCAAATTGTTTGCATGATTCAATTTAATATTTTAATTTTTTAAATTTAAAAATTACGAAATAATTATTGAAAAAGTAAATGTAAGTTGTTTTTTTTTCTCTTCAAAATTTAGCAAATTATTAGTTTTTACTTGTTTTTTACATTAATCGATTGACGTGTGGAGTTTTTCGACGATTATGCGATATATTTAAAGAATTAGGAGAAGAGATTGATGTTGAAAACTCCAAGCGCGGTCTCTTTTGTTGAGGTTGCTGTGGTGAGAAAAGACTGTTTGTATCATCATCATCAAAAAAATCTTTTGAACCATTTATATCTAGTGTTAGAGCTTCACGTGCTGACTCTTCAATGTCAATATCATAGAAATCTTCTGTAATCTAAATGAATAAATTTTAACTTACTATGATCATATGAAAATGTATTTCAATTAATTCGTACCTCTACGTCAAAATCCATATCAGGTTCATCATCACTAACTTGAGCATCATTGAGAGATTCTGGTGTATCTAAAAAACTTTCATCCTGTTCTCCCTCACTTTGAACATCGTCATTTTCTTCCGAACCAATTTCATTTTCATCTTCATCATCACTAAGACCACTATGGCCATGCTTCATTTCTCCTTTTTCTAGTGATTCAAGATTTTCTGGATGTACCATAGCCTTTTTAATAGCCATTGGATCTTTACGAGACCATTTTTGAACTTCTTCATCCATTTTTGATATCTTTGCAGGATTCATTGCCCATAAACATCCTTTTCTTTGTCCACCGTTTGTAACAGGCTTTTCAATTTTTTCAAAACATTTGTTTAGTGATAAGTTATGACGAACTGAGTTTTTCCAGCCATTTGGGGCAGTTTTAAAATATGGAAAATGTTCACACATGAAACTATATATTTCAGAAACCGGCAAAGATCCAGCTCTTGAATTTTTTAAAGCCATTGCGATCAAGCAACTGTAGCTATATGCAGGTTTCGGAAACTCACTGACACTTTGTGGATGATGATTTTTTGATTTTTTCGTTGGTTTTTCATGAGTTGTGTGTCCATTAATGTGACCATTTGTTACATAATTATGATGAATAATATTCTTTTTATGTCCATTCGGTAGAAGTGTGAATTTGGGACTAGCTGAACGCTGAATCTTTTGTTGCTTGTTTTGAACATTATATATTGTACTTTCTAGCACTTTCAAATGACTCTTATGCAGTTCCAATTTTTCATTTCCTTGAGCAAAAGTTATTCCACCAATTCCTGGTGCCAATTTAATATTATTTTTTATTTTCAAAGAACCCAGTTCACCACTCAGATCTTTTTTTACATTTTCTCGATTAGCTTCAATAGTATTTATGCTCATAAGCCTTTTCAAATTATTAGCATTTACATTCATTGCTTCACGTTGTTCTTGTTTGATTTGAGATAACTTTATTGTACTTGGTGAAAAAGTTAAGTGTGATTTCTTTTCGTGAGGTGAAGTTATGGAACTATCGAACATATGGTGACTGTTGAGATTAGTAAGGTCCTTTGGAGACTTAAGTAACATCGATACATTCGCTGTAATGTTGCCTGTACTAGGCATTATAATGTTTGGATTAACACAATCACCTACATCCGCATAAATGTCGTTTACTGATCCAAAAGACCAACGTGAGCTACTACCCATCCATACATCATTAGAGTTTGAATCAAGATCCAAAGGTGGCAAATCAAAATTTACAAGCGATGAAAATTCATTTGAACCACCCACAACTGTTGCTACTTCCGAGCGGATATCAATATCATATATATCTTGCATACTGTCGCTGATATAGCAATCCATCAATGAATCCTATTTAAAAATAAAAAATATATAAAAATAAAATTATTAAAATTTTAAATCAACGGATTTTAACATTTCAAAAAAAATCTATTACGTCGTAAAAAAACCGAGGCATAGAGTGTTATATTTCAGTTTATTCATTCGTGAGAAGAAAAAAAAATGCTTTATGTAAGCGGCAACTGACGTGAATTTTTGAATCTTTTGGCGCGACTGTACTTTTCTTTAGCTCAATTACTAATACATATACAAAATGTAGTCAAACACCCGGTATGTATCAGTTTGTATCTTCACATTAGTTTCATTTGTATTAGTGTGTTAAAACATATTTATCGAGAATGGAAGTTGAAACAGGCAAAACGAAAAAAGTACAGTTGCGCCAAAAGATTTTAAATATTTCGAACGTTCAACAGAGCATGAGTTTTGAATTCTAGTTCTTTTTTTCTTTGAATCTGCGTACTGTGGGTAAAATGTGAATTTCAAACAAAGCGGGTAAAAACTTTTCTGATAGTTCTTTTCTTTCTCTTTTTTTAATTTCAACACATACAAACACTGAGCATTTTTATTATATTCGTTTGGTTCTTGCTTTTTATCGAATTTTTATTTTATTCTTTCTTTTTGCAACTCTTTCATAAACTTTTAAAATTTTAAATGAAAAAGGTTAGATTTTACTCAAATTAAAATAATCATTTTTATATGCCATAATGCTTAAAATTCAGAATCAATTAGACATGTAAGAGGTTCCATTTTTAAATTCTTCGTTATATGAAAATAATTTTCTTTTACTTGTTGTAAATAGGAAACAGTACACGCATAAGCAAAACGAACATTTTGTTGTTGTTTTATCGATTTATTTTCATGTACACATAGAAAATTTCCAAAGGGATATTTAATACAACTTTTCTCGCTATATTAATTTTGAAGCAGAGATTTTTTTTAGCAAAATGTATTTATTGTAAATAATTAATTTTTATAAGCCGGATTTTCAATTATCTACTAACCCAAAATATATTTATTTATTAACTTAATTTATTATTTGGGACTTTTTTAATATCTAATATTGAACCATTAAAGCTCAGAAATGGGAGCTAATAATATAAACGTAAATAAAGAAAAGTGATTCTAGCCGACACACGTGTAATCTGGAGATGAAAGTTTGACGACCGATTGATTTTTATTGGATTTTCTACTTTCATACAATTTATTTTTTTCCGAAAAAGGCGATATAGAAACTTTTATAGAAATCGAATATAGATATAGATATAGAAATAATAAAAAGGATTCCCACATAATCCTAGTTGACTTATGATGAATGATAATCTTCTGTTTGTCAGTAAAATCAAAATTGTGAAAAAGCCAAAAAAGCTATCTCACACGAATTCCTTTTGTTTTTTAAAAAAAGAATTTCTAATTTTATTTTGTGTAATAAATTTGATGGTTCATATTTAATAATTTTTTAATAAGTCAGACAAAAAATATTAAAGGTTCTCAGTAATCCCTTGAACTAATTCGAAATCCCGCCATCAGAATCAATTGCTTTCCTTTCTTATTAGTTCATTTATTCATCTTTTCAAAATAAAAGAACATCAATGTAAATTTCGAAATGTATAAAACTCTTAAAAGAAAAAAATGTTTTTTTTTTGAAGGAGAATTTATTTAATTTTATCTCTTTAAACATGCATAGTATATATTCACATCTATCTGTGGTCTCTCTAGAATTAAAACTCTTCATAGCTTATATGTATAAGTGATCGTTTCAAATGTGAATCAAAGTTGTTTTTCTTTATTACTCATACACATCTTTTAAAACTGGTTTGTAAAAAAACATCTTTCATGTATTTTTCTACCTTCTTTCCTACCATTCGCCTTCTGCTCAATTTTCTTTAAAAAGGAAAAAGAAATGTGTTTTTAAAACCAACAGTATATGTATGTGTAAAAAGAACCTCACTATACATCTAAGAAAGAAGTTTGTGAAAACTTTTGAATTCATTTGATGTAAAGATGGTTTTCTTCTCTTTTTACACTTGTATATCATGAGGAATTATAGTTATAAAAGTTACAAAAAAAGAAATTGAAAACATCCTTTAAACAAAACATTATCATAAAAACAAATCCTTTCTAGCGGTGGTTCTCAAACTGTGTGCCGCGGCATAATAGTTTATCGTGAAAGAACTTCAGGTGTGCCGCGAAATAAATTGAAATGTAAAATTGACCCTATACGATCATGATTTATGACTTCAAAAAGGTCGTGAAAATCATTTCTGAGCGAGGCTATTCAGGTGTGCCAAATTTTTTTTTTTTCTCATAAAAATGGCACTTTTTCTTCTTGTGTATGTATAAATGCAGTAAATAAACAATTAACCATGTAATGTAATCTCATTTTCAGCGCAAATTTCTAATGAAAAATAAATTTACTTTATTAAACTTGCAAACCTTTTCAGGTTTGTTAAACATTTTTTCGATTTCTATATAAGAATTTAAACTGTTATAGCTTTGATAAATTATGCGTAACCCTTGAAAGATTTAAATTTTAAAAAGGGATAATAATATTGACAGTTGTTTGGAGCAAATTAAAGAGCAGTAACAAGAAACCTATTTTAAAATTAAGAGAAAAATTAAAAAAGTTTAAAGTAAAACATTCGCCGAAAGAAAAAACAACAGAAGAAATCAAGTTCATGGGCAAAGCAAAACCGGCATTTTTGTCATGGTTCAGCACTGAAAGTTTATTTATTTTCTATTGTTATGCTTTTGATTCAGTTTTCATTTTAGTATGTTGTTTCTTTTCGCGCGCGATTGCAGGATCCAATCAGAATTACCACGTGAGTATTTGTGATTCTTGTTTTATTAATGAAGAAAAACAGAGTTCAACTTTTTTTGCAATAAAAGAAGAACGTTTTTGAAACATGTTGAAATTAAAATAATAAAAGGACATTTAATATTAATGTTATTTTTTGTAACTAATGTATCTTGCCTAGTGTTCAGGTGTAAACACTTGTTTCATTCATGTTTTATATTTGTTTTGTTTAAAAAGTTGCAGTTAAGAATAAACCTTACGCAAATGTATTTGGCGCGCAATGATAAAACCGGCCGGCTATAATACGTATGTTGTGTTTTGTAATATTCTATTTACTATTATAGTTAAATCTTAAAGTTTTTACAAATGAAATATTATGAATCATACTTATTGATTTAAAGATCAATTGTTTGAAAGGAAAAAAATTAAATTTTGATTTAATTTTAAATATCACAATAATTCTTATAGTTAAGAAAACTAAAGCGAATGTTTATTTTGAACATTTTTATATAAATATATATCTTAAAAATATATTTATCTAAATCAATATGTTAAATTTAATTTAAAATTGGATTATCATTTAAAAAAAAATGATTCAAAAAATATATTTATTGAATACAAATTAAACCCCTGAATGTAATATGGGGAGCCCTGTTAAATAATAACATTGCCGGTTTTCTATGTATTAGTACACAAAGAAAGAAAATACAAGGCCATTTTGAAAAAAAAAAAATTTCGCGCTCGATTTCGTAAAACTTATATATTATATTACTTACAGCATTTTTATTGAGGAAAACATCATGCAATCCTCCAGCATCTTCAAACTCAAACATTTTAAATTAACTTTTAAGATCTTTTGGACACTTTTTTATGTATAATTTTATTTTCTATTCTATATTTTATTATTCACTGAAATTTCACTTTATTTGATTTATTTATCTGCTTCTTTGTTCAATTTGTAAAACTATCCTTTTTGTTAATTGAATCAAATTATTTTGTTGAACTCTTTAATTCGGTTTTTAAATAGCAGGGAAAAAAACACAACTGTAATGCTCGAATATTGAAGCAAATATGAATTTGGTATTCGAATTTTTTTCCTTTGTTCTTCGTGAGTATAGAAAAACTAGTACTTCAAAAAATCTAGGAAGATTTTTTTATGAAACAGAAATGGAGTTTTAAAAGACAATTCAATAGAAATATTTTTGAAACATTTGGGATATATTAGAGGTCTATTTATATTAATTGAACTTTTAACAAAGTGGGAAAATTTTGAAACAGGTAGTCAATAATTAGTTTTTGTATTTGCCTTAAATGTATTGTTATAAAAAAAGTTTTCATTAAGAAAGAAGTCAAGTCAATAAAATTGATAATGTTAAAGTCAAGTTACAATTTTTTTAAGGGAAAAAAAGACATTTAAATTAAATTAAATCATTAAGTTTTTAATAATTGGGTTTCTAAATAGATTTAATAAATAAAAGAAAGTTTGGTTCTAACTTGTATAAAAACCACTCAAGAAGTATATCAAGAGTTATGATCAATAGAACAGAATGAAAGACCATGGGAGTACTAAATTCATATGACAGGTATAGAAATTATTGAAAATTTGAAAGCGGATAAAAACTTTAATTTTAAAGCAGGCGGTAAAGCTTTCGTATATTTATGGAAATTCGAATTCAAAGGACGTTTGAGTGATATAAATTTTTATATTGAATAACAGTATGATAATAATCACTATCATATTAACTTTACACTCTTGCAGAGAAGGGTAGTTTTAATTATTATTAATAGTTCGTTGATTTCTAAAGCTGCAATAGTGTCTTTAAAAAAAAAATAATATAAGAATTTCAGTCTTGTCTTTAAATTGTGAAAACAAAAATAAGTGCTTTCAGAAAGAAAGCAATATTCCACGACATTAAAGATATAAAGTCTTAAGTGAATGTCTAAAAATCCTAAGTGAATTTTAATGGCTTTTTTTCTTCTCTTCTTGAGTGAAGGTTTAAACTATGGTAACATATTTTGGGGCGATTTATTTGCGTATCAATAAATAAATGAAGAAAAACATTATTAATAAAAATCAAAAGATACACGTTTTAAATATTTTGTTTGTTTTTTATTTGGATTTGTTTATATCTCAAAAGTAGAAGCAACAATTTTTATTAAAATGATTATTTTTGCATTGCCATAATTTTCAATATTTCGTGCTTCATTTCATTTTAAACTTCGTTTCAATTTTTGACTTTTATATTGATAAAGTTTCAAGCTGATCCGATTGGTTTACTTTTTTTTAAATATTTTTTTATCATGTGTGAAAAAGCGGAGAAATATACAAATAGTGAGCGATAATGAGCTTTATTAATATATATTTGACCTAAATATTTCTATGTACCATTATCATATTAAATATCTTATTTAATTAATGTAGCATTTCACATAAGTTTCATAACTCATTTTTTGGATCATATAATAATGGTATATCATTAATTTTAATGTTGATAAATATTATAATAGAATCTATAAAGATGTAGAGAACGTAAAAAGCTTTTAATTTTTAATTTTAAAAAAATGTTGCTTAACAAAGATTTCAAATTTTAATTGGTGAAATTGTTGGTATTTGATTTGTACGATTTCAGTCAGATTAATTCCAATACTTTAAATAAAGATATGCATTTTTTAAAAATAAAATAAAGGATAAAACAATTCAGGATAGAAAACCGTCTGATCATCATATGTAATGGTTATAAACTATACGGCAATCATTCTCAGAAGAAGAAAAAACATAAATTTAACAATGATTTTATTTAACGCAGTGAAATAGCATTCAGGTATGGTCTGAAATTTGCATGCTGCTTTATACTAACAAATAATGTTAAAAAAATGATCTTAATTAATTGTTTGTTCAAATTGAATTATCAACTGAAATGTTTATGGCTTGTAGGGTAAACCATGTTGAAATTTGTGTGTTTTTGCACATGAAGATTTGATTTGCAAGTAACTTGTTAATGATTGATTATAAAAATTTGCTAATGGGCTCAAAAGATCAGAAATTGTGGAAATTTTCAGTTATTAAAACTTTTTGAGGGTTATGCAGCCTATGGTAAAAGATATTTGACATTTTCGATCAAATGTTGAAATTTGTGCGGAAAATTTTAAAATTTGTGTGAAAAAATGTTGAAATTTGTGCACTTCTTTGATAACAATCTTTGACTTATTTTCAATTTTTAAATGTAAACAAACATTTTGTTTATTATTTATTAGAGCTTAATTCGCGATTTTTCGGAAGAAGAACCTCTGAATTAGCTTTAAGCAACATCACAAGTATTCAGCCGGCTTTTTCAAACTTATTTCTTCAAATAAATGCAAGACTAAAGATTCAAATAATAATGGATTGTTTGATTTACAGCAAGAAAAAAATCCATAAAGTAGGGACATTTTTAAAGTTATTAATTCCTGCAATTCCATTCATATTATTCAATAAAACCTTTAAAAACATGAATTTCATCCATAAATATTGTTTATTGTTGACAAAATTTCTCATTGCTTTCTTTGATAAAAAGCGCACAAATTTCATCATTCATCAAAAAATTCCGCACAAATTTCAACATTTGTGAACAAGAAATTTTAAGATCGATTTTTAAAGCACTTCCAGTGACTATTTTGACCTGAAACTTTTTGAAACTATAAAGCTTTAAACAAATTTGAATTTTCAATACTAATGTGTGTATGATAAGCACTGGTTATGTGCAAATAAATAACAAAATGAATATTACAATTTTGTATGGGATTTCGAATTTTTTAAATTTAAAGCAGCTATAAGGTTCAAGAATTTTCAAAATGATGTGGAAATATTTGAAGAATAGTTTTACACCGAATTGCAAATGAATATTTGGTAATAATGGCTTATTAGTGATGATTTACGTTTTATACGAGAGCACAAATTTCAACATTGCACAAATTTCAACATGGTTTACCCTATTTGTTTCTTTTTGATATGAAAATAAAAAAAAAATTAATGGAATGGGAGATGTTCTTTTTGGACTTTTCTTCTTCTTAACTTCTAAATCACTGCGCAAATAAATATTTGAGTTTCTATTTTGCATAGTGTATTGATTCAAAACAATTATTTCTTTTAATTTAAAAAAATCAATGACTTTTGGATTGATAAAATTATCATATTGTTTTTAATTATGCAACTCAACATAAGGAAAGTTTTTTTAAATAGCTAAATATAATAAATATTATATATTTAACTTTCTTATATGGCCATAATATCTTATGTTGTATTTTGCATTATTATTTATCCATAGAATTAATAATCTCATTTTTAATAAAATTACAATTAAGTTGCTTAAAATTTTGATATGAGAATTTTCCAATAAGTATATTGCCAAAAATAATAATTTTATCTAATAGCTCAAAAATAAAAAAAATTGGTATTAAATCATGTATTGTAAAATAACGATATTCTTAGCATTTTATTTTTTTGTTTATAGCAATTCCCTCTAAAATTCTTAGACAATGTTCAAATTTTAATTTGTTTCTAAAAACGATGTAGAAACAATGTAGTCATACAAATTTGATCAATACTCATTTGTTGGATTTTTTTTATCTTCTAGTTTAATAATGTGATGAGTATTTTTAGATAAGGTAAAAGTAGTATTGAAAGGATGGATAGGATTTATGCTGGTAAAAAAGCTATCACTTTTGCAGTAGCTTTTGAAATGCTATACATTTTTAAGCCTTAAAATTTGACGCAATTAAAGCATGATTTAAATTATAAATTTACATTTTTATGTTTTTTGTCTTAGATAAATTAAAATTGTTTGTATCCTTTTGGATTTTAATCATTTTTGTATGGATATAATTATTATATATATTTTACAAGTTTGTTTTTAAAACCGGTGTTAAACATTTTTTGACTCAGTGTGAATCGAATCAAATTAAAATAGCTGTTTTCATTAAAAGGTATTGAAAATTATTATAAATTGCAAAAATAGCAATTTATTAGCAAGCAAGCATTGCTCAAGCTCTTACTTTTTGTTTTTAATATTTTATCCAAAAATTTAAAAAAAAATGTAAAGCTTTGAAAGTTTTCTTGAGATTATAATAAATTCAATAATACCTCTTTTGGTGATGTTTACGTTTTTTTAACTGTTTGTAAAACTTCAATTAGGTAAACAAAATTGCGTATCCTGCGCATAATATGAAAATGGAATTTTTAAAATAAGCTTAAGAATAAAATGAGAGAACAAAACTATGAAACAGCTTTTTGGATATTTTTGATAATAATTCAAAATTTACAAAGTACATAAAGCAACAAATTAAAAGTTGCAAATTATAATAATAATAACTTAATTTAAGTATTCATACAAAAAAATTGAGTTGTTTTGACTAGAATAATATATTGTTATCTTTCATAGAATCATAATTTATGAACATTTACATACACTTTTTATATTGTAGTAATTATTTTAACTTAGTAGATTAGTTTGATTTTTTTTGTTTAAGTTATTATTACAAATGTTGAGAATTTCTAAAAAATCAAACTAGTGGACAGTTAACTAGTGAAAATGAGTTTATTCAGCAATAAAAAGCTTTTTATTTCGATCCACTGGTTTTGAAATTAAGTATCAATTTAAATTAAAATCACGTAATTAGGGTGAAATGAACAAAAATTTCTAAGGAAATCATGTTTTTGTAGTCAAATTTATAATTTTTATATATTTTTCATAAGCTTTTAAGTATTGTAAAATGCTACAGTTTATAAAAAAGGTTCAAAATAATCCGGTTTGTAAAATCTACACTTTTTTGTTCTAAAGTTTACATTTGACATGTCAAGACCAGTCAATATAATTATCCATATCGTTTAATAGACATTTTTAATATGTTATATTAAATATTTAGATGCATTCAAATTAGTTTCAGTTCAAAACATAATTTTAATTTAAGTATGATGACAATATTTGTGTATTAAACAAACCAACTTTGCTCTAAAATTGAACCAAATTGTATTATATATATTTTTTGTTATTGTTATTGGAATTTTTAAGCAGAAACTTCACCGATAACTTTTTTTGTAACAATAAATAAATAATTTTTCCTCATATAATCATTGAAATGACTTTAGGTATACGACAAGCGTCATTTTTTGGAAAATTGTTGATGTTTTTTTTTTTAAATAATTTCATATTTCTTTTTAAACTTTGCAGATCACCACAAATTTTCGCGAAATTCTATTTTTAATACAATGTATATATATATATATATTTGCATTGTGCAGTTTAGTGTTATACATTTTTTAACATATAGTAACACCATAAAAGACAACGAAATTTTTAATTGAATGTTTCATTATCATTATTATGCTATAAGTCTTTCATAGTCTATACTTTAATCTGCTTTAATCTAATACAAATGAACAGACAATGATTTGATTACTTCTGTTATATCGACAGAACAGAAGTTGTCATACTTACACATTCCATTGTAGAAAAAAGAGAATTTTAAAAATTCTTGTTCATAAAACAGACTGTATCGCTACTCTTGACTTTTTTTACTTTCACATAACAACAATTAATGGCAACCGCTATTAAGACAGTATTTGTTAAAGGTCTGAAGGTCTAATCTTTCTTAACTATTCTTATTAAAAGTAAAAACTGCATTTAGTATCATTTTGCACTTTTAGATAAGGTAGTATTTTAAAAAAGCCTCAAAACAATTCACTGATTTACTTCAATATTAATTACACACTGTTCATCGATAGAGTTTTTAATCAGCTTATGTACAGGCGTTGTTGAAGACGACAAAGCTATACTTCGATATTGTTGCTGAAAGGATAATAGGATTTCGCGAATCTTTGAGATGATCTCTTGAACTCAGGCATTTGATTCCTGTAATAAAAAGTTGATTTTTTTCTTATTTTTTCCAGCTTTGATTTAAAGGTTATATTATTTTCTGATATCTTTAACTTTTAAGCTTGTTCATAGAATTATAATATTATGCGGAAGCATAAAAGCGTTGAAAATTATTTCTTATTCACCTTTAAATTGTCAAAATAGTGCATAATCTGATCATAATCCATTTCCAGATCATCTAAACCTAGACTCTCGACAGGTCCCTCAAGTTCACTATCCTGACTCACTGATGAAAACATTGGATTACCAACAACTGTGGCACGTTTCACTCGATGACTCTTTGGCTCTTGATCTTCTGGGGAAATAAAGCCTCCGTTATCATCTGAACTTGATTCAGAATTTGATTTTATCGTTGAATTTAATGTTTCTCCATCTATATGATTAGTTCTGCAATAAAGTTTTGGTAAATGGAAATCATCTTTGGTCTTTGATATTTCGTTTGTTGTTGAAGCTTGGGAAAGTTCAATTCCTGAGTCAAGCATTACAGAAGAAAGAGGAGCGTCATTAAAATCTGCCAGTGCGTTATCACTATGTGTTGTCACTTTTGGTGACAAATTCTTCTTCTTTGGTGTAATTGTATCAAATTGAAATGCACTTCTTTGTTGTCCATTTGTGGAATCCACTAAAATTTCAGCCATATGTAACTCTTGATTTTGATAATGTTCATTTCCAATTTCTATTGGCTGAACTGAGTAAGATGGAGAATTGGAATTGAACAATGCTGCATTGATTTGTTGCTGAGTAAAATTTAAGCTGTGGCCAGGATTAGATTGAAGTGATGATCGATGATCAGATTGATGGATCTGAATATCATGTGGAAGAGCACTGTTACTTCCATTAGAGCGTCGATTTTGAGCATTACTTCCATTTCTCGCATGTTTATAACGCCGAGGTATTTCAGGAATTGGCTTTTTAAAAAAAAAAAAAAAGAAAAATGTTAAAAATGTTAAATTTGGTTCAAAGGACATTGGTTTGAAAAATTGAGATTGATTTGAAAGTTTCATACTAAAGTCATGAGTCATACATGAATTGCAAATTTGTTCACATCAACCATATCGTACAGTTCTACATCTTAAGACGTGGAGTTTCCAAAATGCTTGAATATTGTATTATCATCGGAAAGATAAGTGCATGCAAAATTTCAGCTCGATTAGAGCTGTAGAAGTGGTCGAAAAATTGATCGCAAGATTTGACCAAGACAGACAGACAAGAAAGCAAGTAAAGAAAAACGTGGTAATAATAATAAGTATAGATAAATAAGATAAACGTGGTGAAATGGTTACAAATTGAAATTATATTTTGTTGCAACGGTTAGAAAAAAATCAAATTATTTTTCAGAACCTTACAAATTTTTTTCGACGTTGAAGTCAACTTCATGCCAAAAAGCGCTAAGCTCGTTCTTTTCGGAAAAATATTTTTTCAACATGGGTCGTATGCACGCTCCTGGGTAATTTTTAAGTAGTTAAATTAAGTAAAAACTATTTAATTTTATGTGAAATTCTTAGATAATCATAGTTTCTATTAATTGAAATAAAATTTCACCAGAAAAGTGACTTTAAGTTGTGAAAATAATCAAAAATAATTTTTACTTAAGAAAAACGTGTTCCGACATTTTTGTTTCTCAGTTATTAATTGATATCTGTATTTATTAATTGCAGTAAAGGTATTTCGCAATCTGCGTTGCCTTATCGTCGATCAGTTCCATCATGGCTTAAATTGAATGCTGAAGATGTCAAGGAACAAATCAAGAAACTCGGAAAGAAAGGAATGACTCCTTCTCAAATTGGTAAGTTAATTTTTTTTTGTTTTAAAAAAATAATCAAATTTAATTGTTATTTTCCTTCTTTTTTTAAGGCATTATTCTCCGAGATAGTCACGGTGTTGCACAAGTGCGCTTTGTCAACGGAAATAAAATCCTCAGAATCATGAAAGCAGTTGGTCTCAAGCCCGACATTCCGGAAGATTTATATTTCCTCATTAAGCGTGCCGTAAGCATCAGAAAACATTTGGAACGTAATCGTAAAGATATTGACAGCAAATTCCGATTGATTTTGGTAGAATCAAGAATTCATCGATTGGCTCGCTACTACAAAAACAAAGCCGTTCTTCCACCAACATGGAAATATGAATCAGCCACTGCATCAGCTTTAGTGGCTTAAGTTAATATTAAAGTGTAATGAGAAGATTGTGAAATAAATTAAAATATTTCATGTGAAGATTCAGTTGTTATTATTATTAAGTAATGTTTATGAATCTTTCAGTATTTTGTGGAAATTGGGAATTTCAATTTGAAAATTTGGGACACATAAGATCCATGATGGGATACATTAGTAGATTACATTTTGAACTCTTGCTCAAAGTAACAATAGTTTATAGATTAAATTCAATCTTTTTAGCGCATTTTTAAAAATTGTTTAATACTTACTCGTGCTTGACTTCCCGAGTTGTTTATATTCGCTGTTACACCAATATTTCGGTGAGGAGGTACAGGGGGCCGATAATCTACATTGATTCCGTGAGGAGGTAAAGGTGGTGGTGTTGTATCACTAAGTTTAAAAGGAAGCATATTTCAAATTAAAAAAAATAAATAAAAATTGATATAGCTAAGTTTTACCTATGATAACTTCTCCGATCCTTTTTTGTATATGTCTCGCTGTTAATTGGTCCATTTGATTTGGTTGGTAATTCAATAGCATTTGGATTATCAAAACTATTCATTTGTAAGACTGCATCATCTGGATCAATATAATTCTGAGGTAAGGGATTACTTGTTATCCTCATTTTTGCATCGCGCGATTCAATATCTTGCGAAGTCATAGATCGATCCATTGTCGCACGACCAAGCCAAACCCAATCATGTGCATTAGTTGTTGATTCACGTGGTCGACGAGAATCTCTTAAAATACCTAAACCTCCATTTGATTGATCTTTGTGAATACCCATATCTTCACTGACCATATCCACAGTTACAGGTCTGAATTTTGATGCGTAGACCACACATGATATAACAAATATACCAATTGCAAGACAAAAACCTGTCAAAAGTACATACATTCCGACTTCTAATGTTGTCATATCTGCATGAACAGGACTTTTTCCACTATTAGATATTACAGAAATTGGAGTCAAACCACCACTGCCATGCTTCCGGGCCTGAACTGCTGGCTTTTCATTATTGTTATCATCTCGTAACGGGATACCAATTAAAATATCTGATAAGTCATTTATTTCCTTTTCTTTTCCAAATTTTCGTTCCCTTCCGCTTATACCATCGTTTTGAACAGTATCAGGTCTATTTGGCGCTTGATCTGAAGTACTAAAATCCACTTGTACGGAGGCGAGAGCGCTTGCTAATGGTCCACTTGCTATTTTAGTATTTTGCTTGCTCATTTGAATGTTTCGTCTCAATCTGCATTCTTCAGAGAGAAGCAATGTTACTCGCAACAAATCACCATTTCCTTCGCCGACTGCAATAACTCTAGGATGGTGTGATGCAAGCATTGGAGCAAACGCAACAACATCGGTGTCCAAACTTTCAACAAGTAAGAAATAGTCATCGACAGATATGTCCCTATATAATGGAAATAAACATTTTTTTAACATGAAATGTTAAGATTTGAGAAAAAAATGCAAAACCACCTTAAAGGTGTCCTTTGACCATCAGAAAATTCAATATCAATGTCAAGTAAACCTTCTTGATATTGGGCTGTTAATTTTCTCGTAACCGATGTTTCTGCTACATATCCATTTTCAACATAACTATCAGGAGTGATAGATAATTGAAGGCCTGAAATTACGCGAACTATGAGTCTTGTAATGCTGACTTTATCACTTCCAACACGAATTTCTTTTGTTCCAATAACGCGCCCATTAATAGGAGATAAAACTTGAACATCTGTGCGACCCATCATACGACCTTGTAACGTTCGTCCACGAAGCAATGCAATTTTGGGATCTGCTACTCGTAATAAGGGTTGCACAATATCAGTTACTCTCAAGCCTGTTCGTCGGGATATTAAATAGCTCACACGTCCAGAATCCTAGAGAAGTTATATAGCTAGATTAAGTAGTGCAAAAATAATTAATAACATTTTTAAATTACTTGATCAACTGCAACAAATTTTGCATAAACATCAACTGAGCTCTGTTGATATCTTGCACGACATAATGATCTTTCCGTTCCAACTCCATTTGTAAAATCTTCGTTATGATGATTCCAATTATATGCTCTCTTTCGCCGACTTGTTTTTCCGTTAACACTGTGTTATTTGGTTTATATTTTTAAACTTTTCTATGAATTTTTTTTTTTAAAAAAAAAAGTTACCTGTTATGTTCTTCTGGAATTTTCCAACCCTTAATTTGTGATAATCGATAATCAGTAACAGACACTTCCAGAGGGAATTCTGGCATCCAAACTGTAAATTTTGCCAATCCTTTGTATGTCCCATATTTAACAACAATACTAGCATTCGATGAACCTCTTAGTTCTGATCCATCTATGTATACAGAACTGCAGGAAGATGACACCTGAAAAATGTATTGATTTCCAATCATTTAACAGATCAATTAAAGGTCTTTTTACTAGTAAGGGGGGGGGGGGGGGGGGGGTGTTACACGGTTAAACAAAAAATTCATTTGATAAAGATAGAAAAAAAATTGCTGACAAATATTTCTATTATTCATATATGCATTTCATTGTTCTACTCGTTATAATAAAAATATGCTACTTACCTTAATGACACTTTCATCCTCTGCTTGGCAAGAGCTTTGTAGAGTCACGTCTGCAACCTTTCCAGCCTGAGTAACAATGAACACTTTCATGACTTGAGACACTTGTCTTCCTGTGAGAACAGCAGTGTTCATCATTTCCCAATTCTTAATTATGTGTTTGGATTGTACACAAGAGAAAAACATATAATTTTTTAAAACTAATATTGAATCAAGTTTACAAAAAAGAAAAACAAACCTTCGATATCGGCAGTACAGATTGAATGTCATCCTTTTGGATTTCTAATTTAGCAATTAGTTTTTTTCTTGACTCCTCATTAGGCTGAATTTCAGCAGAAATGTCTTTTGATTTTGGTCCATCATGAACATAACTGACAGACCAAACGATTCGAGCGCCATCCCAATGTTCCTTTGTATCATTTGCTACTTCCAAAAGCCACGAAAATACTTCAACAATTCTAAATGAAATAAATTTAATATGACTGGATCAATAAGCGTTTATAAGTTTAAATTATCACTTACTTTCCGTTCAAATCTTCTGATTGCTTTGATGTGCTGTCTGGGTCTTGATCTTTTCTAAATGCAGTAACTCTTGCGACTGTATGTTTTGTGTTTTCTTTTTCAACCGATATATTCCAATCATCTGATGATGCTATTGCTCCTAATATCTTCATACCACCTTTAACACGTGCTCTGAAACGCATTTTATTTAAAAATAAAAAAATAACAAATATTTCTTGATCAATTGCACAATGATTCAGAATCGAAAAAAATGTTCAAAAATTAAAAAATTTCATGTTAATTAAACTATGTCCTTTAAATGCCAGATTAAAGATCTTAACTTGAGGCATATCCTATGAAAATATCTCGTCCTAATTTGATGTCTAACTCCAGAAATCATTAATTTAATCTCACCCAAAATTTGTTTACAATTTGTGTATGAAAAAAAAATATGATTTTTTCTACTTTAGGTTGTTATTTGGATGTCTTGGAAGCAGTTGCTAGCTAATTTAAGCTTTGCTTTACATATTAAAATAACCAACTCAATAAAAATCTGCTTATTAAGCCTTAAAAATGGAATTGAAATCTGAGTATTTTTACACAACTTAAACTATTCATAAGTTAAAAAGTCTTCCAAAGACCTCTCTGAAACCTATATAAATCCATTAATTAAGTTTAAATCTATCTCCCATATTACTGGGGACATGCCGTTTGATGCCGTTTACGAGATATTTGCGATCAAAGTTTACATAAATTTTCATACAAAATTTGATCATGCACAATATTTTTTGATAAACTTTTACAAACTTTTGGTAAAAAATCATGTTTATCCTTTATATTAGGGACTAATTTTTTGAGCAATGAACGAAAACATTATGTAGATGATGCTAAAAGATTCAAATCAAGAGAAATTAACAAAAACTTTCAATTTTCTAATGTGTTGGAAAAATATTGTGCACAAGGAATTTTTGAACATTTTTTCCGAATCTGAATCATTGTGAATTGATAGTTACCGAACAATAAAAACAGCAACATTTTGTCCTGGTTGTTGTTGAAGGAAAACTGGGACATGTATTTTCGATAAAGGATAAAGTGGCTGATGTGGTACCATCATTGTCAACAAGTCATCAGCTTTTAGTTCACGATAAGTCGCCATTGCTTGCACTAATGAAACCTTCATTAAAACAAAATCAAATGAAATTTAAAATTATGCTTCGTTCTTCATTCTTAAATATATATTTATACCTTTGCAAATGAAGTCAGTGGCTGAATTTGAACTTTTGGTTCACATTGCTCAGGATTTCTAGGCGGTGGTTCAAAAACACTATATGAAACTTGTACAAACCGTTGAGGACTTTTGGGTGGAGAATTTATTTGGCCGTCTTTTGTTGGTGGAGGCATTAAAGGCCACCAACTTGAAGGTATAACAACTTCTGCAACACATACACCGTCTTCACCTTCTGGTATGCACCGACCTTTCAAAGGTTGACGATTTGGCATGGAGACATGAAGAAGAACGCATATCTTTTGTCTTTGCAAATGTCCACCAGGATCAGCACCAGCATGAAAAAGAACTCTTAATACTGGAGAATCACGTGGAACAGTTAGACGCACTAAATGTGCTGAAATATCCAAATGGATATTTGATTGTTGCTGTAGATCAAGTAATGCTTGAGTTGCATTTTGAGTTGTCGTTACTGCAGCTGCATCAGTAGTGGTTTCTGATAGATCTGGAACTATGTATCGTGCAGGTACGGTTTGTTTCGTAGAAAATGGGCCATAGCTGGCACGTATTGAAACGGGTTGTGTGGTTTGAACGACTGTGAATTTGTCAACTGATAAAATTGTGTCCTTTTGTGATTTCACAATTGTTTTAGATGATGTCGTGACTGAAGATGATGATGATAAAATTGATGATTGGCTTGATGTAACATCTGCAACACTTTGTCGAGGAGAGTGTTTCAGAAAAAAACCACTATCTGGTGTTTCAAAATGAACTTCAACTGCTTGACTTAAGGAAAATGTAAATATGAGACCTAGAAATGAATAGGAGATAGAATTAATTATTTAATTAATTGCAATTATGGCTATCTTAATATATAACAAGCTAGCATGATATCCCAAAAAAAATTCAGTATTTAATGACCCCGTGAAATATATTTTTCTATTCGCATCTTTTGGGTTTATTTATTTACTATTTGTTCTGTCTAATTATTTTATGTTTAAAATAAATGCACTCTCTTCCTCGTTCTATGTATATACAATTATATATTGGAGGCCCTATAGGCACTGGAGGCACTGCGATTCAATTTGTAAAGAATCTATTGTACCACACCCTTTTAGACCTACAGTTTATAGTGGGATCCGAACCACTTGCACATTGCAAAGACACGAAAACGTCATATTTTTTAATAGTGATTCGTATATTATATTTTAGTATAGAACTGTTTAATACAAATACATTACTTAGTGACAATAGCTTATTATAATTAAATTTAATTTATTACATAAAACACCATAAGTTTTTTTGGTACAAATGTTTTCTTAAGTGTGTCTCAATAAGATTTATACTGTCAGTCTAAACTTCTTAACTTCAAAAGGAATTTCATTAAATTCTAAAAGGGCTCTTATGAAGAAGTTTTGAGCACCAAGTAAAGTGTTTACTTTCTGAATGACTAATCATAAGACCCTGCAATCTACCTAGTCACAATTCGTGTGCTCAAGATGCCGTAAGTAAGTCATCCAGATGCTAGTATACTCTTAAATATCTCCAAAGGAGGCAGATTCTGTGCCAAAGACATCAAAACTACGCCCAACACACACACGAACCGAGCTTCGTAACTAGAACGCTATCTTGCAAAACATCAAAAATTTAATTCTCAAAATTCAATCATTATTCCCAAATATTACAATTTGGCTGTTCTGACTATTCAACATCATTATTGAGCAGGGACTAAAATGAAGTTTTTTCATCACTGATGAAATAAATCATCATATTTCGATGAGCAAAAATAAAATACTATAAAAAAATCTTTTTTAAAAAAGCACGCTTTTAATTCCGATTACAGTGCACTAAAAAGGATAAAATAAATTTTTTCTGAGAACTCAAATTTGATACAAAATTTTATGACTAAAAGTAAAAGCGTGGGGCGTTCAATTTAAACCAGCTCTAGATTTTTTTTTGATATATTCACAAACCTAATGCTTTTGTAAACATATATGTATGATAAATTGTCACAAATTCAAGATTTAGTGATACATGCAAGAATGACCCACGCTTTTATTTTTAATTCATAAAATTTTGTATCAAATTTGAGTTCTCAGAAAAAATTTATTTTATCCTTTTTAGTGCACTGTAATCGGAATTAAAAGCGTGTTTTTTTAAAAAAGATTTTTTTATAGTATTTTATTTTCTCCTTTTTGGTCTTATCAAATCTATAAATCGATTCAACTTCCAAAATTTGGAATTTTTGTTTTATTACAACACTGGCTTTATCAAACTTAATAAGGAGGTTACAGTTTTTAGATTACAGGAAGTTTTAGACTCCACTTCGCTTCACTCCGTTTCATTCAACTATTTATAAATTACCATTTTTTAGTGGGTAATTAGTAAAGACTGTCAAATTTTTTCATTCGTTTTAAATTATTTAAGTCATACCTGAAAATACACGAAACTCTTTTAAAAATGTCCTAACTTCAATTAAAGATTTTGTGTTTATCCGTCCCATTCCTACTACATAACATGTAGATTCTTAACATAAAGATGCAAATCACATCTATATGTAACGTATTTATAACGGATTTTTCAAATTTAAATTTAATGAATATCATTTATATGATATGCAAAAATATGGCAAGCCGTTAATAAATATAAAAGTCAATTTAATTAAATGTTGGTGAGTTGTTATGAATTAATGTAATACTTGTAAATACTTGGAATTAATGTATTAAAAGCATATACATTAAGCTTTAACTATGTATGATAAATGCACATCGCATATTGATAGTTATTTTGCATTAATTCGAGGCTGGTGTCAAAATAAGACTCAAAGAAATGTAACTTAAACTACAATAATTCCAAATTTGAAATAAAGAAAGATTGCATTAATTCGTAACGGACTTGTGTTTAACGGTTTGTTTGAAAATTCAAATTTTCACTTACGAATATTCATGAAAAAATTACTTGTCAATTTTTTCATCCTCCCAGAAAATCTTCAGCTTCTCCAATTTATAGTATAATTAATAATTAGTAATATTATTTAAACTATAAGGAATCATATAAATGATTTTTGAGCATTTCAAGTATAATATTTTAAACAAATCAAAATTTTATGTCATTGACATTGGATTTTTCCCCGTATAAAAAAGTTTTACTTAAATTGTACTAAAATTAAGCATTTTTGTGGTTCCAAAGTGTTAAAATAATGTATTGTCACCGGGAATACGTGAGCATAAAAAATTTGTACTTGATTGTAGCAGTAGAAGTGATCGAAAAATCGATTACAAGATTTGACGCTCCATAACAGAGTGAGTTAAATAAAAGCGTGTAATAATAATAAAAAATAAAAACATCGTGATTTTTTTTCATCTTACGTACATTACTACGTAATTAAAACTCACGTAAGAAAAATCACACGTAAAATTTAATCACGCAGGGCAAAAATTATCATTTAAAAATTATCTGTGTACGATTTCTGTTAATGATGTTGAAAATTGGTCAAAAATTTATGCTCAAAAACTGTCCTAAAGTAATTTATTTTAAATACTTACACATTATAAAGTATTAATAATTAATTTTGTAAACTTTGATGTTATTAAAATTAATTAAAGCAATAAGTTTAAATTTTCAATTTGTGTAATTTTTCTATGGAACAGCAAATATGAATCTGTAGAAAAATTCAGAGATCGAAGCCGATTTTTTCGGCTTAACTCAATTTTTGATTTTTTTGATAGAAAAAAGCCATTTAACACCCATTTTAAGTATTTAAATTGAACTTTACATGCTTTACTATGATTCTGTGAAATATTTTTTCAGCATGTAGCTATAGTAAGCTCAGAATTTCAATTTAGTCGATGATAAGCCGATCGGCTTAAATTTCGGCTTAACATTCTTTAACTTGAAATTCTGAGCTCACTATAGCTACATGCTCTGGAAAAATTACTTACACTAGAAACAATTTTCGGACAAATTATAGTGTCTTGCATGTATCACTAAATCTTGAATTTGTGACAATTAAAAATCATCCATATATGTTTACAAAAGCATTAGGTTTGTAAATATATTAAAAAAAAATCTAGAGCTGGTTTAAATTGAACGCCCCACGCTTTTACTTTTAGTCATAAAATTTTGTATCAAATTTGAGTTCTCAGAAAAAATTTATTTTATCCTTTTTAGTGCACTGTAATCGGAATTAAAAGCGTGCTTTTTTAAAAAAGATTTTTTTATAGTATTTTATTTTTGCTCATCGAAATATGATGATTTATTTCATCAGTGATGAAAAAACTTCATTTTAGTCCCTGTTATTGAGTGATATTTTGGTGACTTTTTAAATTTCATTTTCAATTGTGTATGCAATTCAAAAATTTAAAAGCCGTTAAAGAAATTTCAATTTCATTTTGTTCATTTAAGTCCGCAACAATATTATATTTTTATGAACTCAAACAAAACAGAATAAAATTTCTGCCCAAAAACATACATTTGATGATATATCAATAAACAATATCATTCTACATAGCAAAATTCGCAAAAATTGTACGTGAGTAACGCTTAGTTAAAGTGATTAGTAAGAAAGTACAATATCGATTAGGATTTTATTTCTCTTTTTAAAAAATACCTCTTAAATTTATAAATTTTAAGGACAAGGAGATAATCAAGAAAAACAGTCACTTTCAACTTGTTTGTGACGAGGCCTATATCTGTTTTGTAATTAATAGTTTTTTTTTTCTTGAAAAATCTGTGACGACAGAGAAGACATGAAAAAGTAGGAGAAGAAGACTATATTCAATATACTATTTAAGCCAGAACAAATGTATGGCGTCAGAGATCCTTTCAATAAAAATCTTATTTCTGTCTCTCTCAAAATTTAAACGTTCGAATACATATGTGTAGACTTATAATCTTCTTTTTGCTTTTTGTCAAAGAGAATAAACTAAACACAATTTTTGGAGAATGTCGGAAAAGTGAAAAATGGTCATATTGTAGTTAATTATTTTTTTTTTTAACAAATCAAATGTTATGAATGATTCCAACACCATTAAATTGGTGTTTATAGAGTTTGAACTTCAGTTAAAAATCAATCAAATGGTGGAAACTCGTGAAAATTAAAATAAACTTTTTTAAACCACTTTTTATAGCCTAATGAAAGTTATCATTCTATCGACTCCATTTAATTAAGTATTATATCGATAGCTTTTTGAGAATCATATGAAAATACTTAAAATTAAAATTACCATTAAAGAAATGTTTTAGAAATAATGTAGCACATGGGAAATGAATGAATTGAAAACAGAACTTTTTTATTGGAAATTCTACTCATAATTTCATGCATGCAACACATTTGTGTTTATGTTTTTCATTGATATGTATGTAATAATAATTTATATTTATTTTATTCTTTATTTGCCAGATTTTGTATTGATTTCAAAGTAATGAAAATGCCTTCATTTTTTTGTTTTAATTATTAGTGCGTTTTTCAAATGCAAATAGTTGATTAACAAATCAAACAATAATAATGGTACTTTCTTAGTTTAAACGGGTTTTAACTTAATGTTTATGAAAAATGAAATGAATTTAAATAGCTTATTTACATTCATAAAACAGATTCTTATGAAGAAGATCATTGCGATCTTTTCACACGTGGTAAATTTCTCCCTTACAATTTGTATGTTTTGTTTATTAAAAAATATAATTTATATAATATAAGATTTTTTAAATAATGCTTTTTTCATATCGCACTTAATAAATTATTTGAAAATATATAATGTGAAATTTTACCACCTGAAAAATGTATTTGTTACATTAATTGCAGTAGTGTAGCCAAAACGGAAAGATGGGATGAAAAATCCACAAGTCCTTTAAATAATTCAGACCAAATAATCAGGTAATTTGTGTTTCTACCTTTTAACACTTAGTAAGTTAACATTTTTGAATAAACAAATGAGCATAGATTTTTTAAATTTTAATTCAAGTATTTTCTTTTGCAGAACATAAAGAAAATGCAAAAATTTGTAAAAATTTACTAAATTGTCGTAAATAAACATGAGATTTTGTTTTTAAAATACTCTTATTCACTATAGAGTTTTAAAGAGAAAGACATTTTGTTATTGTGATATTTTAGTTAAGTAATGTTGTAATATCTGGCATTTGTACACAATATAATGCGTTTAGTAAAATGAGAGTATCTATAAATAATCGAGAGAGAAATTTGTCGTACACACTTCGTATCACGAACTTTATATGTGAAATACTTTCCATTTCAGAGGTTTTTCAACTTAGAAAATTTTGAATTCTTCTCAGACTATCTTAATTAGAAGCGTTTTTATTAACTTAGAACATTCTTAACTGAAACATTTAAGATCTCAGATATCTTCTTAGAACCACCTTATTCTAGCGTTAACACTTTTATTGCAAGAAACTATTTGAGTTCTTTTAAACACCAATACAAAATTCTTGACCCTCTCCTCCCTAAATTTCGGATGTCATAAGTCAACGACCCCTTACAATAAAGGCTCAATTTTAATTTATCTCCAAACTTTGTATTAAATCGCGACTTTGTTGAGTTCTCTCCTCTGTCTATCTGTTGCTTGGCTCTTAATGAAACCTTTAAACTATTTTTTTAAAATTTGAAGAAATTCACAATTCAACAACCTCGTTCTTTAGATTTATTTTATTAATTATTCCCATATCCCCCCAATATCATATACTTCTAATCGCTATATTGGCTAAAGAATCAAAGTCAATAACTCGATGCCAGAAATTGGAATTTTCCATTTTCATCATCTGAAGAATCAAAATTTAGAGAAAACTATTGATATCAACTACTGAGTTATAAAACAGATTTAAATCTACAAATTAGTTGCTGTACTGTATGCTGTCAGTCATAAATTAATGAAATATTTCAACTCTTTGAAAATTTTCTAGTGTCATCGAGTTATTAATTAATCATTTTTTATTGTCCTAATCTGTATTCCAAATATGACAATATTTCTGTTCGTTTCATAGGGTTGCATTTTCCAAATATGACATAGTTAAAAGTTGTCAAGACGTTTAAAAAGGACTTTAGGTTTAAATGGAAATTTCCTCTTTTTTAATTATATTAATTATTGTACTTAAAACTTATGTCTGTATTTTATTCGTTGATAAAATTACAGAAAATGGCAAATTAACGGTTTTTACAATTTAAATGATTCATTGGATTTATGTTTTTGTAATTGAACTACCCTGTTTTTTCGTTATATGCTAGTAGCTTAGAAGAATAAAAAAGTGATTTTTTTGGCTCACTAGTAGCTTAGTAACGAGTAGTAGCTTAGTAAAGAAATTGAACTTCAATGAAAATTTTGAATTTCTTAACTTAATTAAAGAGATTTTGCTATCTTCTCAATTTCATTTCATTCACAATGTCATAGGGCATTGAAACTGATACTTAGAAAATTGAAAAAGATTAATTAAGCTTTATTTTTGGTAGTAGCTTAGTAAAGATTCCGAAAAATTTTCAAGTTCAAAAAAACTTTACTAAGCTAGTAGCTTAGTAACGAGTAGTAGCTTATAACGAAAAAACAGGATAATTAGAATTTGGGTAATTCCACAGAAAGATTTTTCCAAAAATTTCGTGTTTAAATCGATTTTTTTCAATAGTCAGCTTTTTAGATGCTTCAATGGCTATCTATACTTATGTAAAACGTTGAACTCTACCTATATAATAACTTATGTTTCTAAATGTACGTTAATTTCATATTTTCGTAGTTGTTAATCAAATACTAGTCGCTGCGTCAAAAAATCAGAAAGATTGGAGCACATAAAGGTTACTTAAAATAACATTTTTTTTAAAATTTTGCCTTACGTTTTACGTACGTATTTTTTACGCAGCCCTTAAAAAGGTGACTTTTTTAAATCCTCAGGTCGCAAGGGTTGGAAACCCATTTAAAAGTTGATTTGACTTTTTTTTTGAACGTTTCCGTTACTTTTCCAATAATTTTAAGATATTACTATTCCAATAATTTTTGGGCATTTTCTTTCAAATATATTTTGGCATTTTCTCTCAAATATTTTTTGACCGTTGTTTTCAAATATAATTTGACCGTTATTTTTCAATTTTTTTTAATTTGTATCTAATGTTTAACTCGAATTCTGTGCGGGAAAAATGCGCTTTGGTCGATCACGTGTGATCACCTCTTTACTAGTTTACTATTCTTAAAGTATTGTTTTTTTAAAAAAAAAACTTCTTTTAATAAAACGAGACTATTTTTTATTTATTTCTGTGATTTTATGTTTTTATATTCTCTTCTTTAGTATTTTCGAAAATTTCATGTTTTCAGGTAAATGAATTTTAAAAAAATTCACCTTTCTATTTTTATGCCATTTTCCTTATGAAGCAATGAGAATATATATCTAATTTGCCCGACTGTCTCGAGTGTTCGGACACAAATTTACATCCAACAGAATCTTGGTTATTGATTCACGTCATGATTATTACTATCGTAAATTAGTTTTTAGTGCCATATAAATTTTCTTATCTACACGTGGAAAATGCGCTTATTTCGTCCGTTTACATCTGAAACGGCGACTTTACTAGTTTATTTTTATCATCTTTTGTGTTAAATCATTATGATGTTTTTGAGTTTTGTATGACTTGTTGTTCAAGATGCAGTCTTTAAGTATCTAAAAATGGTTACCTTTAAATATGACCATAGATCAGTGATACATTAAAGATATTTCAAAAATAGCTAGAGGACTGGTTCGGGTCAAAACCCTTACGTTTTTATTTCTAGGGTTTTTAAAAATTACTCTCACCCTCGTAAAATTTCGGTATATGCCCCTGCGGAGAAAACTACAATTTAGTGAAACGTTGTCTAAGTTTAATTATCCATATATTATTTCTTATTTTTTAAAACTTAGAATTTTTCAAAAAATTTGTGCAATGCACACTGGTCTAATTTAAAAAAAAAGGAGAAATGAGGTGTTTTTGGAAAAGTTTCACCATAAGTCTTCGAGGATGTCTCGTTTTAAAGCTGACATTGATACACGATGGTTACCCAAGTTTCAAGTTTTTTGGTCCATCTGGTGCTGAGTAGCAGGTCCTCAAAGTTGGGTATAGGCGAATTTTCTGTTTTTTGAGATTGCTTATTCAAACTCAATTTGCACAAAAACTACTCAACCAAGTGAAAAATGGTTTTTGGTTCCTAAAAGCACATAATAGGACCTATATTTTAGTATATCATACTATTTGAAAAATATCTACCAGATGGAGTAGTGACAGATTTAGTATGAAAAAATTGGGGCAAAACACACTACAAAAGTTCGTGATAGCCGCAAACTACCTGAATTTAAATCTAGCCTGTTAGATATACCTTCATTAAATAGTCCAAACTTCCATCTTTCTAAATTGGTACCTCATTATACATAGAGATTGCAACTTTGGGAGTTATAGCCAATCGAAGTTGGCCAAAAATGCAAAATTTTAAAAAAAAATTATATCTCAAAAACCATTCAAAAAATCAACTTTTGTTCTAAACAAGCTTAAGCTTGAAGTTTTTGGTTTAAAACTTGATTGTTGGGCTATTTATGATTGATTTTTAAAAAACTTTTTACAAAAACATGGTATTTTGGGTACCCTAAGATGGTTATCGACTTGACCCTTTCTCCCTTCACTCAAACTGCTTTAACTTTTTAAATAGCAAATATTTTTTAAACTAGTTTTCGGTTTATTGTAGCTTAATGAAATACCTAAACTGTTTCTAAGTCTTATTTCTAGAAATGCGGTTCTTAGGTTTTTCAAAATAGCGTCGGTCACAAACAAAGGCAATATTTATGGCAAAGACTAGACTTTAGTGTGAAGTGTTGCATATCATTAGAAAAGTAGTTTGCGGCTATCACGAACTTTTGTAGTGTGTTTTTCCCAAATTTTTTCATACTAAATCTGTCACTACTCCATCTGGTAGATATTTTTCAAATAGTATGATATACTAAAATATAGGTCCTATTATGTGCTTTTAGGAACCAAAAAACATTTTTCACTTGGTTGAGTAGTTTTTGTGCAAATTGAGTTTGAATAAACAATCTCAAAAAACAGAAAATTCGCCTATACCCAACTTTGAGGACCTGCTACTCAGCACCAGATGGACCAAAAAACTTGAAACTTGATAGAAAAAAGCCATTTGACACCCATTTCAAGTATTTAAATTGAACTTTACATGCTTTACTATGATTCTGTGTAATATTTTGTCAGCATGTAGCTATAGGAAGCTCAGAATTTCAAGTTAAAGAATGTTAAGCCGAAATTTAAGCCGATCGGCTTAAAATCGGCTAAATTGAAATTCTGAGCTCACTATAGCTACATGCTGACAAAATATTACACAGAATCATAGTAAAGCATGTAAAGTTCAATTTAAATACTTGAAATGGGTGTCAAATGGCTTTTTTCTATCAAAAAAATCAAAAATTGAGTTAAGCCGAAAAAATCGGCTTCGATCTCTGTTAAATACAATTGAAAATCATAAACATCCCTCATGGTTATTAAATAGTTCATTTCTTTTGGTTCGATATCATGACATGTTATTTTATTTTTTAAAGGGTTCCCAAATGTGATCTTATTAAAGTGTAGAAGAACCATTGAATAAACGTCAAAAGGTATTCTTTTGAATGTAGAGATGATTGTAAAAACAATAATAATTCTTCTTTTCATTATTATATAAAAAATATAAAAAAGCGTACTCACCAAAAAGTGCAAGAAACATAAATGTAATCCAATGCATTTGGTATCTGTTAATCCTTTATCTTTGGGTGAATTATATACTAAACGTAATGCTCCTTGATTAAATTTTTCACATTAAAACACTTTTCATACATAAAATTTAATTATGATTTTTTTTTTCTCTTTTTTCTTAGACTTTTCTTCAATTTTTTTTTTTTGTAGGAAGGAAATCCACACTGCACACATACACAGAGAAAATTTTATTTTATTTTCTTTTTTTCCTTTTTGCGCCTTTCCTTTGAATTTTCTTCTCTTTTTTTGCAAATATATACTGGTGGAATTATTTTTATTTATTTATCGATTTTTTTTTCCTTTGCTCGTCTCTTTTACTGCAACTTATAGACATTTTTCTCATTTGCTCTTCTCTTTAAGTTACAAAATTTACTTTCATAATATTTCTATTACATTTTTACTTATTTTCACCAAGTATTCTTTTATTTCAATTAATCGTATTGGATGTAAACGTGGGCTTATAAGCCACTAAAACGACGACGATTTTTTTTTCACAATGAAATTGTCTCGTGATTCCTTTAAAATATATTAGAATATGAATAATTAAATAAAATATACACTTTTGATAAAAGATATCAAATTAAACTGAAAATTAAAACTTGTTTTTAATTATTTTGCAATTTTAATAACAAAAAGAAAAATATCTCTTCACTAATTTCACAAGGTTTTTGATGTTATGTAAAATCCAAATAAATGCTTAGTAAATTTAGGAAAGAATGATTTAAATCACAATAATTTGTAGCATGCTCATTAATGAAATAATTCATGAATTGTATAAAATATATCTTTTAAGTAAAATCATTGATATGTATGAGAATATACAATTTTTTTGGAATCAAGTGAAATAATCACCAAAATTTGCACAAACTCTAATAAAATCATTTGGAAAACTACACATTTTATAATGATTTAAAACTATTTGGTATTTTCTTTTGCAATATCTTTGTTATTTCGGTAAATTTTTCACTTAATATATCTTATAATTGAAATGGAAAAAAATAAAGCTAAAGAAATTTCATTACGTTCTTTTACATTCGAATGCTCCTCGTAGACTAATCTTCGATATTTTTCAGACATTCGAATGCTTTGACATTTATTTAGTACAGCAAATTGAGGCAAGAAAATTGAGATGGAAGATAGAAAACTTTCAAGTTGAATATACACAATGTGTCCTTGCTAAAATATTCGTTTTTTTTTTGGTTTTCTTTTATAATATATATTTTCAATTTTTTTTATAAAAAACGGAAAGTATCATAAAATTTTTTTTATTGTTAAAAAAGCTCATTTGATATTTTATAAGTCTTTAAATAAACTTAAAAAAATGTATAATTTTAAAAAAAATATGATCATATTCCTATCAATTGATATGATTCATTTTGTTATTCCGTTTATGATAACTATTTCAACAAATCTTAATCTTAAAGTTTTGGTAAACAAAGTGAATCTTTTATAAGTTTAAATTTATATTTCAAAATATGTATTTAAAAAATATTTTTTAATTATTAAAACATTCTTATTTTAATTTTTTTCGATTTATAGCCCGGATATCACACTTATCTGCTGCATCAATGAAAACGGAAGAATAAGATATAAGTGAAGTAATCTTGTTTATAAGTTACTTATTCAATTATTGTATCATGCCTTATTATGAAACTCAAAATATAAAAAAAAATGTTTGGTTATTAAAAAATTCACAATTAACAGAGACATCCACATATGAATGAACTCAGTTCTAGTGATTTTTCTTTAAATTTGTAAATTTGTTTTTTAATGAATTTTAAATCGAAATTATAATAAAGTTTTATTAATATTTTCTCCTTTTAGCAACGAACATGACAAAAATATAAGAAAATTGAAATTTAAAAAGTGCAATGTTCGTGATATATCATAGAATAAAACTCTTAACGGGCGAAAATTTAAAAAAATAAGAACTGTCCATTTTTTTATAATGTTCCAGATAGGAGCTTATTCCCCCTATATATCTTTAATACCTATTTTTTCTGTTCTCAATAATTGAAATTAACTATAGACCATAATTTGGAGCAGGATAATTTGTTTAAATTCAAGGTAATGCTTTAGTTTAACAAAATAAAATAAAATATCTTTCTTAATGAAATTGTTTTGATGTATAAAGACGGATAATAATGTTACGTGAAAAAAATTATTTTGATAATGGTGCATAATATTCATGACATAATGTGTTTTATTGTAAAAATAATTATTTATCAACAATTTTATGCATTAATTTTTTCATTTTAGTTTAATAGTTTGTTTTTAATGATACAAAAAAAAAACCTTAAACATATATGAAATATATTAAATCCAAATAAAATTAAATTAAATTCATATTTTAGGATCTTAAAACTGCTTAAAACTTGATGACATTATGTATGTCTATAGAAACATACATCACAATAATCGATGCATGCAAAAAAATAAAAATTTCACTTTAGTTTTGCGTATTAAATTTATGAAATTACAAATTTCACATAATATTTGGTCATTAAGCACCTAAGCAAAGTTTTTCTTATGTGGTAAACTCTATACCTAACTTTATGTCCAATGCTTAGAAATATTACTTTTAAAGATTGTGACGTGAGTTATTCTGTGTATTTTCAGAAATAATGATAGATATTTTTAAGATTTTTTATAACATTCATTTTCATTTAGACTTGTTGAAAATTATTATTATAGTTAAGTTTTTGGGAAAAAATGAATGTTTTATGTAATATTTTTAATGTAGACCACTGCTGAACATTTTCTTCTTCTTTTTATTCTAAAACGAAAAAAAAAAAATCAGAATATCACGTACATCGCTTAATTCCGTAAATATTTCAAATGCAAAAATGGTATTTTAATCTTAATTCGGCTTGATTATTATAATTTGTTTTAAATATGTGATTTTTATTCTTAGAAATAAAATATGATACGTAAATAGCATAGAAAAGCTATCAAAATGAGCAAAACAAAAGTAATGAAAACCCAACAAAATCAAATAGATAATGTTAATATGATTGACGACGAAGAAAGTAATTCTTCAATCGGAAATTTAGATTTAACTTTATTAAGACGACCCATTACAACATCAATCACTGGACTCGAAGAAGTTTTAAGAGCGTATAATGATGGAACAAATGAAGTGAGAATTATAATGATATTTTTTCTTTTAATACTGTAAGAAATCATTCTATTTGTGTTACAGCTTAAAAAGTTACTATCAAAAGAATGTGATTTGATCTATGAATGTAAAGTGTGCCGAAATATTTTTCGTAGCCTCACTAATTTTATATCACATAAGCGAGTGTATTGTCGAAACACATTTAATGCATCTGATCATTTTCATTTCCGTAACAACGGATTCTTGGTAAGACTGTCAGTGCTATACAAACCGCAACAACACTAATAAATCTTAAATTTAAAATAAAAAATAGATTCAGGACGTAGCAGCAATTATAGAAGCTGAGCAAAAAAATAATAATAATCCTATAGCTGGTGTTTTGCCAGGAAGCGATGATAAATCTAAGGACCTCAGTGGCGTTGTTGAACATATTTTGTGGAAACAACATCAATCACGTTGTAGTAATGTAACCGATGTATTAAAACAAATAAATTCAACAAATCGCAGTTTATCACATCATGATAATGATAGTAATTCACAACAAACATTATTATTAAACCCAGTCAAAGAATCTGACATAGCTGTATATCAGTCATTACAAACGGAAAGTAATAATAGCAACATGGAAGATGAAGTAATAAATTCTGTTCAATTTATTAATTTCTTTAAAACGTTTAATCAATTTTTTTTTTATCGTAATGAAATAGATAAAAGAAGTTCATAATATGCTAAAGAAATCAAATTCTATGCTTGGCCCTGACGGAAAAATTATAAATCAAATGAATTTAAATAATGAAAAAGTTTCTTCCTCAACTGGACCGCTGACATGCAAAGTGTGCAACGTTCAATTCGAAACAGAAAAAACTTTAAAGTTGCATTTAGAAATGAAACATCTTCCGTCAGCTTACGTTTATCAATGTCCATCATGTCCACAAAAATTTTCAACATCTGCTGCTGTTTTGAAGCATCTTAGCAACGACCATAAGTATAAAAATATAATTTTCTTTGTTTTTCAATTTTAATTAAAACATCATTTTATTTTATTAGAAAATCAAATCGCAGAATCAGGCTCATGCGAGATAACATAATAAGGAAGCGTATTCGTGCTGATGAGGCTACAATTAAATGTCCAAGCACATCAAGAGAATTACAGCAGTTGCAACTTTCAAAATCTTCTGAGAGTAATCATACAAATGATTTAGAATGGAACACACAAAATGTTAAAATTGAGAATGATATTGATGATTCATATGTATGTCCCAGTTGTTTGAAAAAGTTTGACAGAAAGGCTGTTTATACAAGTCATGTCCAGATGTGTTCGGATATAAAGGATCGTGAACAAGAAAAGTTAAAGAAAAGAAGAGCTAAAGATGGAAACAAAATGAAACAATTGATGGGAAGTTCATTAGAATCTGAAGACAATTCTAATATAAGTGAAAATTCAAACAAACATAAAAGGAAGAAGCGATGTAAAGCAAAGATTGGGGAAGAGGAGAAAAAGGTCGAATTTGCGGAAGACAATTCTGAAGATATTGTTGATTGGAATCTTGACGATGAAGAAGAAAACAAGAAGTTAGAAAATATAAAAAAAGAAATCATTGAAGACGATTATAAAAAAAATATAGAAGCAGTATCCTTAAATCATTCGGTTAAGTATGAAATAAATAATGAAAATAGTTTACAGGAACAACCTGATGATGATGACAATGGTTTAATAATAGATGAGCAAATTGATGATGCTCAAAATCAGGAAATGAAATGCCCTACATGTGACAAAGTTTTTCCAACAAATGAAAAGCTTAAATATCATCTTACTTTTTATCATTCGAGGCAAAAGCGATTTAAATGTAAAATGTGCGAATATCAAGGATATCGTAAAAAAGATACAATGAATCATATTAATTTTGTTCATAGCACAAACGTAACTTTGGAGACATTAAGTAGTTATACTGAAACCGTTTCAAAAGCAGTCAACGAGGAGGATGTGAAAAGACAAAATGAATTGAAAAAAAACCAATTGAAAATCAAACGAAAGATTGCACGAGAAAGGCTGAGAAAAAAGGCTTCTGAAGCGAAATCAGAGATTGCACAAATAGATAATGATAAGAAGGCTGAAGACTTCGATGAAATAAGTTCAATAGAAATACCAGATAAATTACATTCAGATATTGATCTTACAGCAAAAGTATTAAATTCAAGACGAAAATCAGTTTATGCATCTATCGTTACAAAAGTTGATGTAACAAAAGGAGATCATAAAGATTATGAAGACTTTATGAAAAAACATCAAAGTGTAATAATTAAAAAAGAGGAAATTGAAGGTAGCCCATCTGTTTTTGCTCAATTATCCAAATCTCCACCGACTTCTAATATTACTCGTTTTGGAAAAGTAATTAAAAATATTTCTAGTATGAATATGATGGATTTATCACAAAGCTCTAGGCCCATCCGAAATAGAATCAAACCCGTTCGTAAAGATTTCTTATATGATTTATCTGATCTATTGAAAAAAGAAGCTGACGCTTATCGTGAACAAGCTTTTCAGTCGTCGTCAGTGACTGTTAAGCGAGAATTAAGAAAGCGTGCAATGTCAACTCACACCCGAGAGATGCCATCCATCAATACGTTTGATCAACCATTAAAGAAGTTATCTCTGGATGCGCTTGTACAACCTTTAAATTCACTTTCAGCATTGAATAATGTTGAAGATTCACCATCCAAATTTAAAGATCAGCGAAATCGTAGAATGAGTGTCTTTATTCCTCCTACGAGATCAATGTTTCCACCACAACCTCGATCTCCTCCATATAGACCGCCAGCAACACACAAAAATGCAGGCTCTGCGTATAAAATGGCTTTAAAAGAATTCGATAATAATCGGGCCAGTTTATACGAGCCAAAATTTCTATGGTCAATTAACTTCGACCAAGAAAACGAGAAATCTAAAACAGTTTTGAATTCATCTAATGTTTCAGCTGCTTCAAGCATATTGCAGAGACTGAGTGGCAGAGCTTTAAATTCCGATATAAAATTGGAAGCAACATCAGAAACTTCCAATTCCTTGACAGCAGAACAGTTGTGTAAGAAATTTGAATTAATAAATGTTACAAATATCAATGAACTTGATATACCAGTATCAAATACTATTAACTTAAATCCAGGAGCAACAGAAAATAATTTAATGGCGCTCACATTAGATGAAACAGATAATGATGTGTGCGTCTTACAAGAATGCAGTGCAGAATCATCAGACGATAATGATAATGATAGTGATCCAAAATTAGAAATCGCGAGTAACGAGGACAACACAAAATCAAATAAAAAGCCAAAAAATAATTTGAAAAGGAAGCAAGCAGAAAAACGTAAGTCAGCAGCTTTATGCCAGCGAAGATTGACAGTAATGCAAAGATTACAAGAAAATAAGATTCGTAAATCGAGAGAACAATTATTTCAACGACTGATGAACCAGCAAACTGAAGAGGATGATCCATCAGAATTTGATCTATTTACAGAGTCTTAAAAAACTATTGTCGCATCTCTTATTATTCATAGTTTTTCACTAGTTTAAATAAGGATGGCGTTTAGTTGGTTTAGGACATAGGTATTTAAGATGGTTGATCAATTTGTTTATTTTTTTTTATTAAAAAACTTGCTTATTTATGGTTGATTTTTTTTTTTATTTTAAATCCAAATAATTCATTTAAAATGTGCGATCAATGAACCCTATTAAAAGTGAATAAAATTAATTTTAATCCACACTCAACTTGATAAATATATTTTTTTTGTGCATTAATTTAATAATTATAGATGGTTTTTCATCAGATATGTTTGGCTTATTTATTTATCCTTTTTGTTTTCGTCCTCGATTGTTTTTTTGGATTCTGATAATTCGTCAGTACATTCTTTAGCATCGCTTCCGTTTTTTTCAACTTTCGATATTCCATCTTTTGAAACAATGCTTTCGTCTTCCTTCAATTCTTCATTATCTGTAAGCTGATTGACATTGTTTTCTTCGAGGCTCCATTTCTTTAGAAAGTTTGGAAACCAGAAACATGCCGAGATGAGCCTATAAAGCAATATGCCACGTAATGTTCAAAAAGATCATATCAATGTAAACTTACTTAATTAGCAACCATCCAGAAGCAATTAAAGCTAAAAGAGTTACAGATGTTTCTAACATGATCTTATAGTCAGGAACAACCTGTTCATTTTTCATTTTATATATTTTCGAATTGCAAAATACTTTAAACTAAAATAGTATGAATTGAAGAGAAAAAAATCAAAAGCTGATCAAACAAAATATGTTGTGGCACATTCGTTGTCAAGACAAACGTTAATTAATATTTAATCACAAACATATCATCCGAATGTATGTCGAATGCATTTTCGTTTGATTAATATATGTCGTCTAGAAATCAGCAAGGCGTGGACACTGGGATTAATCCTAATAATCCTTATAATCCCAATAATCCCAAATAATCCCAATAATCCCAAGTTTGGAATTATTGAGATTATTAGGATTATTAATATAATTTTAAAATTTTTCAAATTTAAAATTTATTAAATGTTAAAATTTTGACTAGCATTGAAAAGAATAATGTCCCCAAAAATCTTTGGATACATTTTAAGTTCAGAATATTAATATAAAAATTAGCTAAAGTAATGAACTAGCCTTAAAACGTCAAAAAATGATTTTTTTTATCAACAAAATCTAGTGCACTAGTAAAAAATTTGCAAAAATCAATTTAAAATGTCTTTTAAATGCTGTATTTGATTGATTTACTATGTGTTCTAATCAAAATAATTGTATATTAGCGATATTATCATATTAGCCACAAAATCTATCAAACGATACATATTTTCTCAAAAAAATTCTTTAAACTAGGTTTTTGATTCAACAAACCTAGTAAAGCTAGTAGTGACCTCGGTGACAATGACGGCAATGGTTAAATTATTGACTTTTTGGCTTTTATAGGGGTAATAAAAATCAAAAATTGAGTTAAGCCGAAAAAATCGGCTTCGATCTCTGGAAAATACTGGAAATTTTAATAAAAGCAAGACTATAAGAAATAAACATTTAATAACTTATTACATACTTTAGAGGTTTTTGTCTGAAATACTTAGTACAGTAGTCATCAAACCCCAAAAAACTAGGAATAAAGCCAACAACTTTCCTTAGACTGATGTTTTAATATGGACATTACTTAGGACACTAGTAAATACAACTTAAAACTCTGAGTAAATGTCTATTAGACATCCTATTTCAGAAACCGATTGTTTAAATAAATCAGTCAAAATGCTTTGAAAAGTTATTGTATATGATCAAATTTATATTTTGGTATTCGACAAACACTTCAAAATGATATATTTTCACATTGTTTAAACTTTTTTTTTCCAATAATCCCCATAATCCCAGCATATTTTTGAGTGTCCACGCCTTGGAAATCAGTAATTCTGAAAAGCACTAGTGTAAACAAAAGTAAAAACTATATATTATTGACTTATTTTTTAAAATTCAAAATGTATTTCTTTTTTCTTGAATCATATTGTTTGTTAAATACAGCATATTGATGTAAATATAACTGCAAAAACTCGCATTCTTGTTTTCCTCCTTAACGGTAAGATTTCTGGTAGCGTGCACGAGCTCCAGGACCTCCAAACTTCTTTGGCTCGCAACGTCTTGGATCTGCAACAAGCAATGTTCTGTCGTACTGTGTAAGAATGTCTTTGAGTTCTTTACGAGATGCTTCATCAACATATTTTTGATAAAATGCAACAATAGCTCTTGAAATTGCTTGACGAATAGCATAAATCTGAGCTACCTGACCACCTCCAGAAACACGTACGCGAATGTCAATTCCAGAAAATTTCTCTTTGCCCAATAAAAGAATTGGTTCTTGCAATTTTGATTGCAAAATTTTCGGTTCAATTTGTTCTAAAGGACGTCCATTGACTCTTAATAATCCGCGACCTCGTTTGCAATAAGCTGTTGCAATTGCAGTCTTTTTGCGACCAAATACATGGACAGCATTTATAGGTTCCTTGACTTTTTTCGGCATCTCAATGTATTACCTAAAAATATATGAATAAAGAGTATCACTATAAATTTGTATTGTTTATATGGAATAGTTTGAGGTTAGACAATCTTTCAATTTTTATTGTTTTCAGCATGCAACAAAAAAAAATATTTTAATTTAAGTTTTAAACAGGATTTAATCACTTTTTCTTCTGAACTTTTAGTGTAAACGGAAATGCGAACAACACACTTTCCATTAATTAAACTTTTGATGCGAAAACTGCAGGAAAACTAGGAAAAATTAATTAAATTGTGTTAAAAAAATTCTACCTCTTAGAAACAGGGTGTTGAAAAGAAAGAGCAAGGGGTGAGAAATTTACATTGTTTGAAAAAAATTGGAAGTATTTTAAAAATTTTTTGTTCGTTATTTATTTTAAATGAAAATTCATGTCTTGGTAAATTAGAAACATGTACAAATGTAATGTGGGCCTCGTCACAAAAAAATTGTACGTGAGTGACGCTTTGTTATTCTCCAGGGGTTGACACGATTTCATCTTGATGAAAAATTTCTTTATTCTATTGTTAAGATGAAATTTTTGTAAGAATTGATGAAAAATAATGAAGAAAGATGAAAAAAGATGAATTTTTTGTATGAAAAGATGAAAATCAAGAAATTTTCGGGTGAGCTCGGTTTGTATGAAAAATATCTCGAAAAAGCAAAATTTTCTTATTTGAGGTGAAAAATCTTTCGGAAAAATAAATGTTTGCATTAATTTTTTTATGTAAAGTGAAAAACCCCAAAGAAAAGCATATTTTTCGTCTCGATTTCCTTAATTAGGATGAAAAACCTCTCGGAAAAGCCATTTTTCGTCTCGATTTCCTTACATGAGATGAAAAACCCCTCGGAAAAGTCATTTTTCGACTAGATTTTCTTAGATGAGATGAAAAAACCATTGGAAAAGTCATTTTTCGCCTCGATTTTCTTAGTTGTGATGTGAAAAAGCGAATTTTCATAAATATTTTTGTAAAAAATGATTTTTCAAGGTAATTTGTATGAAATTATATACTTCACAAACCAAATAAATCGTGAAATTCTTAAAGATGAAAATAATGAAAGAAGATGAATTTTTTGTATGAATTGATGAAAAAAGATGAAAATTGATGAATTTTTTGTATGGAAAGATAAAAAAATGATGAAAAGATGAAATCGTGTCAACCCCTGGGTTATTCTTGATTATCTCCTTATCCTTAAAAGTGACAAATTTAAGAGTTACTTTTTTGAAAAGAGAATTAAAATCCCCATTTATTGTTGTTCAATTCACTTCTTGAAACTTTATAGTTGCTTACAAAAATCACTTTAACTAAGCGTCACTCACGTACAATTTTTGGGAATTTTGCCATATCTTCATTATTGTTTATTGATACATCTTCAAATGTATTTTTAGGTCCAAAATTCAGTTCTGTTCTTTTTGAGTTTATGAAAATTTTAAAAATGCTGCGTTAACATAGGGGCTGTTCACTTATTACGTAACGCGAAAAAATGACTTCTTTGACCCCCCCCCTCGTAACAAAATTTGTATGAAAAAAAATTTCCTTGTTTGAACCGTAACAAAATCTTAGACCCCCCCCTCCCCCTAAAAGCGTTACGTAATAAGTGAATGGCCCCATACCTAAATGGACAAAATTAAGTTGAAAACTTTTTAACGGTTTTAACTTTTTTGAATTTTTTCGGTTGTAATTTGTTTGTTTACAAACAAAGTCGAAAATGAAATTTGAAAAGTCACGAAAATATCACCCAATAATGATGTAAAATCTCTTAAAATAGTCAGAACAGCTAATGTATCGTCTACTTTTCGTATTCAAATCATAATATTTTGGATTAATGATTGGATAACTAAGAATTTTGAGAATTTAATTTTTGATGTTTTGTATGATAGTGTTGGTGAAAAATTCAAATTATTTTTTCCCGTTTAGAAAACATTATAAAAAGCGTCGAGGCCCTCTTTACTAAGCTACTGGTTTTATCGTTTGCTGGTTTTCCAGGTTTTGGTATTGAAATCACTTTTGCGTGTTTGCTTGATTCGATGATTGCAACACCACCTTTTGATCTATCCACGTGATCCAATCGATGAATTACGTAGTCCGGATGCGAGTCAATTTTTGAGTTTGGTTTTAGGAATGTTTCTGAGATGCAAGCAACATCGACGTTATGCTTGCTTAGGTAGTCGAGGATACTAATATTTTGTCGGTAAGCCGTAAGCTCGTGGACTGATTTCGGGGTCTTCTGAGTCCATAGCCTCAACATCCTGCTTTGGTTTTTGATGTTAATTGTTGTTATCAATGCGCTCGTTTTGCTTTTTTCTTTGATTCTTTTTCCAATTTTTTCCCCTTTCTTCATTGTTTTGTTGGTTGTTCAAATTAATTTTATTTCCCTGATTTGAGGGTTTGTGAATTGGAGGAGTATTTGTGTTCCTTGGTTTGTGGTTGACAGGGGTTTGTTTTTGATGAACATGCTTTTGTGTACCAGATGTTGATGATTCCACATGCTACTTTCTCCATTGAGGTTTTGGTACATGTTGGACGTTTCTGGTTGATCGCTCAGGACGATTCGGTGTTTTAGCAATGTTTCTCCGTTGTCCAAGCTGTCGATATGAATAATGGCCTGCTGTTTTGTTTTGATTTCGGTTGTTTCCATTCTGTAATTTTGATTTCCACTTCTCTATTATTTCTTGTCTGGTTTTACAAACTGTGAAAATTGCTGTATGTTTTTCACCGCAGAAGAAACATTTGAGTTTCCCGACCTGTGAGCTTGTTGGTCTCTTTCGATATGTACTGGCACGTTTTCGAGTCATGTTGCTCAGACCATATGAAGCAAACGGACGGTTTTTTACAACCGTTTTGTCCATGACCAAACTGCAGGCATTTCGAACATTGAGATGGTCCAGCTTGTCTGATTTTGTAGTCAGCCCATTTAATTTTAAAACTGCTGACAATTTTGATTTTTCTGAGGAATTCCAGGAAGTTTCCATCTTATTTTTTCTCGTAGTCATCTCAACTCTCCGTTGTTACCGTTTTTGTTCCTGGTTTGCCATTTTTTGTCGGTCTTTATGTTTCCTGTTCTAGTGTTTCTCCAAATTGAAACGGTTTTTAAGAAAACAACTTTCTTCATTGTTGAGAATTTGAACGGTCGTTTGTTCCCATCTCTTAGTTTGCTTACGCTTGTTACTCTTTTCGAAGGCACGCTGAGAACTATAACTTCTCGAAAGCGTTTTCTGCTTTACTCACTTGATTGAGAAAATTCTCGGTTGTAAAAAATTTTCACTATTAATCTCTCAATATTGAGAATTGTCACTGAATCTTGTTGAGAACTATTTCGTTCATGCTGATTTTCAGGAAGATTTTGAAAACTTTCTTCGTTGTTGATACTTTTTCGTGATTCTACCATTTTGATGTTTTGAAACTTTTGCGATCAAAATAGTTTCACACATAGTCTCTGTTTTGGTTTTCTTAAGATTTTTAATAATATGCGGAGCTATTCGTAAACACGTCTGTTCTCTTTGAGATCGAGTTTACAACTGTTTTCCGTTAAGCAAAAATCCTTAAAAAAACGTCGAGGCCCAATGTTAATGTTTAAAAATTAAAATTGTATAAACAAGTCTTCTCCTAGTTTTGATATAATAAATTTTATTCAGACTCTTGATGTAATTCATGCTGCGATAAAAAAAAAATAAATAAAAATGATGAAATTATTTTCTGATACAGGCAGGATGAAGGAAAAGTACTATATGATAATGCTCATATATATAAATGCACGAACATTAATTTTTTTCTAAGCATTTAATGTCAATTCGCGTTTTGTGGAGGATCGTTTTGTGGAGGATAGTTTTGTGTGTCAGATTATTGTAATAAAAAAAATGAATAACTTAGTTATATTGTATTTTTTACAATTTTGTGCACTAATAAACTGTAATATTATAAGTAAAAATCTTGATTGTGGCTTATATTATTGGTCACATGTTCATGAATTAATGACTACATGTGTAATCAGTAACAGAGATATGAAGAATGATGCAAAAAAAATTACTAGAATACAAGAAACTCTTGAAAGTGAAAAAAATAATCTAATAGGATTAATGATAAACTCTACAATTAATACCGTGATTCCAACTTATATTAGTGATTTTCCGGTATTAGAAAATCTAAGGATTCAAAATACGGATTTAAAAAAGTTTGCTTTTAATGGAACGTCAAATATTGCATTCATGTTTTTGGGATATAACAAAATTTCTGAAATTGATCAAAATGCGTTTAATGGACTTTTAAATTTGAAAATTCTTTATTTGAATAATAATAAGCTTTCGCAAATACATAATGAAGCTTTTAAACAATTAAGCAATCTCCAGGTAATATGGTTAAATGACAATCACTTGAAGGCAATTTCTAGCGAAACTTTCTCCAGCAATATAAATTTACAAAGAATAAAGTTGCAATTCAACAAAATCAATTCTATTGGAAAAAATGCATTTAATATTCAAGGAACAAATAATAAATTAAGAAACCTAGATTTACGTGGTAACATATGTATCGACATCGAAACATTTATTTACAATATAACTGAAGTAATAACGCGGATCAAACTGAATTGCAACATTAGCAGCAATAATTTTACATAATTTTAAGATAAACTTAATTAAATTACTAGAAATTTATTATTAATATAAAGCAGTGTTGCAAATGTAGATGTCTACACTAGAGGAAGAATGTAGATTCTTTCCTAGAATTTATGAAACGCAAATTCAATTTTTATGTAGATCAATTCTATACGCAAATAGAAAAAAAAATCTTTCATATATTTTCTCTTCATAAAGACAATTTTTTTATGTAAACTTTGTCTACATATAGATAAAAACAATAATTTACATGTAGAAAAATTAACAAAGAACAAAGAAAGATCTGTGTAAGAATTTGTCTGAGCCAGACAACTTGCTAGAATGCAATCAATAAAGCAATAGTGTACGTTATACGAAATTATAGCCGAAAAATGACATTTTTTGCAACATCTAAAACTGTGATTCACAATGATTCAAATTTTAAAAAAGTGTTCAATAATTTTTTGTGTATCACATTTTTCTGACACATTATAAAGATAATAGTTTTTGTCTATTTCTTTACATTTGATGAGGTTCAGCATGTTATATGAAGGATAACCACGATATTTTAGCAAAGGGTTATAAATTTTTATCAAAAAATATTGTGCACGATCAAATTTTGTATTAAAATTTATGTAAACTTTAATCGCAAATATTTGAAAAACGGAATCAAACGACATGTCCGCAGTGGAATTGCATATACATTAACGCTTGATCTATTGATTCTTGGAGTTAGACAGCAAGGAGGAATGAGATATTTTTATAGGACATGCCTAAGGCTAAGATCTTTAATCTGGCATTAAATAGATAAAGTTTAATTGATATGATATTTTTGGACATTATTCTCGAATTTGAATCATTGTGTGATTTTCGCTTACCCTGTTTTTTCGTTATAAGCTAGTAGCTTAGAAGAATAAAAAAGTGATTTTTTTGGCTCACTAGTAGCTTAGTAACGAGGAGTAGCTTAGTAACGAGTAGTAGCTTAGTAAAGAAATTGAACTTCAATGAAAATTTTGAATTTTTTAACCTTAATTAAAGAAATTTTGCTTTCTTCTCGATTTTATTTCATTGACAATGTTTATTTTTGGTAGTAGCTTAGTAAAGATTACAAAAAAATTTCAAGTTCAAAAAAACTTTACTAAGCTAGTAGCTTAGTAACGAGTAGTAGCTTATAACGAAAAAACAGGGTAAAGTGAAAATACGATCTTTAAACATTTAAAATAATTCTATATCAAAATTTTCAGTACCTTTATGAAAGCCCCTATAAACCTTTATTTGATTTAGTATTTTTCTAAAGATATAAGTTTTAACTTTAAAAAAAAATAGAATCAGGGTATTATAACAATATTTGAAAATCCTTTATTCAAAAGTCTTTTTTTAATGTCATGTATATGTTGGAAAAATGTAAAATAAAAATCAATACGCCCAAAATAATAATTTTTCTACAATTTTAATATTTTTTTCTCAACTTGGGGGTCTTATATTCAAAACAAAAAAAAAATGTAATAATTAATGGAGAGAGGGAATAAATCCAAAAGTAAGGTTTTCAATGCCGGGAAACTATTAAACAAATAATGATTTTAACGAATAAATAATTTATAACAATTTATGTTTTGTTTAAACGAATAGTCTAATAGTATAATAAAGACTTAAAATAAAGCTTACTTTTGTCAGACTTTTATTTTAACAAGAAAAAAAAATTATCCTAGCTGTAGTTCTATAGCTTTTTCAATCTTTTAGAATATATATTTCAGAGGAATCTAATTAGAAAAATATTTTTGAATTTTTTTTTCAAATTTTTTTTCATATACTTCATGTTACAAATATGTATAGACAACAAATTTTTTCATATGATCAATGTATTTTTATCTATTTATTCATGTGTTGCGAGATGTATGTTTTTTAAAATCTCTGGATTTTCATTTAATGTATCAGATAATGCGGCAAGTAAAACGTCTGAAATATTTGAAATTATTTAAGTTTGTTTAAAAACAAATAATAAGATTGATAATTAATTTTTACCTAATACTTTTTTTTCAAGTATTGGTGATATTCGTCCATGTTTTCCTTCGTTTTCTAAAAACTGGGTTAGTTTTTGTAAAGCAGCTTGTGAGTCTTCTGATCCATTAGTGAGGCTCTGTGTAAACATTGTTTTTGCTAATTGATAAATTACCTCTTCCAAAGAATATTCTCCAAAAAAGAAGTCTTTTAAGTGCATACGACCTACATTTTCATTAGATTCAGTTGGCTCAGGCTGATGCATATTTTTACTTTCTCGATGAATATTAGCTAATTTTTCAAACGATGGTATTTTTTCAAGGGCTTTTACTATCATGGGAGATAATGTTGGAATTTGATTATCTTCAGATTTGATTTTATCTTCAAAACTGGTTTTAGGGAAGCGCTGAGGTTTCATAAAGTTGTAGTTGAAACTAATTTCTTCAACAATTGAAGCTTCTGGATCGGTTGTTTTTTCTGTACGAGGTAAAACCTATCAACAAAATCAATACTATTAAATATTGATAATTATAGGAACTTAAATGTAGTTTTACGTTTTTGTTTTCGCCAGTGTTGTACTTATTTTTTAAATAATCGATTCCAAGGCGAATATCTTTCAAAAATTCAACAGCATTTTCACGAGTCATCAATTCCTCATCAATCAACTCTTCGACAGCATTTGATATTCCTGTTTCATCACCAGTCCAAAAGATGTACTGAGCTATCTCATAAGCAGAGTATTTGCCGTTTGAGTCACGCAACATTTTGTAAGGATTTATAAATGACTTAGATGTACATATGTAAATAAGGAAAATCAATGAAAAATAATGAGAAAATAATAAAACATTTTTACAATAAAAATAAATTATATACCTCATTTTTTGCCAAAAACCCAATATTATTCCCTTTTGACGTGAACTCGAATATTTCATTTGGAATAGTAAGATTCTTCGAACTGTCTTTTTCAGAGTATAATTTTTGATGATTTTGTTCATACTCGTCATTGATTTTATCGTGTTTTATGTTTGTGAAAAACTGCTTACAGATAAATTTTTTTAATATTATTATTCATTTTAAAAACAATTGCTTCAATATACCTCTGAATCTTTTTGATTGGGATTATGTAATTTTTTCAATGAGTTTTCCGGGTTTTCGTCTAAGCCTTTCGTATATTTAAAATGATTTTTTGCATTTATAAACTTTAAATTATTTAATTCAGAAACCTCGCCATCATTCTAGATGAATAAAGAAAGAGTATACAATAGGATTATCGTTATGTCTCATTTATTGACACGTGAATATTCGTCAACTGACAAGGAAAAACTAATTTTTGAATAATTTTTTTTTTATATAATATGAATGTATGAATGAATCTATAGCAATAGTTTGAATGATTTACATTAAACTTTTAGATAAATACTTTGAAAATTTATACTCACTCCGCTTCTATATATTTCACTTATAATTAGTTCATCAGTGGGAACTTTTTCTTTTGTATTATCATCCTTCACTTTTACTAATTTATCAATGAAAAAATAGGTTTTAAGAAATCAGTTATAAGTTTATTAATTTTTTTAAACTGCATTAAATCTATATTATAAAAGCCCATTTCACTGACTCACTGACTCTAGAGCGGAAGCCATGTGAAGCCATTTATGAAACCGCGTGAAGCCAATGATTTTGAGGGTATTGATAAGGTGGGTGCTTGGAAGGGGGGAGGGGGGTGTCAAGTGTAGGTCCGAGTTTGAGGGGATTTGTGTAAAGCCATTTATTAAGTTTTTGTGGGATAAAGGTGGTCCACGTTTGAGTGGTATTTGTGAAGTTTTTTGGTAGGATTGATCCTAACGTTTATTTGCGTTGTAAAGTTATTTACAAAGTAGTAATCAAATTTAAATCCCGATAAAGGGCTCCCCCCAAATAGACTAGTTATTAATAAGGATATATTTGATTGGTATCAAACAAACCTGTTAATTTTTTAAGTGATGCGGCATCAATGATGTAAAATAGAAATATGCTTATGAGAAAAAGCGATAATTTCATCCTTGAACTTTTATAAAACTTTTCAAGTTTGAATTTGAAATTTATTTAAACTATTATTTTGTTTTCTTTAAGTTTTGATATCCAATTTATTGAAATATTACTCTTCGATTATTGAAGCCTTAATTACGACTAAAATAAATATAGATCAAAAATAAAGAACAATAACTAGAATAAATATTTTTCAATGTTGAGTCATGCGCAGTAATTGGCACTTATAAGTATTTTCAAACATTTCTTTCTCATAAGAAGTATTATATGTGTGTGGTTCGTATTGCTAATACCGTCTTTATCATCAGCTTTATAAGCCTTAAATTGTAATGAGTAAAATTGACCAATATAGAAATTTAAATGCTTCTCAGATTTTGAGAATTAACGGTGAATATTATTTTGAAAAAAAAAAGTTTTGCTCAATTTTGCTCAATATTTTTTTAGAAACTTCTAGAGGAAAAAAATTCATCAATCACGCTATTAGGCTTGCTTATGTTAAATCAAAAGTTTGAACAGAGATTAAAGGTAAAAGAAATAAATTAATTGGAAATATTAATAGAGCAAGAGTGATTTAAGGAATTGAAAAATTACAAGTAAGTTTAAAAATCAAATAAAAGCCAAATTAATAATTTTTCGCCATAAAAGTTTCTAATGAAATATTTTTTTTTATTTTTCTACCTTTTCTTAAGGTATCTAAAGTTAATACATCCTTGTATTGCTTTTGTTTTTTGAAAATTCACAGTTAAATTGATTCTACAAGATACATAATGGTAAAAGAAACAGGATATTACGACATTTTAGGTAATTACTAGATTAAGAACTTATTAAAATCACATTCTTTTTTACTGTATGTACTTTAATTTCATATAAAATAGGTGTAAAGCCAAACTGTTCCAGCGAAGACTTGAAGAAAGCCTACAGAAAACTTGCTTTGAAATATCATCCAGATAAGGTGTGAAAATTCAGCGATATTTCATGCTGTATTCAATAAAAATGCTAATTTCAATATTTTCAGAATCCCAATGAAGGTGAAAAGTTCAAGCAGATTTCAATGGCTTATGAAGTTTTGTCCGACGTAGAAAAAAGACAAATTTATGATGATGGTGGTGAATCTGCTATTAAAAAAGGGTCATCAAATAACATGGGTGGATTTCATAGCCCAATGGACTTATTTGATATGTTCTTTGGAGGAGGATTTGGCGGTGGAAGGTAAACATTTAAGTGCATGCATTTTCATATCCTATGTTTTATTGGATAGACGTCGAAATGAGTTTAATTCGACTTTTAAAACTAGCTCAAAATTTGCTTCAACTATACTCGTATTTTGAATAGCTCCCGATGACTACATTTTTTCTAATTTGATTTTAGACAACGTGAACGAAAAGGTAAAGATCTCGTTCATCAGATGCAAGTGTCATTAGAAGAAATTTATAATGGTGCTGTTCGAAAATTGGCTCTTCAAAAGAATGTCATTTGTGACAAATGTGAAGGAAGGGGAGGTAAAAAAGGAAGTGTTGAAACATGTCACACTTGTCAAGGAAAAGGTGTTGAAATTAAAATTCAACAAATCATGCCTGGTTTTGTTCAGAAACATGAACAAATTTGTCGTTCATGTCAAGGGCATGGTGAAGTTATTAATCCAAAAGATCGTTGCAAAACATGTAATGGAAAGAAAACTATTCGCGATAGAAAAATCTTAGAAGTTCACGTAGAAAAAGGAATGTTAGATGGACAAAGAATCGTGTTTAGCGGTGAAGGTGATCAAGATCCAGATCTTCAGGCTGGTGATATTATCATTGTGTTAGATGTCAAAAAACATCCAGTTTTCCAATTTGGATCAAATGGAACAGATCTAGCAATGGTAATGGACTTGCAATTAGTCGAAGCTTTATGCGGATTTCAGAAAGTTATAAAAACTCTCGATCAACGTGATTTAGTTATTACGAGTTTGCCTGGAGAGGTCATTAAAGACAAAGAGATTAAATGCATCATCGGTGAAGGATTGCCTGAATATAAGAATCCGTTTGAGAAGGGTCGTTTAATTATTCAATTTAATGTTGTCTTTCCTAACGCAATTCCAAACGAATTAGTTTCAACTTTAGAGCAATGCCTACCATCCCGTCCAAGAGTTGATATTCCAATTACAGCAGAGGAATGTATGCTAAGTGAATACGATCCGAATGCTGATTCACAGAGAAGACACCGAGAAGCTTACGAAGAAGATGATGATCATTTCCATGGTCGTGGACCACGCGTACAGCAATGCACTACATCATAAATCAATGTAGAGTTATTTAAACCTTTTCTCTTATCAAACGAAAATAACCAATACCTATAAAAAAAAAACTAAACATATAATGCAACAAAAACTTAATTTATTATTATTGTTATTTGCTTTTTAAACGACATTCAATAATGTTTTTAATAGTTTCGCCTGTATTAAGCGAGTATAACATTAAGACAACATACAGCAAATATTTATACACTATAACAATCGATGATTTTCAGTTTTTGTCACTGTATATTTAGTAATTTAATATTAATATTAAAAATTTCAATTGCTTACATATTTTAAATTGTACGTCTTTCTCATTCAATTTTTTCTCCTAAATGATCAATATTTTGTTAAACAGCCCTTAAAAAATAAGTCACAAGTAAGTATTCTCAAGAAAAGAAACTAAAATAAAGTATGTTATTCTTAAAAAACCAAATTATATCAAATTAATTTATGTACAAATGCATTTTGTGTTAAAAAAAAGATGAGCAGAAAATATAGTTGATTATATGTAACTGATGCATATAATTTAAGTTAAGAAGCAAGCCGTGCCCTATTTTTCACCAATCAACGAAAAATATTATTGTATAAACACTCGAGAAGAAAAATTAAAATTTGTGCTTATTTTTCTGTTTAAAGTGAGATCAAGTTACATAAAAACCCAAAGTTAATTATAAACTAAAGGAAACTGATTAGAAATAAGAGAATTTTGTCATTCTAATCGTAATTTTTTTTAAAAAAATTGTGCAACAACAACTATTGAAGCTTAAAAAAAGGAATTAAAAACATAATGTATCTAAATCTTTATAAGTGATTTAAAATGAATGAAATTTATGAATATTTGATAGGTAATAAAGTGTTAAAGTAAAACTTAAAAAAAAATTAATGTGCGATTTCATGATACATTTTCATTGATTTTCTATCTAAATGATGTGACGCTGCATAGTGAAATGAAAATTAAAAGAAACATCTGATGCCAATACATGCATTTTTTACTTTCTTTATCCATTTACTTTGTGCTTTGTTTGATTCTACTGTAACATTTATCAGTCTATATTAAATAATAAAAAAAATAAGTACTCAATATCCAACTTAATTGTTCTCATGATGAGTATGTATTAAATAAAATGATTACATTTTTCACATCAAATCTATTAATAAAAGGCTGTGCGCTCAATAAATATTCAATTTTTTCTCTCTATTTGTATCAAATAAGACAGATTAATTCTTAAAAAATGCATATGAGGAATCATTACTTCTCATTTTTTTAAAAAAATTATTAAAATAATGTTTTCAACATTAGCACAACATATAAAAATAATAAAAAAAAAATCATTTTTCTATAGAATTGAATAAATTTCATCATTTTGACGAGCATATGGATTGCTGATTTTAGTATGTCAAAAAAACAAAAAAAGACAATCTTATGAATAGCGCGCGTTTATATGACCTTGATTAATTCTCTCTTTACATTGCCTCTCTATACATATACATTTAAATCTTAGTCGATTGTTTATTTCAGTTTATCTTTGTTGAGAGCATAAACCTTGAAGTAGTAATTTTTGAAGAATATGCACAAATTTTGACTTGTTAAAAAGCAAAATAAAAAAATCATGTAAAAAAATAAACGAAGAAATAACGGTGCGATAAAAAATATAAACAGTTCATTTTTTTTTTGATACAGGACAATAAAACTATAACAAAAATTACTATCCAGTAAATGTCAGCAGTGAATAATTTAATATTAAAATCAACTGACTGCGAAGCAGTGAATTCCGGATTAACTATTAGCAAAGTCTGTTCATTAAAAGAATCAGAAATAAAAAAACAGATAAAACCATCAATCGTTAATAATGGAACCAAGTTGAATGATTCCCAATCTGAAAATATTTATTTAGAATCAATAGAAACAAGTTCATTACCAGACAAAACAATAAAGAAGGAATCTTCAAAAGATTCAAGCATCCATTTACAAGACCAGAATAAAGAATATACCAACGATGTTCAAAAAGTTTTAGAACAAGAACAAGAATTACAGAAACAATTATATTCAGGAGCGAATGTAGCAAATAGTTGGTTTCGAGTTAATCACGTTAATAAAGTTATTTACATCAGGTAAAATAATTTTTAAAACAATTTATTTAACTTTTACCTTCAAACAAGTGATCCCAAAAATTATATAAAAGAAAACTTGAGTGTCTGAAGTATGGCAGAAGCCTATCACGACAAAATTTATTCATTTCCAAAAACACTTGGTTTAACACTCTTGGGAACATTATGAACCGGTATAGGAAAATTCGTTCAAAATCTCTGCCGAACTTTACAATTACTTAAACCGCATTTCCTCGTCAACCTTGAAACATTATTATTTTATGACAAGTATTTTAAGCTAAAGAACAAAATCATTTACACATTGATCAAGATGAGCAGAATTTACCTAGTCGAAATTTTAGCTATTTTCGCTGCTTATGTTAAGGAATAAGTGAATAATAATTCATATTACTATTTTAATACTTTTTTATTGAACAACATAGATGACACAAGTTAAAAATCTATTCTCATAATATAAATTAAAACTTTATACACTTTTAGTCCTTCTGGAATTGGCCTTTCAAGTTTAAAACAGGTTAAAGATTATCTTCTGACTCGAGGTACATGTAAATGTGGCTTGCCATTTCCATTACGTATAGAGCTTTTCTTCAATTTTGATCTAAATGTAAGTTACACATTATTTTTGAAATTATGAACAAAAAATTATTCACTGCGAATTTTTTCTTATTCTTTTCTATAATAGGTTCCAAATGTTCCATTAAAAGCACCAATAAAAGGTTTAAAATGTGATCCAAATTGTCTGCATAAAAAAAATTTATTGACATCGAGTCACGGAGGAAATAATCAAGTAATTGGTATGATTTTTTTTATTTATTGATAAAATCTATTCTTATTAAAAGCTTAAGCAAATATTAACAACGAAAAACAATTTTTTGTTAACCTAATATATGAAAAGATAACCGAAAAAAAAATTGGTCATTACTTAAAAACTGTAAAAAAATTCTGTCTATTTGCTGAAAGAAAAAATTTTCTTTGTAAAGATATTTTCTGCTTCTGGTTTGTTTGAAGGATATAGAGAACATAAATTTATTCACTTACAATTTTATTGGCCTTGATTAAAAAAAATATTAAATTGAATTTTAAAAAATAAATTAAGCACGATCAAAACACCAATTTCTTAAAAATCTCAATAATTCAATTACTTAATACGAAATTTAATGTTTAAATAAATAAAATAATTTTGTTAATTTAATCATGTTTTCGCAACAATTTTAAAGTTTTTATGAACTCAAACATAACAAAATTAAATTTCTGATCTTAAAATAACATTTCATGATGGATCAATAAAAGCTATCATCTTATATACCCTATACTATTTAGCATAAAATTACAGCTGTACTAAAATTACAGCCGTATATTACAGATGAACTTACGTCGTTACGTAAATATCAATTTACAGCTGTAGTTTAATGTGTTTAAATAACGTACAGCTGTAAATACAGATGGTGTTTAAAACTTAGACAAGTGCTTAGCTGTACTTACAGTTGATGTAATTTTTCGTAAATTCTGCTGGTTTTGACTATGATTTTTCCTTTTACAAAAAGATTGAATAGATAACGAGGAACAGTAGAGTGCAAAAAATTATAAAAATCGCATTTTACTGCTCTGGATGTTAACATTTAAAATATAAATAATACAAGAATAAAAAAGGGAAACAAAATCATTTACAATGATAGTAAACAAATTAGGAAATACGAATGGCTTCAATTTAAATCCAGCACCATGCGAGAGTCACACAAGGTTGATGCCGAATTTCTGATTAATTTACCAACTTGTGCAATTCGGGATAGAACCAAATACTGAATGATGCATTCAAATAAAAAATATTATGCTAATTTTATGTTTAAGCATAACGATTCATTAAATTCGTGCTAGAAAGCATAAAAATTATTATTTAACAATCGTTTATAAACTTTTGCACGCTACTTTACCTCGTTTTCTATTCAATATTTTTGTAAAAGGAAAAATCATAGTCAAAACTAGCAGAATTTACGAAAAATTACATCAACTATGTTATTTATATACATTAAACTACAGCTGAAATTAGATTTTTACGTAACGACGTAAGTTCATCTGTAATCTACAGCTGTAATTTTAGTACAGCTGTAATTTGATGCTAAATAGTATAGGGTATCTTTTATAGCAAATTTCCCAATAATTATTCGTGAGTGACGCTTAGTTAAAGTGATTTTCTGAAACAACTGCTTAACTTTACGAAGTTAGTTGTATGTCAAAAGATGACGATTATTTTTTCTACAAGATAAAATAACTTTAAAATTTGTCACTATTGTTGTATCAGAAATATTTAAGAAACTATAGCGTCTTTCACGATTAATTTTTTTTTCTCGGGGACCTATACATTGAAAGAAATTTTTAAATGCTTGACTTACAAGACTATCCCCTGACAAGTTTTCTAAAAGAATAATTTAACTGAAAATCCTATTTTCACTTAAACAAACAATATCAGATAAAGCAGACACTGGTCAAATTCATAAAACTTTCGACAATGAGGCACTTTTTTGGAAAAGTTTCACCATAATTTTTCGGAGATGTCACATTTGAAAGCTAATACGAGATGATTACCCAAGTTTCAAGTTTTTTGTTTGTTCATGTAGGTCCTTAAAGTTGAGCAAAGGTTCGTTTTTTGAAATGCTTTATTCAAACTCAATTTGCGCAGAAACTACTTAATTAAATGAACAAGTGTTAGATTTAAATCCCAAAAAACAAGAGCATAAAAATATTTGAAAAAGGAGAAAAGCTTTTTCTAGAATTACTGAAAATGGTGATACAAAGAATGAATATCAATAAAAGGAACAATTTGCCGAAGAATATGCATATTGTAAATCAAATAAAAAGTGTCTTCCAAAAAGATTTTTAAAGAAGAATTATTTCCCTTTTCATCTTTTTTAAGCTTCCAACCATAGCACAATCTTTATCTTCAATCTATTTGTCTTATCTTTAAAGACATTTAAGTTGAATTTGACTAACAAACTAGTGTATCGGGTAGAAACCCAATGCGGATATATTCACACCGTACCATCAAAAGTCTTATGGATAGACCAAGATTTGCTCAGCATAAATTTGAAGGGTGGGCGTGAAGTATGGCCGAGACCCATATCGACACAGTTCAAAAGTTAAACCTAATTTTTGTCATAATTATGTCAGCTACAAAAACACTTAGTTTGAATTTCGTCACCCTTGGGAACACTATGAACCAGTATAGCTCACACTTATTTAAACCACATTTTCTCGTTAATGTTAAAATATTATTAAAAAGTAATTAATCCTGAATTATGTCGCTATTTTGTCAAGTGTTTTAAGATAAAGAATTTGTTTTTTGGTTTCCACAGTGAAGAGTATGAACAAAAATCAGATGGGGTAGTAGAAATTTTAAATTTCGGTTTTTTTTAAGCTATGCATTACAAAAAGTAATATTGGTATGTGATTTATGTCAGAAATATGTCAATTCAAATAAAACATACAAAAAATTTTTTGACCCAAGTACACCATAGAAAATCAATATTCAATTTTGGAGTAGGGGCGACCCTAGTCAAAATCAATTTTGTCACTTTTTTCTTCGAGGGTTTATCCACATGGATTGAAACTTTGCATAAATATTTTAGTGCTTAAAACAAATGCAAATAAAACATCCAAAAATTTTTTTGAGCAAAGAACCAAGTAGGAAATACATTTTCAATTTTGAACTAGGGGCGACACTAGTCAAAATCAATTTTGTCACTTTTTTCTTCGAGGGTTTATCCAAATGCATTGAAACTTTGCATAAATATTCAAGTGCTTTAAATAAATGCAAATAAAACATCCTAAAATTTTTTTGAGCAAAGAACCAAGTAGGAAATACATTTTCAATTTTGGACTAGGGGCGACACTAGTCAAAATCAATTTTGTAACTTTTTTCTTCGAGGACTTATCCAAATGAATTAAAACTTTGCATAAATATTTTTGTGCTTAAAACAAATACAAAAAAAACATCCTAAAATTTTTTTGAGCAAAGAACCAAGTAGGAAATACATTTTCAATTTTGGACTAGGGGCGACCCTAGTCAAAATCAATTTTCTCATTTTTTCTTCGAGGGTTTATCCAAATGGATTGAAACTTTGCATAAATATTTTAATGCTTAAAACAAATACAAATAAAACATCCTAAAATTTTGTGAGCAAAGAACCAAGTAGGAAATACATTTTTAATTTTGGACTAGGGGCGACCCCAGTCAAAATCAATTTTGTCACTTTTTTCTTCGAGGGTTTATCCAAATGGATTGAAACTTTGCATAAATATTTTAATGCTTAAAACAAATACAAATAAAATATCCTAAAATTTTTTTGAGCAAAGAAACAAGTAGGAAATACATTTTCAATTTTGGACTAGGGGCGACCCTAGTCAAAATCAATTTTCTCACTTTTTTCTTCGAGGGTTTATCCAAATGGATTGAAACTTTGCATAAATATTTAAGTGCTTAAAACAAATGCAAATAAAACATCCTAAAATTTTTTTTGAGCAAAGAACCAAGAAAGAAATACATTTTCAATTTTGGAGAAAATCAATTTTCTCACTTTTTTCTTCGAGGGTTTATCCAAATGGATTGAAACTTTGCATAAATATTCTAGTGCTTAAAACAAATGCAAATAAAACATCCAAAATTTTTTTGAGCAAAGAACCAAGGAGAAATACATTTTCAATTTTGGACTAGGGGCGACACTAGCCAAAATCAATTTTGTTAATTTTTTCTTCTAGCGTTTATCCAAATGGATTGAAACTTTGCATAAATATTCAAATGCTTAAAACAAATGTAAATAAAACAATCTAAAATTGTTTTTGAGCAAAAAACCAAGTAGGAAATACATTTTCAATTTTGGACTAGGGGCGACTCTAGTCAAAATCAAATTTGTCACTGTTTTCTTCGAGGGTTTATCTTTGCATAAATATTCTAGTGCTTAAAACAAATGCAAATAAAACATCCTAAATTTTTTTGAGCAAAGAACCAAGAAAGAAATACATTTTCAATTTTGGACTAGGGGCGACCCTAGCCAAAATCAATTTTGTTACTTTTTTCTCCTAGCGTTTATCCAAATGGATTGAAACTTTGCATTAATATTCTAGTGCTTAAAACAAATGCAAATAAAACATCGTAAATTTTTTTGAGCAAAGAACCAAGAAAGAAATACATTTTCAATTTTGGACTAGGGGCGACCCTAGTCAAAATCAATTTTGTCACTTTTTTCTTCGAGGGTTTATCCAAATGAATTAAAACTTTGCATAAATATTCTAGTGCTCAAAACAAATGCAAATAAAACATCCTAAATTTTTTTGAGCAAAGAACCAAGAAAGAAATACATTTTCAATTTTGGACTAGGGGCGACCCTAGTCAAAATCAATTTTCTCACTTTTTTCTTCGAGGGTTTATCCAAATGGATTGAAACTTTGCATAAATATTCTAGTGCTTAAAACAAATACAAATAAAACATCCTAAAATTTTTTGAGCAAAGAACCAAGGAGAAATACATTTTCAATTTTGGACTAGGGGCGAACCTAGTCAAAATCAAATTTGTCACTTTTTTCTTCGAGGGTTTATCCAAATGGATTAAAAATTTTGCATAAATATTTAAGTGCTTAAAACGAATGCAAATAAAACATCCTAAATTTTTATTGAGCAAAGAACCAAGGAGAAATACATTTTCAATTTTGGACTAGGGGCGACCCTAGTCAAAATCAATTTTCTCACTTTTTTCTTCGAGGGTTTATCCAAATGGATTGAAACTTTGCATAAATATTCTAGTGCTTAAAACAAATATAAATAAAACATCCTAAAATTTTTTGAGCAAAGAACCAAGGAGAAATACATTTTCAATTTTGGACTAGGGGCGAACCTAGTCAAAATCAATTTTCTCACTTTTTTCTTCGAGGGTTTATCCAAATGGATTAAAAATTTTGCATAAATATTTAAGTGCTTAAAACAAATGCAAATAAAACATCCCAAATTTTTTTTGAGCAAAGAACCAAGAAAGAAATACATTTTCAATTTTGGACTAGGGGCGACCCTAGTCAAAATCAATTTTCTCACTGTTTTCTTCGAGGGTTTATCCAAATGGATTGAAACTTTGCATAAATATTCAAGTGCTTAAAACAAATGCAAATAAAACATCCAAAAATTTTTTTAGCAAAGAACCAAGGAGAAATACATTTTCAATTTTGGACTACGGGCGACCCTAGCCAAAATCAATTTTGTTACTTTTTTCTTCTAGCGTTTATCCAAATGGATTGAAACTTTGCATAAATATTCTAGTGCTTAAAACAAATGCAAATAAAACATCCTAAACTTTTTTGAGCAAAGAACCAAGAAAGAAATACATTTTCAATTTTGGACTAGGGGCGACCCTAGTCAAAATCAAATTTGTCACTGTTTTCTTCGAGGGTTTATCCAAATGGATTAAAACTTTGCATAAATATTCTAGTGCTTAAAACAAATGCAAATAAAACATCCAAAAATTTTTGGAGCAAAGAACCAAGGAGAAATACATTTTCAATTTTGGACTAGGGGCGAACCTAGTCAAAATCAATTTTCTCACTTTTTTCTTCGAGGGTTTATCCAAATGGATTGAAACTTTGCATAAATATTTTATTGCTTAAAACAAATACAAATAAAACATCCTAAAATTTTTTGAGCAAAGAACCAAGGAGAAATACATTTTCAATTTTGGACTAGGGGCGACCCTAGTCAAAATCAATTTTCTCACTGTTTTCTTCGAGGGTTTATCCAAATGGATTGAAACTTTGCATAAATATTCTAGTGCTTAAAACAAATACAAATAAAACATTCTAAAATTTTTTGAGCAAAGAACCAAGGAGAAATACATTTTCAATTTTGGACTAGGGGCGAACCTAGTCAAAATCAAATTTGTCACTGTTTTCTTCGAGGGTTTATCCAAATGGATTGAAACTTTGCATAAATATTTTAGTGCTTAAAAAAAAATGCAAATAAAACATCCTAAAATTTTTTGAGCAAAGAACCAAGGAGAAATACATTTTCAATTTTGGACTAGGGGCGAACCTAGTCAAAATCAATTTTCTCACTTTTTTCTTCGAGGGTTTATCCAAATGGATTGAAACTTTGCACAAATATTTTAGTGCTTAAAAAAAATGCAAATAAAACATCCTTAATTTTTTTTGAGCAAAGAACCAAGAAAGGAATACATTTTCAATTTTGGACTAGGGGCGACCCTAGTCAAAATCAATTTTCTCACTGTTTTCTTCGAGGGTTTATCCAAATGGATTGAAACTTTGCATAAATATTTTATTGCTTAAAAAAAATACAAATAAAACATTCTAAAATTTTTTGAGCAAAGAATCAAGGAGATATACATTTTCAATTTTGGACTAGGGGCGAACCTAGTCAAAATCAAATTTGTCACTTTTTTCTTCGAGGGTTTATCCAAATGGATTAAAACTTTGCGTAAATATTTTAGTGCTTAAAACAAATACAAATAAAACATCCTAAAATTTTTTGAGCAAAGAACCAAGGAGAAATACATTTTCAATTTTGGACTAGGGGCGACCCTAGTCAAAATCAATTTTCTCACTTTTTTCTTCGAGGGTTTATCCAAATGGATTAAAAATTTTGCATAAATATTTTAGTGCTTAAAGCGAATGCAAATAAAACATCCTAAATTTTTATTGAGCAAAGAACCAAGGAGAAATACATTTTCAATTTTGGACTAGGGACGACCCTAGTCAAAATCAATTTTCTCACTTTTTTCTTCGAGGGTTTATCCAAATGGATTGAAACTTTGCATAAATATTCTAGTGCTTAAAACAAATACAAATAAAACATCCTAAATATTTTTTGAGCAAAGAACCAAGGAGAAATACATTTTCAATTTTGGACTAGGGGCGACCCTAGTCAAAATCAATTTTCTCACTTTTTTTTTCGAGGGTTTATCCAAATGGATTAAAAATTTTGCATAAATATTTTAGTGCTTAAAACGAATGCAAATAAAACATCCCAAATTTTTTTTGAGCAAAGAACCAAGAAAGAAATACATTTTCAATTTTGGACTAGGGGCGACCCTAGTCAAAATCAATTTTCTCACTGTTTTCTTTGAGGGTTTATCCAAATGGATTGAAACTTTGCATAAACATTCTAAAATTTTTTGAGCAAAGAATCAAGGAGAAATACATTTTCAATTTTGGACTAGGGGCGAACCTAGTCAAAATCAAATTTGTCACTGTTTTCTTCGAGGGTTTATCCAAATGGATTGAAACTTTGCATAAATATTTTAGTGCTTAAAAAAAATGCAAATAAAACATCCTAAAATTTTTTGAGCAAAGAACCAAGGAGAAATACATTTTCAATTTTGGACTAGGGGCGAACCTAGTCAAAATCAATTTTCTCACTTTTTTCTTCGAGGGTTTATCCAAATGGATTGAAACTTTGCACAAATATTTTAGTGCTTAAAAAAAATGCAAATAAAACATCCTTAATTTTTTTTGAGCAAAGAACCAAGAAAGGAATACATTTTCAATTTTGGACTAGGGGCGACCCTAGTCAAAATCAATTTTCTCACTGTTTTCTTCGAGGGTTTATCCAAATGGATTGAAACTTTGCAAAAATATTTTATTGCTTAAAAAAAATACAAATAAAACATTCTAAAATTTTTTGAGCAAAGAATCAAGGAGAAATACATTTTCAATTTTGGACTAGGGGCGACCCTAGTCAAAATCAATTTTCTCACTTTTTTCTTCGAGGGTTTATCCAAATGGATTGAAACTTTGCATAAATATTTTAGTGCTTAAAACAAATACAAATAAAACATCCTTAAAATTTTTTGAGCAAAAAACCAAGTAGGAAATACATTTTCAATTTTGGACTAGGGACAGGTCTAGTCAAAATCTAATTTTTCACTTTTTTTCTTCGAAGGTTTATCCAATTACAGTGAAACTTTGTGTGAGTATACTAATATTTATACAAAACAGTTTTAAATATCTAAAGCAAGAAATGTATTCTATATGTCGTCAGACCCAAATTTTATAAATTTGGTTGTACATTCAAAAACAACGTGACTTAAAATTTTGTCCCAAAAAATGATTTTTATTAATTCAGAAATGTGTGACCTGAGGATTAGAATGCTCATACAAAGTTTTACTGTATTTAAATTTATCCTCGAAGAAAAAAATAGTGAAAAACTAGATTTTGACTGGACCTGTCCCAAGTTCATATTTGAAAATGTATTTCCTACTTGGTTCTTTGCTCAAAAAATTTTTTTTTTCATCCAAAGTTTAATTTAAATAAAATCACAGTGAACTTTTAATTTGAAAAATTCGTAAGAAAGGAAAGTTTTTTGCTTTTATTGAAGCAACGGCTGTTCCTACCTTGCCGAAAAACAATACAGCTCTTCTATAGAGCAGCACGGATCAAATGTAAAAAACTAGAAGTCTCTACAATGTCTCGTTATTGAGATTTCTTGCTGATTAACTTGCTTGCTTGCTTGCTTGTTTGCTTACAGAAAGCGTATTTTGCGATTTTCTCAGCAATGCCATAGCCAAATTGAAATCTGTTTTTTGAAAATGATGTAAAATTTCAGGCACAAACTTTTTATGTCTGAACATTTTAAGCTATCTTGCTCCATATCCTCACAAAATTCAAAAAACTGATTTTTCAATCTGAACAAAACCAATAGATTCACACGTGAAAACGGTGTGAATATAAAAACTGGGGAACTGTACGATTTAGTGTCAAAAAATAGGGTGAAATCACTGTATAAAAGTTCGTGAATGCCGCAAACTATGTAGAATAACCGTCTACTAATTGGTTAAACAGTGTTAAATTGGCTTTGTTGTTTCTTAAAAGTAAAATTATCATTCGATAACGCTTTAGTTCAAGTGAAAATTTGGGTTGTCAAGTACAAATCCAAAGTCCAATAAAACTCATTTGAGCAATATTGAAGACAACATTTAAAATAAATGAAAAGCTTCAAAAATTTATTTCAAATTAAAAGAAACTTTTGTTAAGTCTTTTTCGATTAAATGATTCGGTTCATTATTTATGCTCATTTTTTGATTATTATTTTACCATCCCGAATTTCTGTAAATGGCCTAAGCTTAAAAACAATTTAACATCTCTCTTTTTTTCGTCTTAATTAGTCTTTATTAAATGATCTAAGATTTAACATGATCGTAAAGTTTTTTTGGGCTTTACATGACTATGGATGATTACCAATCTTTATCGTCATGTTCTTCATGGTGAGAATGTGACTCATGATGTTTATGCTCTTCTGTATGAATTGGTTGATGATGAACTGGGACAGTTACAACATGAGGTTTAATGACAACGGGATAAGGCACTTTAACTGAAGAAATATGGAAATAAATTAAGAATAAATTTGAATACTTCGTAATCTTTTTGAGGTTACCTGGAACATGAACTGGATAAGGCACTTTTACTTCTTTAACTACAGGTACTTCTACCTTTTTGTAAACTGGATATTTTTCAGTATGATGATGGTGAACTGTATGTATTTTATAAGGAACTTCAATTTTTACTGTTTGATGATGACTAAATAAAAAAAAATTAGTATAATAGTACAATATTCGAAAAAGATAAGAACTGTTCGCTTATAACGTTACAAGAGGGTCAGTAGGTTTAAAAAAATATAATTTCTATAGAAATGTGTTCTTTCTTTAAAAAAAATTTGGTTATTGCGTTACGTAATAACTGAACAGCCTCTTAGTATAATTCTTACGTTCCACCTCCTCCACATGAAACTAGTTCTGTATTTAATGCTATCATTATCGTAAATGAAACCATGAGAATAATCTACGAACATATTGAAAATATTAAATTATTTAATCAAACTTGTTTTTTTTTATTGATTTTCTTACATTAATAGTTATTGCCATTGTTATTTGGAAAAAATGTCTAAAGCAGTCTAAAGTACAATTATTGTATACACTTTGAAGTTATGCTAAACTCTGATTGACTTGGAAAAAACATTTTGCTTTTATACTGAGAAACTTTAATATTGCTGGGATTTGTATGGTCCATTCCACTTCCAAAAAAGTATGCCTCTATCTTTCCTTTGAATTATGCTCTCAAATGCATTAGTTACGGAAAAATAACTTTTTCGAAATAATTTTTTTTTGCGTTTTATTACGTTTTTTTTTTGTTTAAGTTCAACAACCTTTTCTACCACCGTAATTAATTATTGTCCAAACCAAATGTTCAAGATATTTTTTTTTGAGAAATTTGAATGATTTAATATAGGAAGTAATATTTTGCAATAGAAAATAAATAGATAACCTAAACATTTTACATCAACGACATCAGCTTATTTCCTGTTAAATGTAATTTCGTTATCATTATTGGCTATTATTGTTTATTTTATTGTTACAGATTCAAGTGTCTAAATGCTTAAACTTAAATTTGTGCCTCATAAAACACTTCTAAAATATAAATATTAATACTTCGTTATTTATCTCTTTTTAATTTAAAGAAGCGAGCTATCAGCATCCACAGAAAAAAGTAAATTTAAAGAAACACAAGAAAACGAAAGAATGTCTTTTGCCATCATATATTACTTCAGTAAATAAGAAAATTACCCAAAGATCCACATGTAACAATAGCGAAAGTGCGTTAATGATTGGTAATAATAATAATAAAGCACTTGCAGCTAATAATATTCAACAGCTGGTAATGCAATCTAAAAGTCAGCAAACTCAATTTTTACAACAACAAATCGATCCTCAAAACATGTCAAATTTGGTTAATGTAAGAATAGTTCAAGAAGAAAATGACCAATCTGGAAATTCAAAACTACCACCTTGGCGGAAAAATGTCATGCAAACTCAATTCGGAAATAACGGTAAACTTACGCCAACATCAATTATTTCATCGTCAACAGTGCATGGTGGCATTCCAATTTTTCAATTTAATGGTCAAATGATTGCAATTGATCAGCAGGGTCAACAATTTAGTAATCAACCGCAAAAAATTCAAATTTTTGAGCAGAAATCTGCTGATGGTGAAAAGATGATTATTAGAAGAAGACCACCAACATTTAAAGAAGATCCAACTGCATATTTAAACCAGCAAACAGCATTATTACACAACACTATAACAACATTACACAGTCCTGATGTAACGACTTCAATGGTCTCGCCGACAATTCAAGAAAATTCTACAGATTTTCAGCAACGTACGCAACGTCAAATAGTACAACAAATTATTAAGACACCAAATATATCAAGTGCTCAAACATTGACACAAAATATGAGCTTGTCAAATGCAATAGTTCAGATACAAAACTGTGATATGAAACAACAACAGCAACAAAATAAAGTATCAACTTTGCATGTCCAAATGCAAAAAGATCAACAAAATTTCAAAACAAATCCAAAAGGACGACCTCCAAAACATTCAAGGCGCATCGTTTCGGTTCCACAAGAGTCTCCTGTATCGTCTAGCACTACAAATAGCATAGTTAAAATAGCAAAGTCAAGCACACCTGATATTACATCATCGTCAGCAGAAGCAATTACTGAGACTGTTGTTCAATCGACAAATAATTATGATGGATCAGAAGTTTTAAAATACGCTCGAAGTTCTTCGACACATGAGCTCATTAGAACAACTCAGGCAGGAAAACCTGCTTGCAACACAACTCAATCTTCTAGCTCCTCTATCCGAAAGCCGGCTACAACAATTACATCGATTCAAAAAAAACCACAAACAGTTGTGACACAAATGAAGACAAATTTTAATAGCATCAACAATAATAACATTAATAGTAATAATAATAGCATGATCAATCAACTGACCAGTAATTCAAATCAGCAAGTTTTGATAACATCAAATGGTCAACAATTTATTGTTATGCCATCCTCTAATCTTCAAACACAGCAACAAAATATTGTTTTAAACAATAATTCAATTGTTCAGTTTCAAAATTCAAATCCTAATCATCAACGTTTGATACAAACAACAGGACAAGGACAAAACGGAAATATCATTTTTCAAACTAATAACGGAAACTTATTAGCAACATCTCAAACAAATCCTAATAACTTCATTGTGAATGGGCAGCCATTAATTTTTCAAAATAGTCAAATTATTCAAAGTAATTCTAATATGATGTCATCTCCAAAAAATAATATTTTATTAACTGGAGGTGGAGGAGCAACATCTTCCCCAAAAACTTTATTCGGTGGAAATAGTCATTTGGCTTTAGGACAACAAGCTGTACTCGTGCAAAATAGTTTAGTTCCACAATCAACATTGGTAAATGATACTACATATTTACAAAATATTGCACAGCAGCAAAAATTAATATTAAATCCCGATAAGAAAAAAGGGCGAAAGAGAAAAAATCCTTTGTCAGATCCTTCGGCACAACAACAGCCAACTCAACAACCAAATTTAATACAAATTCCAACAACAGCAACTTCACAAAGTTTTCATATTTCTTCACCAAATATATTTGTACAAAATAAGTTTTCCCAGCCATCAACAGCAACAACTGGTCAACAAATTATACTTCAGAATGGGCAAACAATCATTCAGCAGCCTATGAGCTTTATTGGAAGTCAACAAATAATTCCTTCCCAACTAATGGCTCTATCATCAGATGGAAACTCTTTTGTACAAATACAAAACCCTTCATACAATAATATAATCGCGGCACCACAAAACATGATTAGAACTGCTCCTCAACATCAACAATTACAGCCAGTTCAAAAAACCATTATTTCAAACAATGGACAGCAGTATATTGTTCAAAGTGGAGGGCAGGTTAATTTGATGAATCAATTACCATTTAACTCAATGGGATTTGTAGTACAATCAGCAGCTCATCATCAAAATCAGCAACAACAGCAAATCATAAATCCAATTGTAATACAATCTCAGGGTCAGCAAGTAATGACACAACCTCAGATTCTTACACATCCCCAAGGACATATTACAACTCAGTTACCCTCTCAGCAATCACAATTTCTAAATCAAAACGACTATAATAGTAAAATTCAACGGAAAATAATGTTGCAGCATAAGACTCAACAACAGAACTCATTCTTTCCACAAATCATAAATAAAGCTTCACGAACAACAGGAATGGCACTACAATATGCTTCTGCATCAAAAAATGCAAACCCATTGCTCGTTCAAAACGTCATTGAAGAGCATGATGATGATTTAGAAGAAAATCATGAATTAGTTGAACAAGATGAAGAACTAGAATGTGAAGAAGAAACAGATGATCAGATGTCATTTGAAGAAAAGCCTGACATGATTGAGGAATTACATCATGGTACATCTCAACAAATATTTCATAGTAGTTCAATGATAGATGGTCAATGCGGAATAATGAATATTGATGATATAACAATTGAAATGGATGAGATAAATGATCTCAATGAATATTTAAATGCCATTGATGAAGAAGATAATAAAATTTCACAAATGGGATTATCATCATTACAGCATTTCGCTAATTCTCCACCAGATACAACAACACATAGTCCACGTAGTCCTGCTGACATAATAACAAATATTCATCATGTTCTTGTTAGTGAAAGTGATAAAAGTAATGGATCAAGTGAGAACAATAATATGGTTTCAAGTTCAGAACTAGATTTAAATGTGGTATCGCCCGAGTGTCATCAAATTAACGATTCGTCATTGTCTCATCATCATCATCATTTTCATCCAAGTACGAAAGTTTATTACATATATTTTGTTTTCAAAATCACCTAATTTTGCTTATTTTCATTCGAAGGCACATCACAGCCAGTTTTTAAATTGCCTTTAGAGCCTAGATCAACAAATATCAGATCCCCACCTTTATATAGTATGGCAAATACAACATATTTTTTTGATAATAACAGTCAGAGTCCATTACGTCCTGATTCCCACGGTAAGTAGGATATTTCTATAAAAAGAAAAATGAGATAAAAAAACTATTAATTAGTCATTTGGAACTTTTGCTGATTTGAATAAACATAAATAGTTTTACTCATTAAGAGACGAAATATTGAGGAAAAAATCAACACCTTTCAATAAAAGATATTGTCGCACTTTTTAGAGATCCATTTGTAAAATTTTAAAACTTTATGATGCAGTTGATTTGAAAATACGTATATTATAAGTGTCCTTAGACATATGTTGTAATATATATAATCAATACTAAATCTCTTATGAACTGTTGATTTGCTAACTTGAATTTAAAGTTTTTACAAACACATTTTTTTATATAAAATTTTAGGTTTTATTATTTGCTTTGCATGCTTTATAAACACTTAATTTGACAAAAAAATACTAATTTTTAACATTCATTTTTTTTTTCATAAATTTTTGGTGGTTTTCGGTTATTTCTTTAACTATCCCATTTTTTTTCTGAATCTAAATTAAATTAAAAGGTTTGAAATTAGAACAAAATAGGAATATGGCTAATATACTGACTTTTTATAAAAAATACAATTAATAATTAAGTTTTTATAAATATAAACAGTTTAATTTTTGTCTTTCTATCTATCAATCTGCTCTAACCACACCCCTATCCATACAAAGTTTTTAAAATGGCGGAATCAAAAATGGCGATTTATTTGTACCAGTGTTGCAAATGTAGATGTCTACACTAGATGAAGAATGTAGATTCTTCAATAGTTTCGTCTAGCTAAGAAACTTTCTTCATAACGATCGATTCTACACGAAGATAGAAAATCTAATCTACAGAAAGATTATTTCTACATAAAGATTCTGTCTACATAAAGATTCGATTTAGATGTCTACAATTCTACATTTTTTCTAGGTCTACATAAGAGAAGAATGTAGAATTGTAGACATCTACATCGAATCTTTATGTAGACAGAATCTTTATGTAGAAATAATCTTTGTGTAGATTAGATTTTCTATCTCAGAATTTATCTGATCCAGACAAATCGCCAGAATGCAACACTGATTTGTACTTTATCCAACCATTATCCAAGCAAAAAAGGCACTGTGAACATAGATCTGTTGTACCATCCCTTTAGATTCAGATATAGAATTCCAATGTCCTTAATAAATCCCACCAAGTCCAAATAGCGCTTCTTCCTTATGCTGCCGATATTGACAACATCTTCCTTGAAGTGTTTATGGCGAAAAGAACATAATGACTTACAGTCACATAGAATGTATACAGTCACATAGAATTAAGATGCTAAGATCCCTTCTTGTCAGTTTCAAGGCATCATTTAAGCTGTTCTTGTTAGCAGGGCCTAACAGATTTTTAGCTGTTATACGAAAGTGTTTCCTGTTAAGCCACTCACGAATCTCACATTTCACGATGTCAAAACCATAAAAAATAGTCTAATCGTGATCTGCTTTAGAACCCGCTTCTTTAGCAAGTTGATCCGCTGTTTCATTTCCTACGTTTCCATTAGGTCCTTGAACCTAATGAAGTGTAACCTCATTGTCCAATCCTAAAGCTGAAAGACTAGAAAATCAGGGATCAATATGAATGAAAAAAATCTGTGATGAAAGAAATCCTACGTAAAAATGATTCTTACGTGATGAAATTTTACGTAATAATTTACGTAGATGAAAAAAATCATAATTTTTTTCATCATCAAAAATAATGATGTTTTTCATCACAGATTTTTTTCATTCATTTTGGTACCTGCTAGAAATACAATCATAAACAGTTTTAGACTTTATGTTACAGTTGGCAAGTGCTGCTAACGCAGATTTGCTGTCAGAAAAGAAGCAAATCTTACAGTCCTTTAATTTGATATTGGTAATATGCTTTGCACCTACACATATAGCCTGAACTTCAGCTTGGAAAACACTTGCATGTTCCTGTAAACCAGAGAATAATGAAATTTCCAAATCCTTACTGAAAACACCAATCCCGACTACATTTTCTGATTTGGATGCATCAGTGTATACACAAATAACATTTGCTTTATTTTAAAAACTTATTTGCGGAAATACTTGAACTACTTTAATTTTTTTTTAAAGTTCAAAAGATTGCATTTATTAATTAAATCATTTTTAATATACATAATTTAAAAGATGTTTCATTCATTTGGTATTAAATTTAAAGCTTCTATCAATTTTCTTAAATTACATCCTTTTCTTATCTTGCACAAGAACTAGAAAAATTTGATAGGCATTGTTTATTTGTTTTTTTTTTAACTCTTGTAACCATTAACTAATGCCACCTTAAAATAATTAATTTTGTTACTATTGACATAGTAAAAGTAATTTATGAAATAAACTGAGAAAAATCAAAATTACAGAATCATCAACGTCTGAGCATCAGCGTCAAGCGAACAGCCACAATCAAAACAAAAACTCTAATCGTAAATCTTATCTTCCTTCATTGACTAAGGCTTTAAATGATCAAAACTGTATTATTTATGAAAAAAGTGATTTTGATTTGTTAAAAGAATCTCCAATCCTTAATAATATAAAGCTTATTGTTGGGGAGGACAAAATGATAAATTCTGATGATCCACCTTGCTCTATATCAGCAGTTTTATCAAATGAATCGATAAAAAGTAGCATTGAAGAAATAACTCTAAGCATTAAAGATGGTGTAAATGAGTCTGAAAATGAACTTTTAAAAAAAAATAATGAAAATGACAATATTGTCGAAGATGTAGTAAAATCAAAGTTTAAGGTTGGTGATTTGATATGGGGCGTTGTACGTGGATGTGATGCTTGGCCTGGAAAAATTGTAAATGGACCTGATAACGAGCCAATATCTAGTAACTGTGTCTGGGTGAAATGGTTTATTGCAAATGGTCGTCAAAGTACTGAAATGGTACAATGCAGTACATTAAAAAGTTTATCTGATGGTCTTGAAGCACATCATATGGCACGAAAGGAAACAAGAAAGTGAGAACACTAACCATTAGTTCCATTTTAATGAAAATCCTTAAATAAAATATTTTGTCCTTTTCCTTACTTTAATATATAATTATTTCGATTTTTCAAAACTCAATCATTTTTTTGATTTTTGCGTTTGAAAATGTTTATTATTAGAGTTTGATCAAAATTTCTGAATCAATAATACGATTAAAAGATTATATAATTAAATTGATGAAAAATGCATGAGGAAAATTACTTCAATTGTTACAGCTTACGTGATATCCTTTTATTCTCTGTGGTAATTAATTAGTTGTGAAGTAGTTTAAATTGCTGCCATTTTAAAACGCATGATATATATTTTAAAAGAACTTTTCAAAGGCTTAAAGTCGACGCGAACATTGAATGAAGTTGAATCGAGCCGACTTCGAGCACTTTATTAAAAATTATTTTTAATATATCGAATATATCTATGAAATCATTCTTATTCAAACTTTTGTACTTTTTTTCTTTCTTTTTATCATAATAAAGGAGCAGAAAACTAAACTTACATTTAGAACGAGCAATACAAAAAGCTATGATAGAACTAGACAAACAGTCATCAGAAGAAAATTCAACTAAGATCGATAATAATAAATTCCAAAGTGAAAAAGTATGCAAATCAAATATAAAGATGAGTAAATCAAACTTGGTAAAAATTGCTCCAGCGATTTCAAAACGAATATAAAAGTATTAAATCTTATCTGTTTAAACACAAATAGGAAAATATAATAAAAATAAAAAATGATGATAAAAAAAATCGAGTAGTAAATTATTAAAGCTTTAAATTAAAGTTTATAAAAAAAATAATCTAGACAGTGGCAGATACATTTTGATAATGCTTCGGTGTTTTTAGATCTATTTGTAAAATTTATCGATATTTACGGTATTTATATAATAAGGTATAATTTCAGCATTCATAATCTCAAGTAAAAAAATCTCAATCGGCGAATTTTAAAAGTTGTTATTTACTATAAATTCAGCCAAGTATCGTTGTTTAATATGCATTTAAAATTGAATTTTGTAATTTTTAAACTAAAGTGTAAACACGGAAGTATTATGAAAAGTCCATAGTTTCAAACTTTAAAATATGAAGAATTACAAAATATTTTATAAAAGTTCTTTTTATAATTGACAATAAAACTAGAATAAAATAATAGAAAATAATTAAAAACATTCACGATTATGCAGAATTTACATCATACAATAAAATTATAAATTTTATATTGTTCATCTTACATAAATTGAATAAAGTCTTCTTGATATATGCGAAAGCCTTGGAAATTTGGGATTTTTGTTTGACACCCAAAGTGTTTTTCTGAAATACTCTACCGATTTTCTGAAAGAAATTCAGCAAAACAAAAACATTTTTTTTGTTTTTTTTTGTTTTTTAATGCTACTTTAGGAAAATGTTTCAAATATTTTTTTTGAAATATAAATACAAATATGTATGATTAAATTCATGGATAATAATGTATATCAGAGTAGAGTGTTCTGGATTGTATTCAGTTGACTTTCTGAACATTTAAACCAACCCAGAGTAACATATAAAAACAAAAAAAAATTAATATTTATACATTAAATTTACGTTTAAAACCCTTTTAATTGAAATTAAATACTATTGTACCTGCATTTAATAAGGAAAAAAACATAAACAATAAAAACCATTGTATGAGTTTAGTTTTTTGAAATAGAAATCGATTATTGACGATTATTTAAAAAAAAAACACTTTCAAGTTGAATAAAAAGGTTGAAAAACGAAAAAAAAATATTGCGTAATTGTGTTTTAAAAGTAAAGTCAAAATAAAATAATTGGTTTTTATTGAAAATGTGTAAAACAAAAACTTTGTAACTGTCATAAAGAAATAAACAATTAAAAATGTCCAGATTTAATTAACAACTAATTGATTTTGTCTATCCAATCAATGTAGAAAGCAATATTTGTAAAAATTACATCTGTGTTGGCATTTAAATGATGGGGAATGTATGAAGTGATTCCAATTAATTTCCAACGACTTCTTTCATCGATTGCATAAAGTCCACATCCTAAATCTGTATACTCGATTGTTGTACTATTTGCAGTGAACGTTTGACATGAATATAAAATTTCTTCACAGCTATTATCAATTTTGAGATAAAAATTATTCTCAGTCAAAATATTTGATCTACCAAACCCAACCAACTACGAAAAAAATTAGTTTATACTTTTTTAATAAAGAAATTAGAGAATATAAAAACATAATACCTTCATCTCATTATCGACCTTCAATTTTATATTTGATTCTGGCAAGCAAACAGGTTGAGTAACTCCATCAAATTCAATTGTTCTTTCAACTTTAATAGCAGCAATGTTATTATCCAAATTAAAGTTGTAATTTTCGTGCAAATAAATTTTCTCTACCTAACGTAAAATAAAAAGTATTGATTAATTTTTTAACTTTTTTTAAATTATAAAGCTTTACATTATAAATTTTTGAATTTTCATTGGTTTTCCTAAATAACAAGGAATATTGTGCTGCATAAATCATCAATTTTTTTTCGCTAAGAAGTTTGGAGTTATGATCTAGAAGACAATTTACTGATGTTATTATTAGTTTACTGCTCACTATAGTCCCAGCACATTTGTAGTAGTGTTGATTAAGATTTAAAATTTGATAAATGCTCACTGCGAAAGGAAATTCGCCAGGATTATAAGGAATCTGAAATTGCTTGAAATCTAATAATTTTAATGATTTTCCACATTTATCATCGTGATTTTCATCAATATTAAAAGTCGTTGTATATGGAACTGTTTCAGTTGTGTAATCAAGTTCTTTTTGAATTTCCATTGAATTTGCAATGTCTGTAGTAACTGCTGAAGGGTTAAGTGTCGTGAATTTCATATGAGTTGAAGTCTGTATTATAGCTGTGGATTGTTCGATATTAATTTTTGGAACTGTTGTACTTATTTTATTAGTTGATAGACTCGATAAACTGGTTGTAATTTTTAGATTGTTTATTAAAGTTGTTTGCTGTTCATCATCTATTGATGTGCGTTCTTCTGGCCATAAATGACGGTTTTTACCCTTCCCATAAGTGCAGTTTTGAGGTTCATTGTTGATTGTAACTTGATAAATTTTAAATGATGTATTATTGCTGTAAATAGCAAATCTTCCTTTATATTCTTCAGTTACACGCACATCATATAATTTAAAACTTGGAAACTCATAATCAATAACATTTGCTCCACTCTAAAACAATAAATGCGTTGAGGTAAATTTATAATTTATCATATACACACCAAAAATCAATTTCGGTGAATATATTGTTTTTGATAATGTAGGAAAAGAGGTCGTTCCCTTTGACGTCCGAGATTTAGAAGAAGTGAGAACGGATATAAAAACTATGTATTTTAACTGACGCCATAAGTGAATGGCACTTCACCACTTTTTTGATTTTCTGTTTCAAGCTTACGGAATCAACCCCAATAATGATCAAACTTGAAGCAGTTAAGTGCCTTGCTGGTCGAATAGGTAAGGCGCTTGGCTCAAATTTGGGATAGTAACTCGAAGGTCATCGGTTCGAATCCAGCCATTTCCAAATTTGTTCTTTTTCGGAAGTTTAGATACTTCGACTGCTTAATGTACGAGATCAAGCCATAATTGGGCATTTGGGCAACGTTGGATTAAGGAACGGGTCAGGAACTTGAAGTTTAGCGTGAGAAATAGGAACGAGAGCTACAAGATTACCCACGAATGGAATATTGATAGAACGGACCTGAAAAGTATCACGTAACGCCTACAGAAGATCTAAACGAGAGCCTTAGTTTATTTGAAACCTAGATATGAAGATTAGAAGTTTGATCCTACATAAATACTAATTCATATGTATTCAAATACAAAAGAGTAAAATGTGAATTATTACCGGACAGTATGTCGTCAATAAATGCAATAAAGTGCAATTAAAAATGAAAAAAAAAACCCCTGTTAATTTTAACAGAACTATTCTAATAAATTTTTTGGATTTGTTCTGTTAATTTAACAGAATTTTTCAGAACTATTCCGAAAAGTTCTGGTAAATTAACAGAACTCTTCAGTTATTTTATTTTTGCGATTCTTATTTAAAAAAAAAATATTACAGAACTGTACAGATAAAATCATCAGAATATTCAGCATCAGAATATCAGAACAATTTTATTATTATCAAAGCTCATAAAACCAGTGTTGATAAAAAGGTGCATTCTAGCATAGTCTTGCCCTTGACCAAGGCAATTGTCATGCAATTTCAAATTGCCTATGCTAGGTTTCACTTTTTTCCAATACAGGTGCTGATCATCACCACTAATTGAATTAATAATTAAAGATAATTACATCATGAACATCATTCTTAAGCGCTAATCTTCAGCACTTTGTTAAAGACATTCAGAGGTGTAGTCAACGCGGGTATTTGGGGTCAAAATCCTTTTTTTTTTTGGAGAAATTTCTGGCTAAACTCCAATCCACTTATTCCGTTTTGGCTTTTAAAGGAAGTCTAGGATTCTCTAGTTTCTTTGATCAAACAATTGATTTTCATTCCTTAGAATTTTTACTATTTGGGTCAAGATTTGGGTATTTGGTTATTTGGGTCATAAAATTGTAAAAAATTTTCATGGAATATCTTTTATAGGAAAGTTAACCATTCATTTGAAGAGTCTGGGCCTATACAATATTTCTGCATCATTGGTTTATTTCTGGATTGGTTAACTCAGAAATTTTTCAATCATCGTTTTAGGATTTGGGTTTGACACCCATAGAAATGAGATTACTCATAATTACACTGTGAGTTTATTTATAAATATTTATAGATTTCCGGAATTATGATCTACATGTGAGGATTTTAATTCCAACTACAGTTTGTGTCAGAACTTATAAACCTGGATTGTCTTTATTTTATTTATTTTTTTTTTTTGAGTTATACAAGGAGTTATAAATGAAAATGATGTTTGAGCATAATTTAAATTACCTATGCATCGAATCATATGACGTGGGTTTTGTTCCTGATTGGTATCTGTTATTTAGGGCTTGAAGCTTAATTTACCCCCCTCTGTTACAAAATTTGTATGAAAAAAAGGTATTATGTGAACAGCCAGCCCCAAATCAAAATTTCGTTGATCTGCTGAGTTTAAATTTTGACCACTGAATTTTTTTAACATAGTGTCACAATAGTTCCGATTATTTTACTTTTGGGTGAACCATTCCTTTTTAAGTGAATTACTATATTTCAACATTTTTGACTATGTCTTTTCGGACTTCAGTCTATCTCGTTGAATGTTACTTTCATTAAATTTTATTTTAAAGAGTTCTGAAAAATAATTGCGAATCGCAATTTTATTAACAGAATTTTAGCAAAACTTTTTCCATATTTACAATTCCAATAAATAACAGAATTCTCATAAAAATATCAGAACAGTTCAGTCCAGTCTATCCAGCAGAAGCCTAGATATGTTTTAAAATGCAATTTAAAGCATTTTTGGTTTTGATCATAGTAGGCTATTTTAAAAAAATAACGATTTTATATCTATATTAGCATTCTTTAAAATTTATCATACCTAGATATGTTTTAAAATTCAAATTAAAGCATTTTTGATTTCGATCATAGGAGGCTATTTTCAATATAATACCTAGATATGTTTTAAAATGAATTTTAAAGCATTTTTGGTTTCGATCATAGTAGGCAATTTTCAAAAAAAAAAAATACTGATTTTATATTTGTATTAGCATTCTCTATCATTTATTAAACCTAGATATGTTTTAAAATGCAATTTAAAGCATTTTTGGTTTCGATCATAGTAGGCTATTTTCAAAAAAATATCGATTTTATATTTATATTAGCATTCTTTATCATTTATTAAACCTAGATATGTTTTAAAAAACAATTTAAAGCATTTTTTAATTCGATCATAGTAGGCTATTTTCAAAAAAAAAATACCGATTTTATATTTGTATTAGCATTCCTTGTCATTTAAAATACCTAGATATGTTTTAAAATGCAATTTAAAGCATTTTTGGTTTCGATCATAGTAGGCTATTATCAAAAAAAATATCGATTTCATACCTATATTAGCATTCTTTATCATTTATTAAACCTAGATATGTTTTAAAAAACAATTTAAAGCATTTTTGTTTTCGATCATAGTAGGCTATTTTCAAAAAAAAATTCCGATTTTATATTTGTATTAGCATTCCTTGTCATTTATAATACCTAGATATGTTTTAAAATGCAATTTAAAGCATTTTTGGTTTCGATCATAGTAGGCTATTTTAAAAAAATATCGATTTCATATCTATATTAGCATTCTTTATCATTTATTAAACCTAGATATGTTTTAAAAAACAATTTAAAGCATTTTTGTTTTCGATCATAGTAGGCTATTTTCAAAAAAAAAAAATACCGATTTTATATTTGTATTAGCATTCCTTGTCATTTATAATGCCTAGATATGTTTTAAAATGCAATTTAAAGCATTTTTGGTTTCGATCATAGTAGGCTATTATCAAAAAAAATATCGATTTCATACCTATATTAGCATTCTTTATCATTTATTAAACCTAGATATGTTTTAAAAAACAATTTAAAGCATTTTTGTTTTCGATCATAGTAGGCTATTTTCAAAAAAAAAATTCCGATTTTATATTTGTATTAGCATTCCTTGTCATTTATAATACCTAGATATGTTTTAAAATGCAATTTAAAGCATTTTTGGTTTCGATCATAGTAGGCTATTTTAAAAAAATATCGATTTCATATCTATATTAGCATTCTTTATCATTTATTAAACCTAGATATGTTTTAAAAAACAATTTAAAGCATTTTTGTTTTCGATCATAGTAGGCTATTTTCAAAAAAATATCGATTTTATATTTATATTAGCAT